TGTGGCAGTATTGTTTTTTTGTTACATAAAAGAAATTTAAATTTAAGTTATTGATCTAGTAATAAACAATTTGATTTTCAAACGAATTTTTTTATCAAAATACAGAGTTTAAATTTTAAAATTGCATTTATTGAAAGAGGTTAAACCTTATCGTTATTGTTTCGAATATGACTAGATATATCTTCAATGTAGAATGGACATTATGGATAAAAGCAAAAGAAATTTGAATTCAAAACTTTTTAGAGGTACAAAAGATATTAATATCGATTGATTTACAGTTTATCAACAACTTGTAGTATTTTTTGTGAGAGTAATTAATGAAAGATTTATTTTCATGGTGAGTTATTGGTATCCGATACAGATGTGCGATTCCTCTAAATTTTCATGTGCTAGCTAGCCCTAAACACTCTAGTATATAGCAAAGTGGTCATCCTCCATGGATTGTTTATTTGAGTAGCCCACATGGAGGCAGAAAATTTGACGAAAATTGGAATCAAAATCTTCTCACAAGATGCTGTAATTTGTTTAATCAATCAGCCAAGTGCATTAGTTCTTTCTCTTGTGATCATATGAATGATCTAAATGGGATGCCTTGTCCCATCAGAACAAAGACAGTGTAGATTTAGGGCCATGCTTGGCTTATTACACAAAAAAAACTAAACTAAAAACAACCGTTATTGTTTATTACACTGTTTAAAATATTGTTTGTTCAGATTCATTCACACTATGCAATATTCCTTTCATTGTGCATATTTTTGTAGTTTTTAAATATTTTTAAGATATTTATTATGAAAGATTTGGTAACACCACACTTTGATCTTTCTTTTTTTAAATATTATTTTTTTTAGTCTATAAATATTTTTTATTTGATTTTGATATCATTTTTTTTGTTTCCTTTTAGTCACTTTGGTCTTTGTCTTTTTTTTTAAAAAAATAAAAATTTTAAGGTAAAAAGATGTTTAGAAAAAAAAAAACAACTTACAAAATAAGGTTTTAGCTAAAAATGTGAATAGAGATAAATAAATAATATTTTTTTAATAAAAGATTTATGAAAATATAAAGAATAATTAATCAAATACAAAAATTTGATTAAAAAATTATAAAATTGAATGAATTTTTATTCAGTTTTGATTTGATATATTTTGATGGACGTATAATATAACACGAGATATCAAAATAAAATAATTTTTTAAAAATAATTTTATGCATTGCGGGTAAAAAAAAAAAAAAAAAGCTAGTGTTTTCTAATTTCCAATGCTAATTGATTAGTTGGCTTTTTTGAAGAGGAAAAAAAAAAAGGATTGTTTTTGACAACCTTAAATTTGGATAAACCCCACATTGCAATAATACAATTCCAATCTGTTAATTGGGCCACCACATCACGGGATCATTGAGGGACACAACTACTCTTTTATCACTTGATCATCCCCCAACATTCTCATCCGACCATTGGTCCATTTCCCATGATTTTTTCTTGTCTACCTTAAAGCAAAGCTTACACCCATTTTAGGTAATCAACAATCCTCATGTCGGCATAAATGATGCTATGACTACTCTTTCCTCTTCTTTGAATCATACTAAATCTTGACTATACGTAGATTTAAAGAATTCCCTTTTTAATAAAAAAAGATCAATTTAAACGGAAAGAGTTTTAGTTGTTTAAGTAAGTGGTTTTGGTTTCGAATTTTCATATAAACAAAAAAATTTTTCGAATAGTTACGTTCATCTTATATGTTTGAAAAAACAATAAAAAATTAATCTAAACTTGGAATACCTAGTAAATTAAAAAAAAAATCTAATTTAAAAAATAATAAATTTAATCACAATTAATGTTAAAATGGACTAAAAATACCCTTTGTATTTGGGTCAAAGTGGTTTTCCTCTAAACCTAACTTTTACCATAGGAAAAAACAACATTATGGTTCTACCCATGTGGAATTCATTCTTTCTACAAATGTTCAAACCTTGTTTGCTGTTCTTTGGCATGCGGTGTCCTGTCCTTGCTTTCATTGCTACTGTATTTTGGTTTCATTTTGATTATTACAACAAACCAAACATAATTATTCAAATGATAAAATTATCAAAATTGAATTAATTTAAATGGGTTGCATATTTAATGCATAAATATCACATCTACACTAAAAATCTAACTTTTTTTTTCTTGGAAAATTAAATTGCCATGAAGTGAATTAATTTTTGTGTTTTAATACAAAATTACAGGGAATCACTAAATTCATTGGAACAAATAAACAAATAAATACTATCATTCTCAAGATATAAATTGAATAATTAATAAAAAATAAAGTGAACGACTCATTATGTTCTTAAATAACAAGATAATTCTTTAATTTGTCCTTGTATATCCGATTGAGTCAATTTTATTCTTAAATATACGTCAAGTTTTTAATCTATTCTTATGATAAGATTTTGAAGCTAAACTATTAAAATTAATTAAATAGGTTTCACGTGAAAGCATCTTATTTTTTGTCTGACTTGCAAGGAAATTATACGAATAAAAAATAATCACGACCATATTGCGTTACTAATTCTAGTCATTAGGTTTGAAAATATTATAAATATATATATATATATATATATATACACTAGAAACTCAATTAATATGTGAAATAAAACTGGTTTAATTAAAAATATAAAAATAAATTAAAAAATTATCTTATTATATAAAAACATATTTAAATATCAACCGTAAAAACTACGAAACTTCAGTAATTTAAATCTCCTTTAACCATATAGAGTTTTTTTTTTTTTTGTCTCTTTGCTAATTCAATTACACATCATAAATAAATAGTAATTTCTTTATAACATAAAACCCTATTGATTAATTTTACCATATTCCTTTTCATCTCATTCGTAAACTTAAATTCTTGATACCAACCATATTTTTCACCTTTCCAAAGATGTCAATTTCTACCACTCTCTCTCCTGAAAAATAATAAATCTACACACATAGAGGCCTTGCTCAACAAGAACATAATATTCTCCAACACCTTGTAATCTTTAAGCATACAAAATATGCTGACTTTTTTCCCCGTATATTATTCTTCCTGTCATCTTAATTATATTTCTTTAAATACGATATCCCTTTTCCTCTACGTTATTCAACTTGCAATCTTGTTTATTCATTTCTTCCCTATATATATATATATATATATATATATATATATATATATATATATATATATATGTTTTTCTTTTTATAATCAAACACATTTATGGAAATTTCACCGTACCCATATAAAGTTTAAGATATTACCATAAACGGAAGTAATTAGATGTAGATCTGCTATCTCTTCAAATGATGATTATTTTTAGGTTGAAAATCATCAAATTAATGTTCTTTGATAGGTTTCGATGAGATTATACGTACCAAGATCATCTAAAAACACATGAAAAACATCAATTCAGCCACCTATACTCACCTTTGGATTTTTTTTTTATTTTTTTTTACAATGTATTATTAGGAACATTACATTTTCTTGAGAAGAGGGTTTTTCTTTTATTATAAAAAATAAATAGACGAAAATAATCGGGAAAAAATGGCTTTTTATCATTTTGCAGTTACAGGGTGCCCTACCCTTTTTATCATTTTAAAGGAAAGAAGATGCAAAGAAGGTATATTTTTTCATTTTCATGGCCTCAAAGGGCATGCATGACAGAGAGAGGAAGCGAGGAAAAAACACACACATCCACCCTTCATTTTCTCTCCAAAAAAAAAAAAAACACTGACCAAATTATTGTATTTCTATTTGTATAAAAAAAAAGATAAAGACTTTAGCTTTATGGCTTTACTTTGACTCTCTCTCTCTTCTCTGTGTGTGTCTCTCTCTCTCTGCCTAAGAGTCCAGCAGAAACACAGTTTCAGCTTCTTCTTTTTTCTCTTTCTGTTTTCAGACAAGCTTATTCAGGCTACAAGGAGCTCGCTTTGTACAGTGTTTTAAAGCTAGCATCTTCTCTCAACTTTCCTGATCTTTCAAGCTAGGTACTTTCTTCCACTTCTTATCTCTCTCTTTCTCTTAATGGTTTTTTTTTTTTTTTTTGCATCTTCTTTTCATCTGGGTTTCTGCTGTTGGCTTGGATCTATAGTGGGGTTTGGCTAAAAGTAGTGATTTTGTGATCAAGATCTGAACTTTGCTTAATTAACATTTGATCAAACTGTTTTACTTGGCTTGTTTGATAACGCATTTTGTTAGTTGCTGACTTGATTGGTTGATTCTTTACTTTCTTCGGTGGTCCTTGAATCCTTTACGCTAGTTTTTCATTTTTCATTTTGATTTTTTGATGGTCCTGGTTTTTGTGTTCCTTTTTAGTGAGAAATGATTGCATGTGGAGCTGGCTTTGCTAGCTGTGAGGTTTTGATCTTGTTCATTTCTTTCTTCAGTATCATTTGATCAAACTATTGGTGCTGCTTTTTGATTGAATGTTTTTCCTTTTTCCTGGGAAATAATTATTTTTTCATTGTAATTCATTTTCTAGGTTTGTGTATGTTTTTGCTTGAAAGTTTGTGTTTTTGACCTATTTTTAGGTAGAGTTAAGTGTAATAATAGAAATGGTCTCCCTATGTTGGAGCTGTATGGTAATTATGTGATGTGTAATGGGTAGGTGGTTGTTTCTGATCTGACTTTGTGAGGTAGTGTTTAGGTAAAATGAAATTAGAGTTAGTTATGCTGTCACTTCTATATTGTTATTGTTCCATCTTACTTAGATTTCATACCAAAATGTCTTTTGGGTGTCTTCTGTGTTGCTATGCACCCAAATCAGTGTCTTTTGGGTGTCATGAAGCTATATAGAGTGCATTTTTTGCATTATGTTGCATGTGAATTGTAACTGACCATAATATCTTTGACAGATTTGTTACCGCTGTTGGCAAAATTGGATAACAACATTTCTAGGGTTGCCAGTGGCAGAAATGATTCTGATTCTTGGGTGGTGTGAAGTGGATTCATTCCATCTGATGTAGTTTTGGAACTCGTTTTTGTCTGATGGCCTCAAAAACTTCTAGCAAAGCTTCCTTGAAGCAGCACCAGAAAACAGCTGGTGTTCAAAGAGTGGAGGCCGATCTTAGGCATTTATCTTTGCAGGGATCAAAACCAAACAAGCCCCAGCTGATTAATCATGAGCAGGTACAACCATCTGTAGAAAACATGTCAAAGCAGGTTTGTTTAGAAGCGGTCGAAAATAAAAAGCTTCCGAATTCTAATCAAGAAGGGGCTTCTGATTCTTTGAGGAATAAGTTGGAATCAAATTCTTCTTTGCCCTGTCTTGAAGAAACATCAACTGAGGTGGATTCTAGTGTCAATGAGACTAGAGGCTCACAGGATGTTTCTGTTGATCAAGAGAAGAAAACATCAGAATATGGAAGTGTAAAAAACAGTTCAGTATCTGCCAAAGTTAGTGATGGAACCAGCAGCTTAGCTAAGACCAGTGGAAGTGCCAAGATTAGTGACCGTGTTGATTGTGCTGAGGGTGGCAAGAGGAGTATGTGTAGAGGAAGCACCAGCAGCGATATTAGTGATGAAAGCACATGTAGCAGCTTTAGTAGTAGTATCAGCAAACCTCACAAAGCAAATGACTTGAGATGGGAAGCCATCCAAGCTGTTAGAGCAAAAGATGGGGTTTTAGGTCTGAGTCATTTTAGACTGCTCAAGAGGTTGGGTTGTGGGGATATTGGGAGTGTGTACCTGTCTGAGCTGAGTGGAACTAAGTGTTATTTTGCAATGAAGGTAATGGATAAAGGTTCTCTTGCCAGTCGTAAGAAGCTGCTTCGGGCTCAGACAGAAAGAGAAATATTGCAATCTCTGGACCATCCTTTCCTTCCGACGCTCTACACCCATTTTGAGACAGATAAGTTCTCATGTCTGGTAATGGAATTCTGTCCTGGGGGAGACTTGCACACTCTTAGACAGAGGCAACCAGGGAAACATTTTCCAGAGCAGGCAGTAAAGTATGATAAGTGAACTTTGACTATTTATCCTGTTATTTTTATATAGTGGTCGTGCATTTTTAAAAGTTATTTGCTACTGACATGACAAAAATTTCCATAGTTGGGAAGAAAGTGTTTTTGGATATACATTTTATAAATTTGGAAGTTCCACCTCCATAAAGTATATAATTTTATCCAAAGTTGTCGTATTAGGATCTGCTGGAAGAATATAATTTGTGTTTAAAATGCTGGAAGTAAAGTAAAAAAGGAGCAGAGTATGAGTATCTGTTGGAGCTTAATGCTGCAGAACCTTTATAAATCCTATGTGCCACTTCCTCGGGTAGATCTTCAATGAAAAATTGGATGTTTATTTTGCATTCTTTAAAATCATTATGATTTACAAGGGGAACAAATAATTTATATTTTAATCAAATAGAGTAATTAATTAAGTGTGTGGCATTCATGCATGTCAAATTAATGGCCATTTGATAAAACTAGTTGAATCGACAGTTTATACCTCACAGGTAATGCATTATCCTGAAGAATCTAAGTTTTGGAGACATCTGTTTGACCATCCTAAATGTATTTAAAACCAGATCCAGCTATCTAGACCCGCCACTTGTTTTTATGTCCATAGTGTCTTCTTAATGGATCCTAGATGATTCCTCTCAACTAGTGAAGCATACATTTTAGTCACTTTTACACATCTTCAAAATGGAGCACAAGTAACTATCTGAAGCAGGATGTTGTTGAACTTGAGTCACTCTGGAACTGAATTTATTTGCGGAAGTTTGATTCAAAGTTGCGTTTGCACTCTTGATGTCAATTTTGATGTAGGCTTAAATTATTAGTTCTTTTTAACATTAGATTGAAAGAGCTAAGAATCTTGGTCTCAGCGTCAGGTAAATTGGACATATGGAGTTTCTCAAAGAAAGAAAACACCCTTATCCCATTTGTGGTTCATTTTGCAATCTAAAAGTCATGATTTGGTTTGACTTTGAATGTTTCTTTGCACCTGCATAAACACTTGAAAGTGACCTTCTTTGCTCTTTCCAACTTGCAGATTTTATGTAGCAGAGGTTCTGCTAGCTTTGGAATATTTGCATATGCTTGGGATTATTTACCGTGATCTTAAGCCAGAGAATGTCCTTGTGAGGGATGATGGACATATAATGCTCTCCGACTTCGACCTCTCTCTCCGTTGTACTGTCAGCCCAACTCTTGTCAAAACAGCATCTCTTGAGTCTGAGCCATTACGAAAGAACCCTGTTTACTGTGTTCAGCCTACTTGTATTGAGCCTTCCTGCATCCAGCCATCCTGTGTAGCTCCTACAACATGCTTTGGACCCCGCCTCTTTTCTAGCAAGTCCAAGAAGGATAGAAAACCAAAAAATGAACTTGGAAATCAAGTTAGTCCATTACCTGAGCTCATGGCAGAGCCAACTGATGCAAGGTCAATGTCATTTGTTGGGACCCATGAGTATTTGGCACCTGAGATCATCAAGGGTGAAGGTCATGGAAGTGCTGTTGATTGGTGGACTTTTGGGATCTTTCTATATGAACTTTTATTTGGTAAAACTCCCTTTAAGGGTTCTGGAAATCGAGCCACGTTATTCAATGTTGTTGGCCAGGCGCTTCGATTCCCAGAATCACCAGTTGTGAGTTTTGCAGCAAGGGATCTCATAAGGGGTTTGCTTGTAAAAGAACCGCAGCACAGATTAGCATACAAACGAGGTGCAACTGAAATAAAGCAACATCCCTTCTTTGAAGGTGTGAATTGGGCATTAATACGCTGTGCCACCCCACCCGAGATCCCAAAGCCAGTTGAGATTGAGCGGATACCTACCCCGGCTTCAACAAGTGAAAAGGCTGCAACAGTTGCAGCTGCTCCTGGTCAAAAAGGTTCTGATAATTATCTGGAGTTTGATTTCTTTTAGCAATATTTTTTACAATTTGCAAATTGTTTCTATTTAAGGGGAAGAATTGTTCTCAACATCTCATGCGTTGTTGGTGATGAGGATAAAGTTTTTTTCTTTCTTTCTTTCTTTTCCTGTTTTTCTCCGTTATTGACAGATAAGGAAATGTAATGTTTGTTGTTGCCTGTTAAAAAATTCCAAACCTGTATCACAATATTATTGCTTGGAGTCTTCAAAGCGTAGGAGCTTGGAACTATTTGTTAGTAGTCTATGCTTCAGAAATATGGTCAATGGTCCTCCCGCTAACTCCCAGGACTCCATTGAACTCATGTTCATGCTAGTTATTAGTTCTGCAAGTAGGCCTTTGGCAGATGTACTTTAGCAGTGGAATGACTTCAACTGATTGGCCAACAGAAATACATTCCAAAATTGATTTAAATCTCTTCGTATCTTTTGCCCGATATGTAAATATATTTACATGTTGTAAGTTCATATCTTTCACTTGCCCTCAAATGTTGAATGCATGTCCTTTGGTTTTGAACATGCATGGCCAAGAAAAGCAGGATATGAACATATGCTTCACTGATTCTCTCTTTCAGCTGAGATGCTAAAAGGTCATCCATCAATCTTGAACTTTGAATGTGTAAAAGTTTTCCCTTCTTTTTTACCCCTGGTCTTGGAGGGATAGAAATTTGCCTCAAAACTATCGTAGAAAAAGAGACAAAAACGAGCAGCATGAATTTTGCAGTTTCCATAGAAGAAAGCAAGTTTTGCTGCATGAAATAATTACAAGTGGAATGTAGGTGACATGTATTTAAGTTAAATAAAAAAAGGGGGGAATGCGGTGAGCGTGGATCGAACACGCGACCTTCAGATCTTCAGTCTGACGCTCTCCCAACTGAGCTATCCCCGCTGCGATGCATAAGTTTGTGTGTATAAATTAAATCTACATAACCTTTGGTGATTTGAAACACATGCAAGCAAACGAGTCATTGGTTGCATTGGATTGATCTTGCAACCTCAACGACTTTGCACTGTGATTATCAGAGAGGGGTGAAGGTAAAGGTGATCCAATCATCTGGTCAATCACCACTTCCTTTCCATCGCATACGATCGTAACGTCACAAAACTCCGGTGCATTTTGAAGTACCTGATCAGCTATCCCATTTCCTCTCTTAGACTTCAATTTCCTATCCACCACAAAATGTTGCAAAAAAAACAAGCAAGTTCAAGCTCAAAACACAAAAAACATGATAAATTACAGAAAATGATGTACCTTAGGTTAGACTTGGAGGTTCCAAGAACTAGCTTTGTCATGTTGAGAATTGGAATGAGGTCCACCATAGCCTTTCCAACCATATCACTTTCAATGAGGATGGTGTCTACCTTGACCTGTTTCATAGCAATTTTTGTCATAAATTGACAAGGTTTCACACCCATTTCCATGGACAAAACAGACAGTTATGAGGTGCTAGTTGTATAACAACCTTGGATGCAGAACACATGTTGATGTACTTTTGGAGGAGTTCTCTCCTCTTCCCTCTTTCTTGGGCCATGTGATTCTCAACCTGCTGAGCACTAACTTGACTCTTCGGTAGCCTACCCACTACCATCCACAAAACATTATTATCAACGCATTCACACTTCTTGTTTTTACAGGCAGACAGAGTTAAGATAGGAGTCAACACTTGAATCTCAAGCCCATCTAATCTTTATAGATTCAACAAAGTAATAAAACTTGAAAACATGACCTAAAAACCAGGCTCAAGGCATGCTAAAAGTAGACCAAATTGCAAGAAATAATTGGCTTCTGAGTACCAGTTTTTCAAAGCTTTGACTCACATGACAAACTTAAGCTAACCTAGCTAGGCCATTAACCCCCTTAACATAGTTTTAAATAACGTCATTCCATTTCGAAACGATCATTATGCAATAGTTTTGGAACATTTCGTTACTATTATTATAGTAAACTAGTGATCTGCAATAGCGACCATGATTGTTTTTTCAACCGTATGTAATTTAAAATTATGTCTCTTAATACTAATTATTTTAGCCGTGATTTGTGCCTCTTAATCATGATAATACAAGATCTTTCAACCTCTAAAACCTAATCAAATTCCCAAGTAAAGTCAAAGCCATTGATGGTAGTTAAGACTTAAGACATAAGACCAGAAAAAAGGACATGATGACCAACCAGATTCAGAGCTTTAGAAAAGGAAGAAAAGCACAAAAACATGAAGAAAAAAATCAAGTAATGGTCAGAGCCGAACTTACAAGGAGAAGGAATGTGATGAATCTCAGGGAAGATATGGATGAGAAAAACCAGTGGTATTGGAATCAGTAACAGCGTTCTTCAATGTCCAAGAAAGAGCATCCACGCTGGACTCACTCTTTCCTACACCAACATAAACACAATCTCCCTGACGATCTCCATTATCATGTACATCAAAAGAAAACAAACTTCCTTCTATGTCTTCTTTGATGGATTCCAAAGGCACCGCATGATTTATCTCGAAGAGATCACTTGAATTCTCTTCTTCAATCTCACTTACACCGCTACTGCTTCCAGTATAATTGTTGTAGTAGTCCGGCCGGTCTTGGTTTGAAATTTCAGTACTAGCATGACTAGCTCTTGCATCTTCTTCTTGGTGCAAAAAACTGGTTTGATCTGCTACTGATGCAGCCATTTTTTCTTTTTCTTTTTCGGCTGGGAAGAATGACTCAATGTTTTTTAGTGGCTAGGCAGAGAAGGAAACTACAAGAACACGAAGGGCATAAATAGTATTATATGGAAATGTCGATAGGAGAGGATTCACATTAAAAAAAATCTTTCATGCATGCACCTTTGAAATGTCAAATAGGGCATTTCCATTACAATGAAAGGTCAGAAGATTTTTACAGTAGCAGGTTTCTAATAGTTTAAGCAAATATTTTCGATTTCGAATTTTTATATATATAAAAATTTTTTGAATAATTTTATACGTTCGATCGAGTAACGATGGATTAATTTGGGTTTTTAGATATGAGATAGCTTAGGGTCAAAAAAAAAAAAAAAAAGAATTCAAAAGTTTTTAGGCGAACTTCAAAGATATTCTATAATTATTGGGTTGGTATGAACTTTACCTCCAAACAATTTTTTTTTATTAGTTTTTTTCTAAATATATTTGATTCTTCAATTAGAGATTTTTGTTAAAATTCTATAATTATTGGGTTGGTATGAACTTTACCTCCAAACAATTTTTTTTTATTAGTTTTATTTCTAAATATATCTGATTCTTCAATTAGAGATTTTTGTTAAAATTCCTAAATAGAAGAAGATACTAAGTTTTCTTCAAAACGACATCGTTTCTTGTAAACTTAATTGAACGGAATTTATGGTCAAGTATGATGAAAAAACTTAATTGAAAATAATTGTAGAATATGATTTTCTTATGAAATAATTTGATTGAATTCCATTAATTACTCAAAAATTTATTCCAAAAAAAAAAAAAAGAATTCTATCATGAAATCAATTCAATTCTACAAAGAAATTGTCTTCCAAAAATTGATTGGTTGGTACTAAAATATCACCAAAACAAAAACAAAAAAACAAACATTGCGAATGGGTCCAAACAAGGATTGACAAGCTGGAAAGGGGTTTTCCCTGAAGTTTCTGTTCTTGACTTTTGATAATCTCCATCCACACATAAAATAAAATGGCAGGCTCGTGAAAATAATATTTTTATTCATGAGGTCAGGAGTCGTCCGAAGACTCAAGGAGTAAGATTTTTATATATATACGTATAATTATAAAATAATTAACTTTCATAATGAATCAAATTTTGATTTTTAGTGATTTTAATTTTTTGATGATTATATAATAAAAAAAATATTACTCTTATTGTGCAGTCAAAAAAAAAAAAAACCTATAAGCTTTGGATGAATAAAAATATATATATATGACTTTTAAAATTGTTAAAAAAACTACACATGATTGGACTTTGATCTAACTCAAAAAATAATAAATTTAATCTCGATTATAAAATTTATACAAACATGTTAGTATATTCAGTTAATTTTTTCGGTAAAGTAAAATTAGAGCCCTAATAATTTTATTTATTTTTATATAATGATAGAGAAATTCTTTATGCTTTGTAGGAAAAATAAAAATCATGAGTCCTCAATGAATTAAAAACTATACATAATTTGACGTTAATCTAACTCATAGAATAATAAACTTAATTTTGATTGATGTAAAAACTCTCTCTCTCTCTCTCTCTCTCTATATATATATATATATATATATATATATATATATATATATATATATATATATATATACACTCCTGTAATAATAATAAATATGGGTTTCTCAAGAGTTTCTCAGCAACTCAACCATGACGTTGTTGCATCGTATTCATGTCTATATCCATCTGCCGGGCCTGAGAAGGGAAGGCATGTGGTGTGAATTTAAATATAATTAATTTGGCAAACACTTGTGCTAATATAATTTCTATTTTTCAAACAAATTTAATTAATGTATCAGATTTCATTCCACCAATAAATAAAAAAATTGGTATATTTTTTCTTTGCTGTATATGAACACGCATAGAATATACGAATATCTTGAAGGGATTACGGATTAATTAATTAATTAATTAGTTAGCTTATGGAGTTGAAAATTTAGATATAATAACATCATCTCTTTTTTTAATTAATTAATGTTTCCAAGGCATTTGGAAAATATTTTTTTATTCATTCAATGACTTCACTTGTAATGCCTAACAAAGTGCGTTAATTATAAGGATTATGAACTATATATGATTTGGGATATGGACTTTAGAAAAATAGAATTAGAATCTGATTCGAAAACTGTTATCCGATTAATTTAGAGCCATTTAAGTGTGAAAAATTTTATAATACATAAGGAGTAATTAGTGACATGTACGGTAGTTACTTCTTTAGGCCACTTTGAGGAGAGAGATAGACACATAAAAAAGGAGAAATTACATCCATACCCACCAAAAGTGATAAAGAAGATTTTCACGTCCGTTCAAATTTTTTTATTTTCTCTCACCTATTTTTCTCTCTCTTTTTGTGTGTCTATTTCTCTCTTGAAAGTGAACCAAAAAGTAAGCTACTTGTATATGCCATTAGTTATTTCTTGTGTAATATAAAATTTATGAGTGTACAGAGAAGCTAATCGATTGCAGATTAATTGACAAATCATGATTTCTTTTTTAATCTTAGTTGTAATTAATTTTCAATTATTTCTTTTAGTTGTTTTTATATTATTTTAATAGATATGTATAAGATGAGCTTCTCTTGACTTAGTTTTGTCTATTACATATTTGAACTTGTTTACCATCTTCGTTTTGCTTTGTATTTATTTGAAAATAATAATAATAATAATAAAGCATCACAACCTTTAATTGTGGTCCTCGCATTTGGGACCATCAACCGCGTGGTCCTTCTTGAAAGTATGAATTGTATAGTCACGACAATACTTTTCATCTCTTTAATTTGGTGAAAGAGATGCCAGATATTTGGAGAAAATTATGAATCTCGAGAACATAGTTATTAGATTCGGTTCTAGACGTGACTCATTTAATATTTTTTTTCCTCAGAAATAACGAAGAACGTGCACATAAAATTCACGTAATTGGCTTTTCACGAGTAATTTTATAATACATCAAGAGTAATTAATGACATATATAGTAGTTCTTACGTGAGCCTATTTTGAAGAGAGAGATAGACAAAAAAAAAAAAAACAAGAGAGAGAAAATAAAAAAATTTGAGTAGACGTGGAAATCTTTTTATTACTTTTGATCGGTATGGATGTAATTTTATTATTTTTTTATGTGTCTATCGCTCTTCTAAAAGTGAGCTCATGGAGTAAGCTATTATACGTGTCATTAGTTACTCCTGATGACATTAGTTATTCCTGATGTATTATAAAATTTCTCGACTTTCCACACTTAATTATTTTTTTTTAAAAAAAAAGCCCTCAAAGCCACAACCAGCCTAAAAACCAATAAAAAAGTCCTGACACTGTTGGGGGCTCGTCAATAGTTTTTGTGAGAGCTTGACTGACGCAAAACCAAATTGAAAAAAATTCCTTCAAGCTATTCACCAAAGTGTCCTAATTTGTCAATTTTATTGTTGTGGTCAAATTGAAATATGAGATTTATTGCAATTTTTTTTCCAAGAAAATGCTTGGGCTCAAGGTTCTTGATTTGTCTCCTGTAAATATTAAAAAATTGCCGGATTATGTCACTAATTTGGTTATTGATCTATCTCATGTAAACATTAAAAAATTACCAAATTTTGTCTCTAATTTGGTGAAGCTCAATGCATCATTGATCAAAAGTAAGGTTGTCAACGGATTGAATCGCAGTAGATTCGGATCTGATTTGTTTAGTGAAACGGATTGGATTTTGAAAATGTAAAATTAGATTTCGAATTTAGATCTTCATCGGATTTATCACTAGATTTTTATAAAAAAAATTATGATTACTAGATTTCATAGATTGCTCGAATGTAAAATATATTCAATCACTACATGTATAATAAAATATATTAAGATAATATTTTATTTATTGATTTTGTAAAAAATTCAAAGTACCACACAATTAAAAAGTATAAAATCAAATAATCTTAAAAAAGTTTATCTTGAACTAGATAGAAAATATGATAAAATTAAAAGAAACAAATAATAAATATTTTTTATTTTTTATTCACGTGACAAACAAAAATAGTGTGATAACAAATGTAATAACATCAAGTTTTAAAAATATATATAAGTTAAATTTTAATTTTTTTATGAAATTGAATTAAGAAAATGATAAGAAATTTATGTATTTTTTCAAAAATATAATTGTCACTTTTGAAAATCTGTTATTTAAAATTTATAATAAATAAACTCTAAATTTCAACCTAGTTTCAATTACACACACATATACATATTTAAATTTTAACTATTTTAAAAAATATAATATTTATTATAAAAATATTATGTTAAATTTTAGATCAGATTTTTAATAGATCAGATCAAGTTATATTTGAATTTGATTCATTTAATAAATAGATTAAAGAATTCAGATAAAAAAAAATTTATTTATCTAATCCATTTAATTACATCAGATTCGGATCCATTTAATTACATCATATTCGAATCGAATTTGGAACAAGATTTGATCCATTTACGGCCCTACTCAAAAGGTATTGCAACCTAAGGCATATACCATCGTTAAAAAACCTCACGAAACTGAACAAGTGACGCAGCCCAATACTGACCAGAAAGAGAGATCAAGATCGTCTAAGTTTCGGCCATTTCCCTTTTTTCTCTCTCCTCTAGAGTTAGGGCTGCTCGCCTCCCTCTTCCTCATGCACTGACGTGTCGTTCAGTTATGTGGGTGAGTGTGAGTCTGTGGTGTTGGTTGTAGTTGAGATCGGCTGACATTTATGGCAGTGGGTGGCATTTTGAGGCTTAACTTCGTTTGGCGGAGGAATGGTAGTGGGTGGTTTTTTATGCTCGCCTGCTTATGGTGGAGGTGTGCGGTTGGTGAGGGTTCAGTGAGGATGGATTTGGGTGGCCGAGAGGGTCAGTTGCAGTGGGGGTTTCGACGTGAGGATGAGGAGAAGATCGGCGAGGTGCAGTTGAGAGAGGGACTGGCAGTGGCTATTTGTGGCAGACGCTGGTGTGGGTGGGTGGAAAGAGGACGACGACGACGACGACGACGATTTGGATGGGCAACTGGACAGACACTACAGGGCACGGGCAACGTTAGATTTCATTAATGACGAGGGGAGCCCAAAATTGATACCTTTAAGCTCATATTTGGGCTTTCTGCTTTGAACCAAACCCAGGAAGAAGAGTCGTAGTAAAACATCTATCAGGCCCAAATCAAAATAGCCTAAAATTGATCCAACGATTCACAAAGTATTTTCTTATCGTTTTTTCCTTAATGTTTAGGGTTAGTGCTTTAACATATACAAATTAACTATTTTTTTCAATTATGTAAATTAATTTTTGAGCAGTGTGTCCAACTAGAATTAAGTATTAAGTATTAGTCCTCTTTTTGTAAATAAGGTATTCTTTTTGTTCTAAAAAAATGCCTTTTAAATTTTTAATAGAGATTAAGAAGGTAATTAATTGTTATATTATATATGCATTTTTTCATATTTTTTTAAAATATTTATTTTTTTAATAATTTTTAGTCACTAAATTTAATCCAGTATGACACGAAATCAATATTAATTAAAAATATTTTTTAAAAAATATTTATCATTTAAAATTTTGACTAGAAAAATATTTTAGAGCATATATAAATAGAAATGTAGATAATCTTTTTATAACGAAAGAAGTACTCCCTCAATTCTAAAAAGACTGTCTGCTTTTTTATTTATATTTATCACAAAATATTTGTCTGGTTAAAGTTTTGAATACTTAAAATGCCTATATTTTGTAATACATGATTAAATTGGATGGATTTTCTTCTTAAATTAAAAAAAAAAGTATTGTTAAAAAAATGTCCAACTAGAATTAAGTATTAGTCCTCCTTTTGTTCTTAAAAAATGTCATTTTTAATAGAGATTAAGATGGTTCTTAATTGTTATACTATATAAGCATTTTTTTTCATAATTTTTTAAAATGTCTTTTTTAAAAAAAATAATTTTTAGTCATTAAATTTAATCCAGAATGACACAAAATCAATATTAATTAAAAATATTTTAAAAAATATATATCATTTAAAATTTTGGCTAGAAAAATATTTTAGAGCATATATAAATAGAAATGTAGATAATCTTTTTAGAACTAAAGAAGTACTCCCTCAATTCCAAAAAGAAAAATTGTCTTCTTTTTTATTTATATTTATCCCAAAATACTTACTTTGGGTATAGTTTTAAATACTTAAAATGCCTATATATTTATAATACATGATTAAATTGGATAGATTTTCTCCTTTAATAAAAACAATTAAAAAAATATTGTTAAAAAATACTGATATGATATTATAATTAATAATTTTTTAAAACTTATTGAAAAAAAACATTATTATTTGGGGACCGAAAGAGTATTAATTATCTTCAAAAAGAAAGAATCAACTAAACCCATGAGCAAAAGGATCAAGGGAGAGAACAAGAACAATGATGTTTATCCAAATAATCAAATCAAGGTAGAAATTGCACAAGGCATGGCCCAATATTAGTTATGATGTATTTATGTTCATATATATATGGTCAAATCATAAATGATGTTATTTGTTTTTAATCACTTGCTTTGCAAACATGCCAATGTGAAGGGAAAGGAAAAAAAAAGTGGTTTTCTTCGTCCTATGTCATCTTAGACCAATAATGCAGCAATTTTTGAATAATACTATTTTGTATTTATTTATATTTAAAATCAAATTGTTTGATTTTAAACTTGATTGTCTAGCGTTTGTACTCGTATATGAATAGCTTATTTTATCATTAAAAGTTGTAGGTGAGTATTATAAAGGTTGTTTTTGACTTATAAAATTAAAAATTCGATTATCATTTTTTAAAAGAATATGATCTTTAAAATGTGCTAAAGAAAATTAAGTTATAGGATGTACAATAGTAGAAGAAAGCAACTTTACCTCTTAAGCTTCATTGTATTTCTTTTTGCCCTATTATTGGACCTCTAAGTTTCCAATCTAAGCTATTATGTTTGTATTTGCCCTTTTTAATCTAACCAAATGGCTTTTTGATTAAAAAAGAAAGTCCCTTTTTCAATTTTTTTTTTTTTTTTGGGACAAAAAATAAGAATCGAATTTAATACCTCATCCTTCTTGCTTAGTTATATGTTTATCCAAAAGTATCACCAAACTACAAGTTTATTAATACTTTTCTCTTAATCTTACCTCAAGAAAGTTTGGTGGAATGCATTAAGATTAGTTAAAGAGGAAAGTAAACATCTTTCTTTAAGGACAATTAAGTTATAGGATGAATAAAGTGCTAGGGAGTGATTCCCTTTTCTTTTTCCTTTTTTTTTTCTTTTCACCTTTCCAATTTTATGTCTAGAGACTTGCGAGAAAAAAATTTGTAAAACCAAAAATGTAGCAATGGTTGAATAATCCTGTTTTTTTTTTTTTTTTTTTTAAACCAATTTGTTTGATTTTACACTTTATCGTCTAGTCTTTGTACTCGTATATAAATAGCTTATTTTACCATCAAAAGTTATAGATGAGCAGTAGAAAGGTTGTTTCTGACTTATAAGATTAAAAATTTAATTCTCATTCTTTTTTTTTGTGACATTGAGTATGAAGTATTAGTGAATTTAAAAGAATCTAATATTTAAAATCGACTAAAGAATATGCGTGATTTGACACTGACTTATTGTTCGTATTATTTTTAAAGTATTTTCTTATTATTTTTTCTTAATTTTTAGTATTAGTCCTTCAACATATATAAATTAACTAATAGGGAGGGAAAAAATCTAATACCAATTCAAGTCTTTGGCATGAATAATGCTAAACATTAGGGAGAACAAAAAATTCAAAAATATAAAACTATTCACAATATTTTTTTTAAGTATGTTCTTAATTGTTTTTTCCTTAATGTTTAGTATTAGTGCTTTAACATATATAAATTAACTATTTTTGTCAACTATGTAAATTACTTGTTGAGTAGTGTATCCAACTAGAGTTAAGAATTAGTCCTCTTTTTGTTCCAAAAAAAAAATCAAAATAAAATCATTATCTTTAATTTTTTATATAGATTAAAAAATTATTAAATGTTACACGCTTTGTTCATCTTTTTCTAAAATATTTTTCTATATATATAATTGTTAATCATCAAATTTGATCCAACATGATATGAAATCAATATTAATTAGAGATATTTTAAATAATACATCACCTAAATTTTTGATTAAATAAATATTTTTAGATATATATAAATAAAAATACAGATAATCTATTTGGAACAAAAAGATATTAATTATTTTCAAAAGGAAAGAATCAACTCAAACCATGAGAAGCATCAAGGAAGATAACAAGAGCAATGATGTTTATCCAAACAATCAGATAAATCTATTTCCAATCACTTGCTTTGCAAACATACTGCAGCCAAAAAGGTGGTTTTCTACATCCTTCGTCATCTTATACCAATAATGCAGCAATGGTTAAATAATACTGTTTTTTTTCCTATGTAAAACCTTACCTCTTTATATATAAAACCATTTTATTTGATTTTACACTTGATAGTTCAATCTTTGTAATCGTATATAAATAGCTTATTTTTACCATCAAAAGTTATAGATGAACAATAAAAAAGTTGTTTTTGACTTATAAAATTAGAAATTGTATTTTCATTTTTATTTTTAAAGCGCTAGATATGAACTATCGATGAGTTTAAAAGAACCATGATTCGATACTGATCTAATAAAAAAAATGATAGATTTATTTTTTATTGATGCAAAAACTGCTCTAAAACCACTCCACTGCTCTGTAAACATAATATATATAGTTTACCTTTTGAATTATTCATTGTATGATGAAAAGTAAAAAAAAAAAATTAGTAACCTCCAAAGAATATATCTCATGCTTGGAGTAAATTATAAATTAGTGCCTCTCATTTCAAAAAATGAATTAATTCGTCTCTCTTATTTCAAAAATAATTATCTAGTCCTTATATTTTGAAATTTACTTGCACCAATCTTTTTTATTCTTTTTTTTAATTTATTTTGATTTTTAAAAAAAATAGAAAAAAGAAAAATTATAGAAAGATTAATGAGAAAATAAGAGATTTTGTGAAATAAAATTAATATTAAATTAAATATGATCAATACTTGAATAAAAGACTAAATAATAATTTTTGAAACAAGGAATACTGATTGATTTGTTTCTTGAAACTAAAAGTACTAATTTATAATTTACTCCTCATGCTTGACCATTCTAAGTAAAACCAAATTTATCATCTCCCTTGCACCTCAAGTTCCTTCACTCTTGATGATTGCTCAACAAGTACAATAGTAAAAGAAAGCAACTTTACCTTTAAGTTTCATTGTATTTCATTTTGGCATATCATTGGACCTCTAAGTCTCCAAGCTAAGCTATTATGTTTGTATTTGCTTTTTTTAGCCCTTTTTTAATCGAACCAAATGTCTTTTTGATTAAAAACAAAAGTCCCTTTTTCTTTTTTTGACAAAAATAAGAATTTAATTTAATACTTCATCCTTCTTACTTAGTTATATATTTATGCAAAAGTATCACCAAACTACAAGTTTATTCATACTTTCCTCTTAAGCTTACCTCATAGAGTTTGGTGGAATGCATTAAGATTAATTAAAGAGGAAAGGAAAAAAATAAAAAAAAACCATCTTTCTTTAAAGACAATTAAGTTATAGGATGTATAAAGTGGTAGTGAGTGATTCTCTCTCTTTTTTTTTCCTTTCACCTTTTCAATCTTATGTTTTCTTTGATGATAAGATTCAAGTGGTACATTCAAACGAAGAATAATTAGATAGAAACCCTTTAGGTTAAGAAAACAATAGCCAATTATAAATTAGTCCCTCTGTATTTGAGAAATGAATTAGTTAGTTTTTTTTTTCAAAAATTAATTATTTAATCTCCCGATCAATATTGATTATGCTTAATTTAATATTATATTATTTTTAAAAATATCATCTTTTCTCACCAATCCTTCCTTCCATGTATTTTTTTTACTCTTTTTATATTTCTTAAAACAAAAGATCAAAATAAATTGAAAAAGAATGAAAAGGATTGAGTTACAAGAAAATTTAAAAATAAAAAGACTAAATAATTTAAAAAAAAAAACAAGAATGACTAATTATTTCATTTCTCAAAACTACTGAGACTAATTTATAATTTACTTAAGAAAACAAAAACTAACAATAATTTATAATTATTTCATTTATCAAAACTATTGTCAATTTTCATTAAAAAAAAACTAAAAATGAAAATGATACTAGATCCTCAATTTTATAAATTTTTAGGATTTAAATCCTTAAAACTAGAGATGAAGTGGGGCAAAAAAAAAAAAAAAAAAAAAGTATATGTGATCTTCTTTACATAGGTCAAGCCCTATTAAATCTTTCATGGGATCAAATGGAAACTTAATCGTATATTCATGGACCAAAAAGCTGAAAAGTTAAAAGAAAAAAAATAAGACTATTGTTTTTTCATTATTGGTGGTTGACATGGGTAGAATTAAAGGATGACACATTGCATTCTACTTTTTTTCAGGATAAAAAGATGACAGCAATTCATGATTTTGAGAAGAAACAAATGAAAAAGGTATTGCCCTAACCGAAAGGGGAAGAAGAGAAAAAGACACCTAAGATGGACGACTGAGGATATCCTTTTGCATTTTTAGGATAAGTAGTCCATTCTGTTTATTAAAATAATAACATGACAGAAAAAAAATATTAACAATATAAATTAAAATCTTTTTTCATGTCAGATATTAACAGAATTTTAATTAAAAAAACATACATATTAATATGATTAATATAATCTTAATTTGTAAATGTTTTTTGTTAAATATTAAAAGAACATGTTAATATATTTAAAAAGTATAAAATTTGTAATTTTTTGTTACAATAAGCCTAAATAATTAGACAAGTCTTTAATATATCTTTATATTTTTAATTATCTCTATTATATTTTTGTATAATATTTAATTCTCTAAGATACCCTTTAATCAAATTTTTTTCACTCAAATTAACAAAATTATATTTTTTTCATTCTGAAATTTACTTAGAGTTCTATAAGAATATAATAGATTTTTTTTTCAAAATTACTCAAAATCTTTTAAGACATAAAAAGTCATTAATTTTTTTTTAAAAAAATCAAAATTTATCTTGTATAACTCAACAATAGTTTTAGAGTGAAAATCATAATCATATCAATTTAAAAAGAAAAAATCATTAAAAAAATAAATTATGTATATAAATATAATAGATATAGTTAAAAATATAAGAAATAGAGTTATTTATTTATTTTTATTTATTTATTTTTGAAAGATGCCCTTTCCATGAAAGGTGTGCATGCTGACCTGTGCCCTAAACAAGAAGAAGTCAAAATAGCATTAAATCATACCTTACGTATTTCATGCCAAATCAACAACAAAAACAGGGACAAAATCAGAGGAAAAAAATATCCTCCTTAAATATTCACTACTTTTTTTCTGGATTCTGGATGACCAGTCCAAATCCAAGGTTAGACCAGCCATGCTGAATTTGTTGATTAGTCTTTCAGGTAGTAAATTATAAATTAGTCCTTTTAGTTTCAAGACATGAATGAATTAGTCCTTTTTATTTTATAAATTAGTCCAAAAATATATTTTTTTAATTTTTTTTCCATTTATTGAAATCAAAAATCAAAAAAATTGAAAAAGTATGAAAAACATTAAGTTACAAGAAAATTTAAAAACATAAGGATTAAATAATTAATTTTTGAAATAAAAGGACTGATTAATTTGTTTCTCAGAACTGAAGAGACTAATTTATAATTTACTACCTAAAGTAGTAAGTCATAAACCCAGCAAATTATTAATAACTCTACCCAATAAGGCAAAAAGACAAACAAAGACAAACAAAGTTGGGGCAGCCTCATGAAAGTCCTATTCCTATAAGCCAATTATCAATGAGGTCCTTAAACTCTCATTCTGTCAGAAACCCTCAAAGAAATCCCACTGTCTCAAATAATCTTCCATAAACAACAGAAAGGTAGTCCATATCGAAGAAATCATTAACTTAATAGGATGGGGATAGAATTGGGATTTTTCTAACACATATTAGGGACCTAATTGAGAAAATAATTCGTTTGAGAGGCAAATGAAAGGTATTGTAAAGATTGGAGGACTAATATGAGGTTATCTGTCCCAATAAATTTTATTTGAGACAGTAGTTAGGTGGTTAAATGATTTGGTACAAAACAGACCGAAATGTAGATGGGAGATACTAAGGTAACCTGTCCAAATCAATAGGTGGTGAAATCAAAGCAGTAACTCCAGAGGAAATGAAAAACCAAAAGCCAAAGAACAAGTGAAAGTCGAGAGTTTTAAGCAATTTCCCTTCACTTTCTTCAGTCATTGAGGTCACAAAGGAACAAAAGTGTTGGGTCATACATGTGTGTGGTGTCTTTCATATAAAATGCGAGGCACATACAGATCGATAGATAGATAGAGAGAGAGAGAGAGAGACTTTGTCGTCAGAGTTTCATTTTCTAGATGGGCTATGGACTTTTATGCATAGACCCTCCTTTCTTTGACCTCTAAAGTTCTGTTCTTTAAGACTAGTTGAAACAATACAGTATGTTAATAGCCTGTCTTTGAAGAGTTTAACGATTCTCTAAATCAAGTGTTAGTCTTTATTTTACCAAGAAATAAAGAAGAGTCAACAAAGAGAAGCTAAAAAGTTATAAACTTCGTTATTCGCAACTCCTGTTCATTGTCTCCTAGTAGTTTTGTCAGGAGAGAAGGAAAGAAAGAGGGAGGGAGAGAGAAATGGGGACTGTTTCACAGGATGCAATCAATCAGTTCAAGGCATTGATGGATCAAGGTTCAAATTTGATCTCCTTTTACTTGTTTATTTCCTTTAAAACATTGCTGAACTTTACTTTTTTTAATTATACTTATTCATTTCAAAATGCGATGGCAGTTGAGGAGCCATTGAAGAGAACTTACCAGGTTTGCATTTTTTATCCTTGTTTCTACTCTATGGGATCTGTTTCTTCAACTTGGGTCAAGAGTTTTCAAGTTAATAATAGGGGAATTATATAAATCAAAGTGAATCATGTAGTTCTGTCATCATCAGCTGCAGAATGTGATGCCGATCCATTAATTTCTTATCTGGTCTTCTTTCCCAGATGTTCATTTTTCATGATCTTTAAATGGCACTAGGATGTTGAAAATCTTTTATGTTGTTATTAAGGTGATAGCTTCGAAAGAAATTGAGGAAAAAATGTGGTGTGCAGTCGTAGCAAGGCTTGATTTAAGTAAAAAGGCTGCTTATTGGGCTTCTGGGTGTGTTGAATTTGGCATTTCATTACTTTATATCATCTTGGATTGATGGGAAGTTTGATCTGAACCCTAAGTTTGAAGTTCCATAAAAAAAATCTGGGGTTGGTAGAAACAAATCTATCTTGACTGACAGCGACGTACCTGTAAACTCATTTTCTGGTTTTGGCTATGATTTCTATTTTGTTTTTCACTTGACTGAATCTATAAATGGCACAAGAATGTCGAACTTTTCTGCTGCTATTATATAGTGACGGCATAGATTTGTTTATGCTTTGGTTTAGATGTTTATGCACTTCCATCATCAAATCTCTGCAAATTACAGTTTCTGTATTGGCTAAATTAATTTTTTCTTGATTTGGTAGAATGTCCACCAAGGATATCAAGCTGAAACTCTGGCACGCTTCCTAAAAGCTAGAGAATGTAATGTTACCAAAGCCCGTCAAATGGTTAGTAGCTGCTGCTTTGGTTGAAATGACCCGTGGATCTGAATTTTTAATTCTTTAATTGTAATTAAGATAGTTTAATTACAGTCTTTTGAGATGATATTTTCATATGATGCTGCAGTTAGTGGATTGTTTGCGCTGGAGGGTACAAAATGAGATCGACAATATATTAACCGTAAGCTTTTGTTACGATCAAATGCCACATTTAATTTTTTGTAGCTTTCTGAAGATGGAATGGGAGTTTGATGTTTGTGTATTAGTTAGAAGTTTCTTGCTAATTTATGTAAGACTCACTTTCTACACGTCTGATCTGGATGCCTTCTCCATATGCAGAAACCCATAGTTCCAGCTGATTTGTACAGAGCAGTGCGCGATTCCCAGCTCATAGGAATGTCGGGTTACTCCAGAGAGGTGCTCATTCTATGTTTATAGTTGTCTTGTTTATGTTTTCTTAATCCTAGGTATAAACTTTAAAACCCTGCCGCATCTTGCTTGAAGGAGAATGCTAGGTCGTTTGTATTAAAGAAAATTTTTATCTCAAATGTTCTTGAAACTTTTGCCTTCTTATCCAGGGGCTTCCTGTCTTTGCTCATGGTGTTGGGCTCAGCACATTCGACAAAGCATCTGTAAGTACTGTGATAAAATGCTTTAGCTATGCCTAACTGTATAAATCTTTAGATTAGTAACTTTTTGACATTAATCTTACTGCTGGGAGTGTTCAAGAATTCCATCTTTTATGTGTCCTCTTTTATTGCAGGTCCACTACTATGTGCAGTCACACATTCAAATCAATGAATATCGCGACCGCATTATTTTGGTGAGTATTTGTGTTTGGCGTATTCGTATTTCTTGAGTTCTTAATGTGATTATTCTCACCTGCATATATGGTTTGTAGCCTACTGCATCAAAAAAGCATGGGCGACCAATAACAACCTGTGTGAAGGTTTTAGATATGACTGGCTTAAGGTTTTCAGCACTGAACCAAATAAAGGTATAAGTTTCCGTGCTAGAAGTGTTTCGTTTTGTAGATAGGGCCTGTTCTTTGAATCTACTCTATTATTTTGTGTACTTTCTTTCTCAAAGGGTGATTCAACTTTAACTATCATATCTCAATTAAGTGGGTTACTTTACTTGAACCTGTATTTTCAGCCAACTAATTGATGTTTTTCCTTACCTTAAACCTCTAACTGGTATATTTTGGTGAATCTTTATTGCTATCACATTTCTGAACAGGTGGATATCGTGTAAAAATGCTTATGCATCCTGTGGCATTGACCGAGTTCAATGTTTTGTGTGATTGCAGTTGATGACCATCATATCAACTATTGATGACTTGAACTACCCGGAGAAAACAAAGGCATATTACATCGTAAATGCCCCATATATATTTTCAGCTTGTTGGAAGGTAAGCCTCCTTTTTCTCTCATTGCAATGGAATATCCTTGCATTTGATTTTTACCATTAAGTATCATCTTTGATAAAACTTTTAGTAAAAGAAGGACCTTGGTATGGGCAACATTTAAACAATTAAGCTTTTTCCAGGTTGTCAAGCCCCTACTGCAGGAGAGGACAAGAAAAAAGGTTCAGGTGTTGTCTGGAAATGGGCGAGATGAGCTATTGAAGGTATGTTGGTTTCTCTGTGAACCTTGTTCTTGAAATACTGGAAACTTAAAAGACTGTTATATGTGCTGCTTAATTCACTAGAGTTGATTTAGTAATAACTTAATGGGCATGCTTTTCTTTTCCCCGTTACTCACCATATCTCATGGACTAATCTCGATAAGCATGTTCAATGCAGATAATGGATGTTGCATCTCTTCCACATTTCTGTAAAAGAGAAGGGTCCGGATCATCTCGACATTCAGAGTATGCAAATGAAAATTGCTTTTCCTTGGATCATCCCTTTCATCAACAGCTATACAACTACATCAAGCAGCAATCATTAGAGAGCGAATCTAGTCAACCAATCAAACAAGGGTCTTTCCATGTGGATCTGCCTGAGCCAGCTGCTGAAGGAACAGAGATAGCTAAAACAATTGAATCCGAGATGCATAAGTTTGAGAATGGGAATGGTCTTTCTGGGTCCCTAGATGGCCTCAAAATCAATGACGACTCAGACTACAGAACTAGGCATTGCCCGTGATTTAATCAGTGGGTCTTAACTCTTGATGTCTGAGGACTTTCTTATAAGTATACAATATAAATGCATGTACTAGTAGTCGTCCACGTTATCTGTACATGGCAGGGAAAAGCTTAATACTATGAGTTTAATCTGATGTTCTGGCTGGATAATCGGTAAAAAGCTTGCCCCAGCCTGACATGGCGTAGGAATGCAGCGGAGAATAGTAAATTTTAGTTTCTAAGTGTTAAATTGATATTAGTCGTAGAGAGACATTTGGAGCCATCATCAATATCTTGTTTTAATGCCTTCCCCTCATAAAAGCTCAAATTGCTTACGATATCAGGTATGTGTTTGCGCAAGAATGTGAATGGTTGTTATATTTCTTCCCAGAATCCGTTTCATATGATAGAGACTACAGAGTACATCATGACAACTCATTAACAAGGTTTTCTGGTTGATAAACACATCTGCTTGGGGAAATCACACCAAAGATGTAGCAGATACGTTCTTGTGAACCCCAATGACTAATCTGAATCACCTGCAAGATCTGATTTTCAATTGCAGAATCATAGGAAGTGATCCTGATGAATCATCTGAATGTTCTACCATCTTCAAAGCACTTTAAGCTGCCACCATTGTCCGCTCTTCTTCACGCCACCTTTGGAGTTGAGCCTCGAGAGTCTTTTGTGCTGCCTCCGACATTTCTACTGACCTCAAAGCCATGTCAGTTGCTTCTTTAATTTCTTCAATTGCTTTTATATTTGCCTGCAATTTCTTTTCTGCTTCATTCTTGCTTGCATTCATTGCTTCCAACTGAGCCATGGCGTCAGCCACTTTTGTATCTGCTATATTTCCTGATTCCTCCACTTTCTTTTCTAAACTCTCCAACTCTTCCAGTGAAATTTTGATCTTGTTATCGGAATCATGATTATCGACGCTCTTTCTTTCAGATAACGTCTTCATCTCTTCGCGGGCTTTCTTTTCTGCCGCTTTGGCTTCTTCAGCCTCTTTAAGAGCAAGTTCTAGCTTTGCCTCAGCATCTTGAGCCAGTAACCTGGCTTTTTTTGTTTCTTCCTTCAGCTCTTCTGCATTCTTCTTCATCTCTTCTGCTTCTCGCCTAGCATTTTCAGTTTCCTTTTCTATTGCGGCATATTCTTTCTCTAGCAAGTCAATTTTCTCTGTCTTCACATTTTGCAACTCCATCCCGAGGGAAGTCACCATATTTCGAAGAGAACTCTCTTCAGAGGAAATACCATGCAGTGCCTTCGTCGCTTCATCTAACTCGGCGGTTAAAACTCTCACTATTTCCATTTCTGCAGCATGGGCCTTTTTCATCTCTTCTTGTAAAAGTTCAATCTCTGCAGATGCTTCTGCAAGCTTCTCCTCAAGATTCTTCGTGAGCTCAGGATCATATTCTTTCTTCAAAATCTCCAAATTCTTCTCTGCTTCTGCCGTCGCAGTCTTGCAAAAATGTATGCGGGCATCTTTTTCTGCCACTACCTTTGCCTGTTGTTCTTGAATCTGTGCAGAGGCAATCTTCAGTTGTTGTGCTGATTCCCGCATAGCTCCAATTTCCTTTGAAAGCTCACTAACCCTTTCCGCATTCATATTAGCTGAGCGTTGAGCTTCTGCTGCCTGCTGGAAGGAAGACGATTTTGCCTCCAACGCTGCATCAAAATCCTGTCGGATTTTGTTGATTTGTTGTTTCGCAGCATCAAGTTCACGAGCAGCCATCTTGTACTGTTGTCTTGCCTCATCCAATTCCCGTTTCCGGGCAGCATTTCCCACAAGTTGTTGGGATTTTGCTTCTTCAAGTTTCTTAGCCTTCTCTTTCACCGCTTCTGCAGTTTCTATTGCTGATTTCTTGGACTCCTCTACAGTTCTGAGCTTGGTAGTTAAATCATTCAATGTTCTCTTGGCCTTCTCAAGTTCAGAATTCACGCGAGCTTTCGTAGTTTCCGCATTCTCCAGTTGCCTCTTGAACTTGCCAACTTCTCTCTGAGCCAACAGAAGTTGGGTCTCCTTGTCAAGCACATTCTGTAAAACCAAAGGTTCAATTGTACATTCAACCACAAATCTGAACCTTTTCTTCACCACCATTGCCAAACTCATAAATCTTGTTCAATCATTCATTCCCTAAAGCTTAGAGATTTTCAACAACAGCCCAATATTACATCATAATATCATGTCTTCTTAATCCATCAAAACATACCCCAAACTTGTTCAAAGAAAATATGAAAATTAGGCATTACTATTATTAATTGCATTGTTTTTTACCTCTGAAGAAAGCCTCGATCTCCTGACGGCAGGTTTCCCCTTCAGAGCCACTTCACCAAATAAACTAACCGCAGCTTTGACGGATTGAAATGGCTTTTTTGTGTCAATCTCTCCCACCTCTCCTCTTGGTGATGATCCTCCAGCCTTCTGTTGATCTGTTGCCCCCTGATGTTTACCATCCTTTTGTCCATCAAAACTTATCTGCATCATCAATCAAAGCTCATATCGTTTTTCGAAATCACCCTTAAGGAAATTAATCCATGCCCATGATGTCAATCATAGTACAAACAACAAGGTGGTTAAATCAAACCTTGAAACAATGCTACACGAGAAGGGCTGAAAGGAAAACAAGACAAAACAATAGGTACCTTAAAAATGTTGTAACTTTGAAGGAGAAAACCCTCCGATGAATTTCCAAAAAAACAATATTCAACGACTTGTAGAAAAACTCAGGCTTCTGTTTCTTTGTTTTGAAAAGAGAAAAAAAGAAAAAAAGAAAAAAAAACGGATATTTTTTGCATTGTAGATTCATCTTCTATTTTGGTGGGAATGAGAACGAATTTTGCGCGGGATTTAACGGTCAAAGTTGACAGCCTAACAGAAATAGGATTTTCATTTCAGTTAGACCAGATTGGCCCTAACTTCCGGCTGCGTAATCCTTACTTGATCCCCTAAGATGAGGGCATATTTGGAAAGAAAAGAAATTGGAAAAAATGAAAAAGAAAAAGAAAAGACAGACATTTTGGGTTGGTAGTTGGAACATACGTTTGGTAGGTCAACTTTCTGCTGTCTTAAAAAAAATATATGGATGTGTTAATTAAGCATGAAAATTAAAAATTAAGCTTTAATTTCAAATATTTTGATCAATTGATGACCAAATTTTGTGTTTTTAGAGCACATTTTCGAAAAAATATTTAATAAATCTTACAAATTATTTCATATGAGTAATTTATCTGATAAATATTAAAACACTATCCATTGCCTCCTTAATTATTCACCTAATTCATAAAAATTTAACTATTAATATTACAAAGACAAAGAGATTTTTTCACACTCGTAAATCTAAACTCCAATTTACCCAAAACTAAAGTAATCTTGAAAAAAAAAAGAAGAAAAATCCTCTATTGTAAACCTCACAAAACTAGAGGGACTACTTTGGTACTTATTGAAATGGTTATGGCTGCCCACAGAAAAATTATCAAAAACATTACTCCTAGTCAGGAAGTGAACAAAGCACATGCAAAACAAGGAAAAGTGGTTGCGTTTAACGTACAAATTCCATAAATTCCCAAACAAGTTCACAGATTTCATTTACAGCACGTGCTAAAAATTGAAATTGTTTGCCTTCTATGTATCGGGAAGTTGAGCACTTAGCTTCTCATTTTTGTCGCTATGGTCAGAAAAGATATTAAGTCCGACTTCCTTTTCCTTCTAACCCTAACAAAATTATATAAATTTATTTTAAATAAATAATCATATTTTAAATTTTTATTAAAAAATCTATGCATAAAGAACAATAAATCATGTTTATCAATAAATAATATTTAAAAAAATAAAAATTTAAATAAAAATTAATTAGATGATTATTTTTATAAAAAATGACAAATTGAAAAAACAAATTTTAAATAATAATAGCAATATAATCTAAAATATGTGTTTATTTTAAAATATAAACACACACACATATATATTTCTCTTCATGTTGTGCGAGAACAAAAAAAATAGCATTCGATATTCCAAAATATTCGCTTAAAAATCTTTAGAAAAAAATTAAAAAAAAAAAAAAGAAAAGAAACCTATCTACGAACCAGGCCTATGCGCATGGGCATGGAGGAGCAAACCCAATAAGGAATTTTTTTTTAAAAAAAAAACACTACAATTTCTAGCGAGCTAGTGTTTGTTTTAAATGTTGTCGAAAAATTGTGTTTTTAGTTTCTACCTTCCCTAAAGCCAAATTTGTCTTTATTTTTTTTCAAAAACAACTTAAAATCACAAAAATTATGTAAAAAAAAAAAAAAAAAAAACTATTTTAAAGTCTCAAAATTCATCTTGATGCACATAAAACACATAAAAATGCAAATCGAACTAAAAAACTCAAAATATTTTTAGATCACAATCTACCTTCTTAAACCATTTCATGGTTTGTAATCACTACCAACAGATTCTATTCTTTAAGACAAATAAATTAGTAATAATATCGATGGTCGATGTAGCGAAAACGACCCCTCTCTCTCTCCCCTTTCTTCTCTATTTTATAAGCATCCAAGGACCATATGGCAATACAAATAAACTTTGGGATCGAATTTTTTTACTAAAAACATGAGAGACTAAAGTGCAAAAATACCAATAAATAGTAAAAATAAAGAGTATAATTGAGTGATAGTAAACATGCAATTGGGTGTTCTAAATTAACATTCTTTTTTTAGTGTTTTAGTTAATAAAACTCTAAATTTTGTAATTATTTATTAGGCGACCAAGAATTAATTTTAATAATTAATAATTAATAGTTAACATAACAAATAAAAAAATTTGAATTATTAGTATGTATTGACTTTACAATCAATATAAAAATTAAAGATTAATTCTAAACTAAACACTCTCTATAATTAATTACAATGCAAGCTAGATGTTCATTCATACCGTTCGATCATAGGCACACTTGTTCAAGAATTCCTCACTCATGCAACAACAATACAAATTAAATGTGTCTTGAGTCTTAACTATTATACATGTGTATTTTATTTACAATCCAATACAATATGAAATTATTAACGGCTATAGATATATTTATTGGCTGCAAAAATCTTGCTTGGAGTTGCAAATTATATATTACTTGTACTATTTTCATGCAATAGATATGAATATGATGATAAATAAATTACAAATTAGCTTCTCTTGTTTTGAGAAATGAATTAATTAGGCCTTTTGATTTCAAAAAATAATTATTTAATTTTTTTAACCAATGGTGACTAAAGCTATTTTTTTTCTAAAATGTCTTTTTTCTCATCAAACTTTTTTCATATTTTTATCTATTTTTTTTACTTCTTTTCTATTTCTTAAAACAAAAAGTCAAAAAAATTGAAAAATAGCAAAAATGACAAAAATTAGTTTTTAAAATCAAATGGACTAATTAATTCATTTTCTTATGAAAGAGGGACTAATTTATAACTCCTCTTCCTCCGACAAAAATAAGGTGGAAAAAAAATGCAATTAGAGGAACATTAAATGCTTTATCGGAAAACAAATGAAAATGATGAAAAAAGATTAAAAGAGAAATAAAAAAAGAGAGTCAGTCGAAGATAAATGTAGAGTTTCACAAATCTATTAAGTGATAATGAAAGTAATTAAAAATACAAGAAAATATCATTTATAATGCAAAGGAAAAAAAAAAGAAAAATAATCAAAAATGATTAAGAAAGAAAATTAAAAAGAGAATAAGTCAAAAGTAAGTGTGGATTTTCATAAATCCATTAAGTAATAATGAGAGTAATTAAGGACAAAAGAGAAGATTTTTTTATAAGACAAAAGGCCAAAAAAAGGAACATGAAAAACACCATCTCTTTTAATGTTTTTTTTTGTAATTATTATTGCATTCAAAGGTGAGTCAAACTCGTCTTTCCCAAATTTCTGTCTTTTCCACCAATTTTACATGAGGTAAATAGTGAACTTGAGTTTCACTAAACCTTAACCTAACCTAGCTTCTCCACTCTCAGAGAAACAGAGGGAGAGATGGGAAACAGAAGTGACTATCTTCCTCTCTTTGAAACAAAGTCATCAAGAAGACATTTTCTGCTCAAACTATATGTACTTTCAATATTTGCGGCTATATGCATGATATGGGTGTATAGAGTGAGCTACTTACCAGTTGAAGGAGTCTTGGAAAGATGGACTTGGATTGGAATGTTCTTTGCAGAACTATGGTTCAGTTTTTACTGGTTTATCACACATCTTGTTAGATGGAACCCGATTTATCGTTACACTTTCAGAGACAGGCTCTCTCGAAGGTAAAATATCACTGTCATTTGTTTATATCCAGGTAAGTTCAAGTCCCTTTTATAATGATTCTGAAATACTTGACAGGTATGAGAAGGATTTGCCACGAGTAGATATCTTTGTTTGCACTGTAGACCCAGAAATGGAGCCACCAATCATGGTGATCAACACCGTCTTATCGATGATGGCCTATGATTATCCACCAGAGAAGCTGAGTGTCTACTTGTCAGATGATGGTGTCTCAGAATTGACATTTTATGGAATGTTAGAGGCATCAAGGTTCTCAAAGTATTGGCTACCGTTTTGTAAGAAGTTCAACATAGAACCAAGATCACCCGAGGCCTATTTTCAGACAGCTCTTGAACCATTGGATGATCCTGTCAAGGCCAAGGAGTGGTTGTTCATCAAGGAAAACCATGTTCTTGACATCGAATTTTAGTCTTACTCGTGCTTGTCCAAAATGATTCCTTTCTGGTTGATGTTGCTTTATTCTAATCATTACCTTTTCATTTTACTGGCAAACTTTTTCTTAAACTGCAGAAATTATATGGAGACATGAAGAACCGGATTGAGGTCACATCAAAGCTAGGCCAAGTTTCGGAGGAAATTCGTAAGGAACACAAGGGATTTTCTGAGTGGGATTCTGTTTCAAGCCCGCGTGATCATCTAACCATCGTTCAAGTACCTATCTTCAACATTTCGAATTCCAGAATGAGTTTACTTACTGAAAACAGTTTGCTCATAGAATTGACTGGTTTTGTAGATACTGATTGATGGGAGAGATCCTCAGACTATGGATAACGAAGGACAACATTTGCCAACTTTGGTATACTTGTCACGAGAAAAGAGGCCCCAATATCCTCACAACTTCAAAGCAGGAGCCATGAATGCACTGGTAAGTTGAGGATGTTTTTCCTTTAATTCGCAGTGGTTAGCTTTGCTTGTTTCTGTTAATTTGCAGTTCTTAGATTTGAAAGTTTTCCACAATATCCTGCTGACTAGATAAGGGTGTCATCGAGGATAAGCAAAGGTCCTATCATCATGAACGTCGACTGCGACATGTACTCGAACAATTCAAATTCTTTAAGAGATGCTCTGTGCTTTTTCATGGATGAAGAGAAGGGACATGAGATTGGTTATATTCAGTATCCGCAGGCAATGGAGAACGTCACGAAGAATGACCTATATGGCAATTCATTGAATGTAATATTTGAGGTATGCATTGTCTCATCATTCCTGATTCCTGATAAGTTTAGTACTTAAAAGAGTAAGAAATAGCTAGTAACAGGAACAGATTTTAATGGTTAACTGCTGACACCTCCTGTGGCTATCGATCAAGATGGAGTTTCCAGGAATAGATGCAAATGGAGGGCCTATGTATATCGGTACCGGGTGTTTCCACAGGCGAGTTAATCTTTGTGAGAGGAAGCATAGCAATGAACACATAGTAGACTGGAAGAGAGTGACTGAAATAAAGATTGAACAAAGCGCCAGAGCTCTTGAAGAAGAATGCAAAGTCCTTGCAAGTTGTACATATGAAGAGAACACTCAATGGGGAAAGGAGGTCTCTCTCTCTCTCTCTCTCTCATAGTTTTAAATCGTGCATAGTCGAAAAAACGATTGCGGACGTCATCGTAGATTGTGACTTACTATAATACTAAAATAACGGTAATGGCATGCTTCAAAATCGTTACATAACGGCCGTTAATTAAAACTATGCTCTCTTTCTCCCTCCCGCACACGCACACGGTCTTGCATGCTCAAACTCATAGCATTAAACAAGGATTTCAAATTCACAGGTGGGTTTGAAGTACGGGTATCTACTGGACGATGGAATGACAGGATTCTCTATCAGATGCAGAGGTTGGAGATCAGTGTACTTCAATCCTGAAAGGAAAGCCTTCTTAGGGCTTGCTCCTACAACACTACTGCAAACATTGACGCAGCATACGAGGTGGTCTGAAGGTGAATTTCAAATTCTCCTATCAAGGCATGGTCCCTTCTTCGACGGATATAAAAAGATACCCCTAAAACTTCTGCTTTCATACTGTATCTACTTTCTATGGGCTGCCAACTGCTTCGCTACACTCTACTACGTTATTGTGCCATCTCTTTGCCTGCTCAGAGGCATTTCCTTATTTCCAAAGGTATGAACTCTTCAATTCTGCTATAAAGTGCGGTCAATTACTTGTGTTTCTTGCAACATTAAGCAACTTTAATAGACTCCAGAAAACCTAATGTTCCCGCAGGCATCCAGTGCATGGATTCAGGCATTTGCATATGCCATAATTGCAAACCGAGCATATGGCCTCGTCGAATTTCTTTGCTGTGATGGTACGTTTCAAGGCTGGTGGAATGATCAAAGGATTTGGATGTTCAAAAGAACAACATCCTATTTATTTGGCTTCTGTGACACTATCCTGAAGATGCTAGGTTTCGCAAATCCTGCCTTTGTAGTCACTGCCAAGGTTGCTAGTGAGGATGCTTCTGAGAGATACGAGCAAGAGATTATGGAGTTTGGTACGCCTTCACCGATGTTCAACATTTTAGCAACACTTGCACTGCTCAACATGTTCAGTTTTGCTGGTGGAATAAAGACGGTGATTTCGGATGCCGAAAACAAGGTTTTAGACCTGTTCGCATCGCAGATAATTCTATCAGGGCTCATAGTTTTGATCAATCTACCGGTATATCAAGGGCTCTTCTTTCGGAAGGACAGCGGCAGGATTCCAAATTCAGTGACATACAAGTCACTTGTTGTTTCAGTCTTGGCTTGTTCAATTGCTCTGTACTAAAATGACCATATCCTTCTTCAAACCTACCAGGAATGTTGCCTCTTCGAGGAGGCTGAAAGAATAAATAATTTCTACTCACTAATAAATTAATGTATGATTATGTGGCTGACTTCATGCTTGTTAGCTTTGCTGCTTTCCAAGCTGCACCAAAATTTGGAATGGATTGTGCAGTTTTGTGTCTCTATCAGATAATTGAATGTGCAGAAAGATTTTTTTTTTTTTTTTTGATGAAGAAAAATGAATTAAAAGAATCAAATAATTTATGGAATAGTCCAGATATGTATTCCAAAAATAGTTAATGACAGAATGATCAAGTTTCTATTAGAAAAATGAATTTAGGTCTAATGGCCCATGACAGGTTGACTTGACAAAAAAAATTATTTAAAATACAAATAAAAGAGAAAAAAAAAAAGCAAACTAAGAAAATATAATAGAATAAAAAGAATAGGAAAAAAAAAAAAAACTCTCTATGAAATTCAGATAATAATTTATGCGTTCTTGGTGGAGAATGTTATGGAAACAAATCAAATTTTGACAAATGAAGAAATTGAACGCACAACCTTTTCTGGTTTAAAATTCCCATAAATATTTATTTGATTATGTTGTTATGAATTTTAAGATTAATACATAAAAAAAGAAAACCTAAAACTTTGACAACTATGGGAACTGAATCCATGCCCTTTAAGGAGGAAGCTTAAACTAGTGCCTAAGACTATTGGGCTAACATGCTATTTTGATTTTAAAGTTATTGGAAAATTAACTATTATGAGAATCTAGTGTTAAGAGAAGTCTCAATTACTATTGCCTCATTTTCACCAAAGTTTTCTTCCTCTCTTGGGACTCGTTGTTGCTATTGTAGCGTCTTCTTCCTCTTCTAAGACTGCTTTTGTGTCTTAATCATCTTCTAAGTCTCCCGCACATAATCAACAACAAGATGGATATAGAAGTTAGATAGAAGTCTTAAATCTTATCTTTGTACACTTGATATAGTTTTGTATTCTTATCTCACGTAAAAGACTCTATAAAAGATAGAGTATCACAAATCAAAAAATATATAGGAAATATTCTTCAATTCAAAGACTTCTATTACTCAATTTGGTATCAAAGCCTTAAAAAGGTTAAAGATTCTAAAACCTATGCCACTTGATAAATCCAAAAAGATGAACTATAAGTGAAGGAGAGTGTTAGAGAACATATCTCACATTGACTAGTTAAACTAATGTTAATTAATATATTAAGTTAACAAGGAAACACCCACCACAAGGCTTAAGTTTTTTTGTTGGAATCCAATCTCAACTATTTATTTTGGAGAAGAATTGATTTGAATAAGGGAAAAAAATTTATGGAAACAACTATAACACATGACATGTTAAGAGATATTATGTCCTAGAAGAGAAAGAGGCTTTGGATTAATCATGGGATGATTGAGCCTCAACTTGAAGATGGGAATAACAATGCCTAGTATCATCGAGATATTACTACTTATCATGACTAGAAGAAGGCGATTCCATTACAAAGGGAATACCGATTAGTTTTACGAATGATGATCCGGTTTTGAAGTACCAGGATTATCTAACTATTTATGCCATCCGGGCAACACCGAGGGAAGAGTTTGAGGGGATAATTGTCTCCAAACTAAGGTAGTTGGTGATCAAGTTTGACATTTATAAGGCCTCAAATAAATTCATAAAGTAGCACTTGAGGGACATGTCAAACTTGATTACGGAACTAAAGCAAGCTGGATATATCTTGACAAATAAACAATAAGTTCAAGTCGTTACTCGATCTCTTCCCGATACACGGGAGCATATGAAAGTGAGCATGATACACAATGAAAGTATCGGGACATTTACCGATGTTGCTTGCCACATTAAGCTAAAAGATGAGTGTTTAGAGGTAGCTTGACCAAATGCACATATATGGTCGGATCTAGCTTTAAGAAAGCTTTAGACTTTAAGCATAAGTGGTGCAAAAATAAGAAAGGGAAAAAGATTTGATAAGGACCAAATAAAAGAAATAAGTTTTTTAAAAGCAATGGAAAGAAAGATAAAACCAAGTTGATCTCGCTATAATTATGGCAAGTCGGGTCATTTCGTTCGTGAATACATTGAGTCGAAGAAACTATTGTCTTTAAGCACCTATTTTTCCAATGCTTATGTTTCTAGTACTATCATACTCATTGAATCTCATCCTTTATGGAATGTAGACTCATGAGCCACCGATCATGTAATTAGGACAAAAATGCATTTATGAAATTTCATCAAATTTCAAGTAGGATGCGACGGATATATGTGGATAACAATACGAGGGTTGAAGTGCTTGGACTTGGCACATGCAAGTTGAACTTGCAAGAAGGTTAGACCTTGTATCTACATGATGTCCTATACAATTCAAAGATTCAAGGAAATTTAGTCTCTGTAGTTATGATATTAAAATTAGGATATAATTTGTACTTTTATGGTAGCACTCCGGACATATTTAATGGTTTTATTTATTTAGAATCTAGTTATATCATGGATAGTTTTATAGTGTTGAACACCAAATATTCTAATATGAACAAGAATGTATGCTTTTTTATGCTAACTACTTTTAGCAATGATAATTTAGATATTAATCCATGACATGCTAGATTAAAGCATATTGGACGAGATAGAATGAAGAAATTAGCTCGAGATGGTCTTTTAGAATCAATCTCAAGAATTGACTTGCCTACTTGTGAATATTTTTTGCAAGTAAAAACAATTAGAAAACCATTTGATAAAGCCTAAAGGGAAGAATTTCTTATGCAACTAATACATTCGGATTTTTATGATCCTATGAATGTAAGGGCTAGATATGAGCATTGTATTTTATTACTTTTATAAATGACTTTAGTCATGTCTTTTTTATCTCCCATAAACTGAAAGCAATAGATTGCTTTATTAAATACATCAACGAGGTTGGGAATTAATTAGATAAAAGAATTAAGAATCGATAGAGGTCATGAGTATCTATCAAATCATTTTAATGGTCTTTGCGGTGAGAACAAAATAACTAGGCAACTTACGATTCCTAATTTGCATGATTTATGCCCCTAGGGGTCTACTACATATGTTCATGCTACTTTCTATAAGTATGATAGATTAGGGCCTTAAGGAAAACAACGTATCTTCATAAGATATTTTGAATACTTAACGAGGTACATTTTTATTAGTGAGGACTTCGATAGACGAGCCACTACAATTGAATCTAGAGATGTTACTTTTCTAGAAGATCTATTCCTTAAAAAGAATGAGATAGACAAAACGATCTTCATTTTTTTGAGATAGAAAAAAGATGATGAAATGCTTGTAAGTCATCCGGAAATCAATGTGCTAGACTCTCTTCTTCCTAGTAGAAGCTTTGATAGCATAACACCATCATCTTAATTAAGTAGGAGGAATGAGGACGATTCGATTTTGATTAGTGTTAATGATTCTCATTTACATAGGAGAAATCAATCAAGAATTCCTAAAAAATGATTCAAAATTGAGGATGAATACTATATGATAACCACTATAAGATGATGAAAAACCTAGAACACTAAAAGAGGCATTAACATGTACTACCAAACAAAAAATAGAAAGTTACATTAAGAGAGGAAATAAAATCCATGAAGTTGAACTAGGTCCGGAGTTGATCTTCGTTAAGTCGTAAAGCAATTAGGAATAAATGGGTTCTCAAAATAAAATGAAAGGCAAACGGATCGGTTGAACGATACAAAGCTCGCCTTGTGGCTAAAGGTTTTGCCCGATAAAAGGGTATGAACTATGATAAAACCTTTTCTTGTGATATTGGGTTTGCCTTGATAAGTATGTGGACACCTCCGTGTTAAAGGCCACACTTTAAGTTGTGAAATATGTCTTAAAACTTCACAAGAAAAAGAAAAGATATCTAAAGAGTCATATTCAAGTGCGGTTAGAACCTTTATGTATGCAATGATGTGTACTCGTTTGGATATATGTTTTGTTGTTGGTTTGTTTAGTCAATTCCAATTGAATCTCGATCGAAAACATTGAAATGTTGCATAAAGGATACTAAGATATCTCGAGGGCACTCGTGAATTATTGTCCGTGTTATTAAAGGAAAAACTTACATCTAACCGAGTACTCGGATGCTAATCGGAGAGGAGACTTTGATGAACATAAATTCACTTTTGGTTATACTTTTGTACTCAATAATGACTATATATTTTAGAGTAATAAGAAACAAACCTACACGGCTTTGTCTACTTATGGAGGTTGAATTTATAGTTTGTTCAACTATTATGCTAGAAGCATTTTGGTTGAAGAGATTCTTTGAAGATTTGGAAGTTAATAGTGATAGTTTAGGGCTTGTTATAGTCTAGTGTACAACCGGACAACTATTGCTTATACCAAGGATCCCAAGTACCATAATAGAACTAAACATATTGATATCAAGTATAATTACGTTAGAGACATCATCAAAAAGGGAAAAGTATCGGTACAATATATATCTATGCATCAAATGATAGCGAGATCCTCTCATAAACCCATACCAAGAGACGTGTATCTTAAACATATTAAATTTCTTGGAATATGTAGATTGTAACTTTATCATAATAACAAATAATTGAACTTTGTATGTTGTACGAATTCTTCTACAAATGTAATTTGATATTGTCACATAGGTTTAGATTGGCTCTCTCACACGAGTAATCACCTTTAGCGCTGTTAGAAGTGATTAGAGTAGAGACAAGATTGAGAAAGTGTCGTCTTAATATAAAATTAAGATGAGACTCGTAAAACAATGTACTTTTTACAATCGATTTGGAAAGCTCGATCCAAATAACTTGTGAAAGTCGATTTGAGATCTCAATGCTAATACTTGCTAAGAGAAAACACTTTGAGAACTCATGTTAGTTGTTTATATCCGATGACTGAATTAAGATCTATAATGTATATAAGATATGACTACTAGGAACACTATAGCACATGATTCATACCACATATGCTAATTTGATCGCAAAAGATAGTGGGAGAATGAATCTCTGCTTCTCCACCATATGAGATCTTTAAAGCAATAACAATATCCTCTAACTAATATCCTTATCACTTTTTATGGTTACTATTATCTCAAACATCACCTAAACTATACTTAAATGATTTTTTGATTTATAAATACATTAATATTCTTAAAAATTATTTTTACACCTTAGAATTATTTTTATAATAAATATTTCAATAACTTATCTCTATTTTTTACTATTATCTCAAACATCACCTAAACTATACTTAAATGATTGGAAATGATTATTACAAGACTGTATTTTTTTGTAAAAAAATTGAAATTAATTAATTCATCAATAAATACATTATTTTCTCAACATTATTATTTACAACTAAATCAATAATTTATAATTTTAATCGGTTGTAAAATTTTGTCGGTAATTGTAGTGAATTAGTTACAAATTATTTCAATATTAATTTTTTGAAACCAAATGAATAATTATTTACAAATGATAACTAATGATTTGTAAAACTATATTTTAAACTAAATTATTAGTTCAATTTTCAAAAAAAAAATTCTTAATAAAGTTACCAAAATAATAATACTAGGATTATTTAGAATTTTTTTTTAACTAAATGTGAATATTGACTTGATTTTGTTCCTAGTAATTTTGATGAATTGGTTTGATGGTTAAAAAAATACATTTTATTTTTTGAATTAAAATTTTAGAGTCGGTAATTATGAAAATTTATTAAATTTTTCTAATTGTATCTAATATTGTGAAGTTACGAATATGTCTTTTTGAAGTTTTCTCAAAATTTGTTGATATAACAATCACATACTATTTTTGTATTTTAATTTTTTATATCAAACAAACACCGAAATATATTTTCTAACAGTTTTTCATGTAATTGCTAGAAAATATTTTTTTGAAAAATAAGTTTTTAGAAAATAACTTCTTCAGGAATTGATTTTCCTATAGAAGTTATTTTTTGTCAAACAAACAAAGCCTTATTGAACATCTCTCTGCAAACTCTCTGAAAAATTGGAAACACAAAAGGAACGTTGTCATGGTACTTGGATTATGACATTCAAATAGTGATTTAATATTATTATCTTCATCTAGTAAAACTATTTGTTTTGATCAAACGTGTTTGGTCTTTTTTCCTTGAACGAGGACAATATATACGAAGAAGATAAGATGCTTGAGGCCCCAAGTTTCTCCGCCTGAAACCAGTAATAGTTTTTTGCTCATCTTTTGAACTACAAACAAAAACTTTACATGTCATGGCCATTACCCTTTTCCTTCCTAGTGTTTGTTTGTTTTTTTTTTCTTTTTTTTTTCTATAAGTTATTTATAATTCATATTTTCGTGACGAAACTTTATTACATCTCGTAAATAATATAATGCATATACTTCATTACTTTTTTCTGAAAAAAAAACTCACTAGTTTCATCTTACTGCCACAACCATCGGCTAACATCAGTGGCAAACAGAGCCTTAAACCTCAAACTCACTTGTCTTTTCTGCTCTGCTATATATGCTTAACCTTTCATAATCTCTGTGTGTGTGAGAGAGAGAGGTAGGGAGAGAGATGGGAGAAAACGACTATCTTCCACTCTTTGAAACAAGGGCATCAAGAGGAAGGTTTCTGTTCAAACTCTACGTCCTCACAATATTCGTTGCTATTTGCATGATATTGGTGTATAGGGTGAGTTACTTGCCAGTTGAAGGAGCAGTAGAAATATGGAGTTGGATTGGAATGTTCGTCGCAGAGCTATGGTTCAGTTTTTACTGGTTTATCACTCAACTTATTAGATGGAATCCCGTTTATCGTTACACTTTCAAGGACAGGCTCTCTCAAAGGTAGTATATGTTTCCATTTTCACTGTGTTTTATTTCTATATATCCAGGCTAGCTTTAGTCTTTTTGGGTTATAATGATTGTGAACTACTTGACAGGTATGAGAAGGATTTGCCAAGGGTAGACGTATTTGTGTGCACTGCAGACCCAGAAATAGAGCCACCAACTATGGTTATCAACACAGTCTTATCTATGATGGCCTACGATTACCCACCGGAGAAGCTGAGCGTTTATCTATCGGACGATGGTTGCTCCGACTTGACCTTTTATGCAATGTTAGAGGCATCAAGATTCTCAAAACATTGGCTGCCATTTTGCAAGAAGTTCGAGACAGAACCAAGATCACCAGAGGCCTACTTTCGGACAGCTCTTGAGCCACTAGATGATCCTCTCAAGGCCAAGGAGTGGTTGTTTGTCAAGGTAAATATTGTTTATGAGTTCAAGTCATTGTTCATAGTCACTTTTTATAAGGTTATTCTGACACTATATGGGAAATCTGTAAATTAACCCTAAATGCTTCAAGTAAATATCGGTAATTTCAATAACTAAGGCGATTTACACATTGTAGAGGTCGGTAATAAAAGGAAGTTAAGATAGTAAAAAGAGAAGCCATTAAATGCTATGATAATTGGTACCAAGCTGTCTTAACCATAGTTTTAAATGACATACGGTTGAAAAAACGATCGCAATCGCTATCGTAGATCGTAACTTACTATAATACTAAAATAACGATAATGAAATACTCCGAAATCGTTACATAACAGCTATTATATAACTTAATGGCCTTTGTTTAAAACGATGGTCTTAACTGCAACAGTACTCGTTCAGGAATGCTGGCTGTCAAGTTTTTCCAGAAAAAGAAACGTCTAGTCTAGCTTAATTTCTTGCCATTTAAGGAGTGGTCCCGAACAAGTTGCGTGCGGGGTTCAAGAGATTTGATAATTTTCAGGTCCATTTCAATTTTGTCTTTTTATAAGGTCCAGTTCATATCTTGAATGCTGACAATTCTAGCAGATGTGAGGCTGTGCTTCAGGTGGGAGGAGATGAAACCCTAGGTTCCACAAGTTATGGTAGGGACCAATTGCTAATGCTGATTAAGAAATGTCTGACGTTTGTGTTGGCTAGGTGACTTCTAGGATCTTTCTATTTGCAAGTTGGCAATTTCCCATGTCAATCAGAATCTAGCAGTTTGAAAGGTTGCGTATGTAACTTTTGCATAACCTTAAATCAATTGGAAGATGCTTCATGAGTTGTTGTGTCATCTTTCCATAAACGCTTGGAGGATAAAAGCAAATTGTTGTCGAGGATAAAAACCAGCCGACGGCATGCATGATGCAATACGAAAATGATAAATAATAAGAAAAAACTTCAAAAAGATAGCGAACAATTGGATCTTATTCTTAACGTGAGGTCTAATGATAAATTTCTACTAATCTAATAGCTCATGCATATTTTTGAAAATTTCAATTTTTTATAGCTCTGACAGATTCGAAGTTAATGGCTTCGTTCATCTTGTCTAGGTATCTTTGTTTTTGTCCAAACGATGTCATTTGTGTTCATTTGTTTATGTTCTTTTTTTTTTTTCCCTCCCTCCAAATTTGATTACAATTGAGCTCAGCTATACTTTCTGAATCATAGAAACTATACATGGACATGAAGAACCAGATTGAAGCTACCACAAAGCTAGGCAAACTTCCGGAGGCAATTTGCAAAGAAAACAAAGGATTTCGCGAGTGGAATTTCGTTTCAAGCCGGCGAGATCACCAAACCATCCTTGAAGTACTTCACCTTCATCGTTTATAATTCCAGAATGAGTGCATTGAAACATGAAATACCTTTTAACTCTATCAATTGACTGGTTTTGTAGATTCTGATAGATGGAAGAGACCCTCAGGCTATGGATAATGAAGGACAACCTTTGCCAACTTTGGTATACTTGGCTCGTGAAAAGAGACCTCAATATCCTCACAATTTCAAAGCAGGAGCCATGAATGCACTGGTAAACAGACGATATTTAGTGTTCTAACTTAGTTCTACTTATCTGTAACACTGCAGGCATGAAAACTAACCGTCATGCGCTATATCATTGACTAGATAAGGGTGTCATCCAGGATAAGCAATGGTCCGATTATCCTCAACGTCGACTGCGACATGTACTCTAACAATTCATACTCAGTAAGAGATGCACTATGCTTTTTCATGGATGAAGAACAGGGTCATAAGATTGGCTATATACAGTATCCACAGGTGTTTGAGAGCCTCACAAAGAATGATATTTACTGCAATGCATTGAACGCAGAAATGAAGGTATGCATTAGTCCATCACTCCTAATTTGTTAAATATTTGAATGAGAAAATAACCAGTAAGAACGATTCTAATGGATTCTGTGCTGCTATTGTATACCTGGCTATCTAGGTGGAATTTCCAGGATTAGATGCGAATGGAGGGCCACTATATATTGGTACTGGGTGCTTTCACAGACGAGAGGCTCTTTCTGGGAGGAAGTACAGCAACGAATGCAAGGTAGACTGGAAGAAAGTGAATGATACAAAGGTTGAAGAAAGTACTGGAGTCCTCGAAGAAGTATGCAGAGTTCTAGCAAGTTGTACCTATGAAGAGAATTCCGAATGGGGAAAGGAGGTCTCTCTCTCTCACAAACATAAGCACGCACTCACAAATAACACACATGCATGCGCAAATTAATGGGAATAACTAAGAGTTGCAATTTCACAGATGGGTTTGAAATATGGCTGTCCAGTGGAGGATGTAATCACAGGACTCTCTATACAGTGTAGAGGTTGGAGATCTGTGTACTTCATTCCTGAAAGAGAAGGTTTCTTGGGACTAGCTCCTACAACACTACTACAGACATTGATTCAGCATAAGAGATGGTCTGAAGGTGATTTTCAAATTTTGCTATCAAGGCACAGCCCCTTCCTGTTAGGACATAAAAGGATACCCCTAAGACTTCAACTTTCATACTGTAACTACTTGCTATGGGCAACCAGCTGGTTTGGGGTGCTGCCCTATCTTGTTGTGCCGCCCTTTTGCCTGCTCAGGGGCATCTCCTTATTTCCAAAGGTATGGACTTTTCAATTCACCAACTATAACAGATGATCCTCTGCTCTTACATTGCCAAAGATAAATTTCCAGAATAAACCAAGCATAAGGATACAACAAATCTCAATCTAATAATCAAGATGCATCATCATCCTGCTCCTCATTGCCATCCTTAAACATTTCATACTCTCATTATCATCCTCATCTATTCTTAACATGAAATGGTTTTCTAAATTTTCCACTCAACTACTTGTGTTTTTCTTAACTATTTCTAGACTCCAGAAAACAGTTACCAAGAAAAATTGACTGCTCAATCATCTTGCTCCTTCAGGTATCAAGTCCTTGGATCCAACCATTCACATATGCCATCTTTGCCAACCGTGCATATGACCTCGTAGAGTTTGTTTGGAGTGGTGGCACATTTCAAGGTTGGTGGAATGGTCAAAGGATGTGGGTGTTCAAAAGAACAACTTCCCATTTATTTGGCTTCTCTGACGCTATCCGGAAGTTATTGGGATCCACAAAGTCTGCTTTTGTGATCACCGCAAAAGTAGCTGATGAGGATGTTTCCGAGAGATACGAGAAAGAGATGATGGAGTTTGGTGTTTCTTCTCCAATGTTTAACATTTTAGCAACACTTGCACTGCTCAACATGTTCAGTTTTTTTGGTGGCATAAAGATGGTGATAATGAATGTTGAAAGTAAGGTTTTTGACCTATTGGGCATGCAGATAATTCTATGTGGGCTCATATTTTTTATCAGTCTACCAATATACCAAGGGCTCTTCTTTCGAAAGGACAGCGGCAGGATGCCCAATTCAGTAACATACAAGTCAATTATTGTTTCGCTATTGGCTTGTTCAATAGCCTTGTACTAAAAACGATTGTACCCTTCTTCAAACCTAAGCATAAACTTGCTAGACTATGCATTTGTAGAACTATGAAGGAATACATTGCTTCTACACACTAATAAAAGCGCTATGCCGCTATTGGCTTGTTCAATAGCCTTGTAATAAAAACGATTGTACCCTTCTTCAAACCTAAGCATAAACTTGCTAGACTATGCATTTGTAGAACTACAAAGGAATACATTGTTTCTACACTAATAAAAGCGTACCAAGTAATATTTTCATAGAGAAATTTCCATATGGCTGAGAATGCATGTTTATGGAAGTATCCTAACACATTAGTTTACTATAAGCTTGGGTATAGGGTTTTAATAAACAACCACAAATACTATATAGCATGTTAACTCAAAGATTTTTAAGGTAAACAAACACCAATATATTTATCTTTGTAAGATTTTGATACACCTTTCATTATTGAAGTAAAGTTACATTGAACAAGAAAAGTTCTGAAATGCACAACAGTAAGATGATGCGAGATTAACAAAATCTATGTCATAGCAAAGAAGGTCCAACCCTTGCAACTGGCCTGCAAAATGCAAAAGTGTATTCGTGACCCACTGAAAATTCATAATAATCCAAGTCCTAGGAGGGTGGCATCACTTTTTTCCATTCTGGAATCAGTGATGAACCGGAATAATAGGTCAAATATTTCAGGGTGATTTATATTTACAAGACTTGCCCAGAATTTGAAATGTGGGAAGAACTAAGGCAAAAGATATCACGAAATTGAATTGAACATTCATTTGCCTTACCAAGTGTAAAGGGCTTACATGAGTTCAAGGACAAGGGCAGATGCCCCTCCTCCCCCATTGCAGATGCCACCAACTCCATACTTCCCATTCTTATGTTTTAGTACCTGAAACATACTCGCATACCTTATTTCAGATGATGAATGAACATAACGAAAGGTATGTAAAAGGAACCAGTTCTAATGCATCTGTAACCCATTCAAGCAACTGGCTTCTCTCCAAAATCATTTCAGGCACAGAGCACGAACAGAGGGGGTGAAAGGAAAGAACTCTAGACAGAAGAAAATTAGAGGCTAACTTTGTAGCGTACAGAAAATTCAAACACACACAAGTGTGGGTTGAGAGAGAGAAAGAATAAACAACAGTGTTCAGAGAAGCCATAAGAAACAGAGCAAAAATGAATAAGCCACTATATAAATTACCCCAAGCAATGTGACCAAGATACGAGCCCCGCTGCATCCTAATGGATGTCCCAAAGATACAGCTCCACCATGAGCATTTACTTTTTGCTGCATTCATAACCAACACAATACTTCAGTCAAAAGAAAACAAATGATGAATAACTGAATAGAACATCCAAAATAGCCCCCAAAATTTAGCATTAGAGTGCACTGACAAATAAAGAATAAAGGGCTGAATTAGTTTATAACTCACGGGATTAAGACCCAGCAATTTTTGATTGGCAAGAGACACAACCTGTGAAGAAGATAGCAACACATGTAACTAGCAATAGCTACTTCAAGAAGACAATGGTGGTATGAGTGTGAAGGCATAGCTCTTACGGAAAAAGCTTCATTTATTTCATAGAAATCAATCTGAGAAGCCTCCAAACCAGCATTTGAAATAGCTTTCGGCATTGCAAGAGCTGGTGTAGTTGTGAATAACTCGGGGGCCTGTCAAGGCAATGTTGTTTCAGCACTAGGTTATTTGAAGTTCTGCTCTGCCAAGCCCAAGAAAACACAAACAGCATTCTTTAATCTACCTGAGCAGCATCAGCATATCCTCTTATCTTCGCAATTACTTGCAACCCGAGCTTTAGTGCCTTCTCCCCACTCACCAGGACTAGTGCAGCAGCACCATCACTGTTAATCATAACAGAATCAACCAATAATGAAATGACAAAGGGTGTGCTTTGACACCAAAATGATCACGGGTTACATAATTGATTCCATTATGCATGGCTGATGAACTTAAAACATGTGACCCTTGATTTTTTTGAGAGGGTAACAGGCATATAAACATAAAAACCAGCTCTGGCCAGTAATGTTTCATTACATAAAAAAGAGTCTGCTAGCACTCGAGTTAAGATTCTCTAATTATGGTGGGTGAAGGATCTCATTTGGGGGTCAATTCTAGTTTAAGAAGCAGAATGCATTCACAACTTTCTTGGTAAATTCTTCTAATCATCTTGATGCATCTGTAATGATCTAAAAGAAATTCTCCAAGGACAAGGGCGAGAGAGAGAACCTTATGCTAGAAGCATTGCCAGCAGTAACAGAGCCACCATTCTCCTTGAAACTTGGTCTAAGCTTTCTAAGTTTCGAAGCATCAAACTAGGAAGAGACACACGAAAAGAGGAAAAACAGAATAAATTGACTTTCAATTTAAAAGAAGAGTTTTAACTTGATAAGTGGGCATGTTTACTATGTTATCTTCATTTTGGAAATGATAAATGGAAGGTTGAAATGAATGGTACCATAGTTAACTATCAATAATATCTGGAAAAACTGAAGCTGATAGCCTTCATGAGCTCAACATGACAAGAAATAAAGCCAAATACTTCTGTTTGTGCTTCACCTATTGCTACAGCACTGCTAGGACCAAATTTACAACACATAAAGGCAAATATCTTCATTTTGAAAAGAGAATAGGCTCATCATACAAAAAAAGAATTGGACTTGAAGAATCTCATCTAGAATCTATTTTGGTATTAAATTAAGGAAAGAAAAAAAATCATGAAACTGGAATGCATAAATAAAAGGGCAAAACATGCATAAAATGTAATCTGGATGCCCAACCACTCTGTTTACCTTTCCCAAGCCATCATCTTTGTCAACAATGGTGGACGGCTTCCCTCTTCCCCCAGAAACTTCAACCTGCACGGATGACAAATCAATTAATATATGGCATATATCAAAAGCAACTCGAGACAGATCATCTCAGAATTAAATCACACCGGAACTATTTCCCAGGAAAAGAGACCGCTATTTTGCGCAGCAATCCCACGCTCAAAGCTTTGAATAGCATAAGAATCCTGCAATAAAGCATGGATAGCAGCAGCCGAAACATTAACAACCTCAAAGTGTGAAAAATACATCTACTGGATCATAATACAAATCATCATTTTGAAAGTTGTATTGTTTGGATACATGGTACAAGGGAAGAATTCAGACATCACCAAATATAAAGATTCAAATGTGGAAAAAGGAGGCTGTAATTAGCAATTCTGCAGAAGAATTGATTCAAGTGCAGCATACTTATAGTGTCAAAAACAGAAGAATGACATACGACTAGTATACCTGATCATCTCTAGTTATACTATGCTGATCCGCACATATTTCTGCACAAACTCCCATTCCAAAGTCATTATAAACATCCCACAGCCCATCTTTCATCATGCCATCAACAATAGTATCATGTCCTAATCGAGACCCTTTTCTGTTTAGGAAATAGGGGAAGAATGAATCGTGAGATATTCCAAACATCAGGTAGACTTAGACAGATAGAAACGTTAAGAAAAAATTGACTGGATTGACAATAGCAACTTCAACGCAGAAAACAGCAAGCATAACCAGCTGCAAAATATTGGACACAGAGATTGCTCAACAAAAAAAAAAAAAAATTATGTTAGAATGGACTTGCTCTCATAAAAAGTATCAAAACAGCAGACTTAAAATACCAAAAGATGATCTCAGAGAATGAAATGAGCAGACTTGACCCTACTTAACTAGTTTCACCCGCGATCAGAACACAGTTGAAAGGATTGTAGTGTACTCAATTACCAATAGTAACCTGGGTAATGCTCTTAGTTCCTTCACATACAACTCCATTTTCTTCTTATCCAAATATGGAAACTTATCATTTATGAGAAACCCTCTAAATTTGCAAGCACAATCCCTTTTACAAGACCACGAATAGGGCAAAGAACAAAAGCAGAAAAACATAATTCAAGGTACAATGAATACTCCAAAACCAAACCTTGCATCTGCTAGATACTTAGGAGCATTAGACATGCTTTCCATCCCACCAGCCACAACAACATCATTGATACCCAATTGTATTGTCTGTGCTGCAAGCATAGTTGCTGAGGACCAAAGAAGGACATGATCAAACAACAAACCCCCAAAAAACTAACTATCTTCCCATATGATCATTTCATCACCTAAAACTGAGAAAAATACCAAATCTCTGGCACATAAAGAATCTTACCTTTCATCCCAGAAGCACAAACTTTATTGATAGTAGTGCAAATTACTGAACTAGGTATACCAGCACCTAAAGCAGCTTGTCTAGCAGGAGCTTGCCCTAAATTAGCACTAAGAACGTTGCCAAAGAACACTTCTTGCACAAGGGATGGATCAATATTTGCCCTTTGAAGAGCACCTAGTAACCAATAAACAAAAGGAGAAAATTCATTTCAAATTTGAAAGAAGAAATCATTGAACATCAAATAGAAGATTCATATCTCACTAAAAGATGAAATTTTTTTACATTGAATAGCAATGGAACCAAGCTTTGTAGCAGAGAAAGAAGAAAGGGAACCAAGAAATCCTCCCATAGGTGTACGAGCAACACCCACAATGCAAACATCTGTGCCCACATGAGAAAAGCACAATAATTCAGCTATTACTGAGTGACAGTAAAATGAATTGATGGGCAGCTAACAAAAATATAAAGAAACGAATTTTAAAACAATTAGAAGAAGAAGAAGAAGAAGAAGAAGAAGAAGAAAGAAAAGGAAAAGGAAAAGAAAGGACCTCGTGGCTTAAGAGAATCTGAAGAAGCCATTGAAGCAAAATCCGCTTGAAAGAGGAGGGAAATGGATCAGAAGAAAATGATGGGAGGATTTCTTTATATGTTTTAGACAAGCCAGATAGAGACGTTAACGTCACATTTGTTTTGTTTGTTTGTTTAATTTATCGTTAGCCATTCTACCTTGGAAAGCGTTATACGTCACCCCCTCCGAAAAAAAAAAGAAGGCATAAATATGCTACTGGATAGATTTCGTTTTGGACAAACTACAATTATACCCTCCGTTTTCTATTGGATAGATTTCATTTTGGTCCCCATCCTCTTCTTTTTCCTTTTTTTCTTTTTTGCCAGTTCAATTGTCACTAAGAGGTCTAATAGACTTTGAACTTCACAATGGGGGATAGTTCTTTCGTGTAACAACATAACTGAGGAAACTGCGATACTAAACCTGCATGTGTTTCTCTTTTCTTGATTGCATATGAAACTCAAATGTTGTAATTTCTTTCCAAATTCTTGTACATGGAACAAAAATCATGGTCGTTCATTAAACAACGATCTCTGCATAAGTACAATTGTTCTTGCATGTTTTTGCCTGCTCTAATACATTAGCAGTCATCAAATCCCACCTAACTTTGCTCAAGTCATGTGGAAAGTGCTATATCAAATTCATTAACTTGTTGAAAAAGGTAACTATCCAGCAGGATAAAGTTCAGTGAGAACACAGAAGCTATGATCAGCAACAGGCACCAAATGACCAAATATCCTCATTCCCAGGACTCATCAGACTACTTGCCGGAATGTAAGGTTAATCCGAGTAGCCTCCGCTTTTGCACGTTTAGGTACTGAGTGAAGCCAATCCCTTTGAGTGTAACCTCTCATCACCAATAGCGATCCATGCTTCAATGTGAATGAGTACTGATCAACATGGCTGATTTTCTTTAATCTCTTGCTGGCAGGTTCACCATCCAATCTTCTTTCTACCATTTATTCCAAAGACAACATCATAAATCAATGATGGTGATTATAAAAGAACCATGAGAAACTGTGGAACTATGTATTTTTTCTAGCACATGGAGGTGATGATTGTAGCAGATGCTTGGGTCTATGATGCAAATGCTTAAAGTGATTAAAAACCATTGGAGCAAACTGACACAGGAGCTGAAAAATAATCAATGTAAAGAAAAATGAACACTTTGCCATCCTTAGCCACCCTATCAAATAATTTAGTCCAACCTATGATATCTCTTAGCTATCATACTATATTAAATTAGCCAGCCCATGATATCTCCCAACCACCCTGATGTATTTTCCCTTTTCGTCATTTCTCAAAATAGCATTGTAGCATAGGAGCAAGTTTTCTACCTTGGCAGCAAGTCTCACTTAAAACTTCATGTGGCTTACATTTTTGCCTTTAATTGAACGGTCATGTGTATAAAATGTAACCCAAGGATCAAGAGAAGACAGCAGAGAGTTGTTGAGTAAACTCAAATTAAGCTGGTTAAGCTTGTCTTTTAGTTCTATATCCCTTTGGTCAGGTGGTGGACTCCATGGAGTGGTGAGCTATCCCAAACTCTAATTTCTAAGGTGGTGAGCTTTTTATTTCCTTAGATTTTGTGAATTTATATCCGTTTTCATCCTCTATAGATGGTAATTTTTTTTTGCATCCCTAATGGGTTGAATATCATCCATCCTTCGCATTTTCCTTCCATCCTTCAAACTAATCCGAAAATTAAAGCCTTTTGAGCATACCAACAAAAGGAAAGGTGAAAAGGACATGTGATTTATAGTACCTTGGGATGATTTCATAGGTCTCTTCTTCAACAAGAATTCACGGTCACATCCAAAGGAAACTGAAGCAATTTGAGGAGTAGGTCCATAAAGCTTCTCATCATCAGCATGCCAACCAACATAGTCATTGCCACCTTTATACCTATTCAAGAGCAGGCTGTTAAATTTACTCCCAGGAAGCGCTTCATGGACCTTCAGGATACAAGCAAAAAACATTAGATGTCATCGAAGGAAGCAAGTGCCTTAAAATTGATAATCAATACAAGCATTCTGACCATATCCAAGAGGTCCTTAATTGGAGGGAAATCATCCCAAGTGTAGGCATGTGGCTTATATCCACTGTAACCCATTTCTGGCAATCCTGGACTTGCAACATAACATGTATCTCTAGGCTGCAGAAAAGTAAATCCAATCAGAGAGAACAATCATCCCCCAACATCAAATTGCATGCTTTGCAACCCAAATATTGTAAATTACATCACCAAACCCATATAGAACTGATAAATCACTAATCCTAGGCCAGAAAAATCCTTTATTGTCGTGCCCACATAATAGCACTGATAGATTTCTTCTTTTGAATGACACATACAATACAATCACTTTCAAACTACTTTGAAACTCAGTTAGCACTAACAGATAGATGCAAAATAGCTACTGATCCACTATGACAGTGAGACATGTACAAGATTTGGACAAAGCATTCTACTTTGGTCTTTTCAACAAAACCCCATATCAAAAATTCAATAACTTGGCATCCCCATTACAACCAAAAAAAAAAAAAAACAGAGAGAGAGAGAGAGAGAGAGAGAGAGAGAGAGAATTTTATCAATTAAAGAACAAAATAAGAAAACCCGTTTCACCTGGAGGCATTGCCGACCACAGACACGAATGGTGGGTCGAATCCAAGGGATATGTTTGTTGAGGTAATCAAAGAATGTCCATGATTTTTCAAATCCTACAAGCCTTTGAATGTAAATGACTTCACTTCCATTTCCAAGATCGATGCTTTGTTTGCCCTTAACCCTTTCCTCTTTGGCTTCTTCGTTTTCAGGTCTCTTAAGCTTGAAGAAGTTCATCTTTTGCCACAGAAACAAGACAAGGATCGGTTTAAGCGCCAACAACCCACCTTTCAGTTGTTTTATGGCGGTGAGGTTGTCGGGTTGAGAGGACAAATGGTCGGGTCGAGAGGACAAATGGTCGGGTCGTTTTGAATAGTAAAGGGTGATTTTGGAAGTAAATTATAAATTAGTCCTTTTGTTTTAAGAAACAAATTAATTGATCCCTTTGTTTTCAACAATTAATTATGTAGCGTTTTTGCTATTTTTAATTTATTTTGATTTTTTAATACATAGAAAATGAATAAAAAATAAAATATATATATATATTGGTGAGAAAAGAAAAAATGGTATAAAATAAAAAATATTAAATTGATTGTGCTAAACATTAGTTAAAAAAATAAATAATTAATTTTTAAAACTAGAGAGGTTAATTAATTCATTTCTCAAAACTAGAAGGATTAATTTATTATTTACTCTAGCTTTTGTCAAAAAAGCGTTTTGATTTTTTTTTTTTAATCACCTCTTTTGTTGAGCAAAACAATATTTTGGAGTAAATTATAAATTGGTCCTTATAGTTTTGAGAAACGAATTAATTAATTTTTTATTTTAAAAACTAATTATTTAGTTCTTAGACCAATGTTGATAAATTATAAATTATTCTTTTTTGAAAAAAATAATTTGTTTCTCAAAACTAGAGATACTAATTTATAATTTACTCTTTTATTTTTAGAAGATGATAATTTTTTTTTCTTTAAGATCATACTCTTGGCATGTTGAAGAGAATATTTTTTGGATCAATTTTCGAGGTTAAATCTGTCTTATCTCAATTATGCATATAAAATTTCTTTTAAAAAAATAAAAAATAAAAAACTTATCTATATATTGAATGATAATTGTGAAATGTCACTTATCCTCCTCCAATTTATTATTATTATTATTATTATTATTATCCCATTATGGTATTCTTATACCTCTTCCCTTTAATGAAGACTAAACCTTTTTCCAATTATGTTTTAAGTTAGTTATCTATATTCATCTCATGTATTTTCGAAAAAATAAATTTCTTAAATGCTTTCTTTAAAAATAAAATTAAAATAATAATGAACCGATCCGAACCAAGCCTCAAGGATCCTTTTACAAATATTTAAATGATGTTAAATATATAGTGATTGATATATTACAAATTATATTTATGAAAAATCATCTTATATCAAAGAAGATTTTAATTAAGATTGCTATTCACCTCTCCAAATGTCAAAAATTATTGATCAGGTTGGTGAATCAAACCACAAACTTCCTACTTTTCCATCTATTCAAGGCAACAAAAAGAGGAAACCCTAAATAGATTTTTCATCTCAACATTCATTTAAATTCACAAAGGAAGAAACTTAATGGACAAATAAAGCTTAAGAAATTGATAAAACATATACAGTAACAAAGAAGCATAGCTTTAAATAATGACCGTTACGACATACAAATCATATAGACTTGGGAGAGTCAAAATACAACAACCAAAAACCCTACACCTATACATTTGCTCTTTTACTTGCTTGTTTTGAAGCACTTGATGCTTTGGTGTTGGGAACTCTCAAGTCTCACCTTCATCGAGCATGAACAGAAGTTCAGTAACTTGATATCACCATTATAAATAAATAAATCAAAACTTCAGATTATAAAATAGCTCTTTGGCCAGGTTTAAGGAGCTTAAATTGATTGTAATTCATAGCACTAACAATAGTAACAAATGATATGTATAACTATTCAGTTCCGATTATACATGGCTTAGGTCTAAAATGCTTACATTAAACAATGGCAGAGCTCTCCCCAAGATCCTAAACACAGAGAATCAAATGGGAAATGCACATCACCTCGAGGCTAAACAACTCGACAACAATCCATAAAAGTCGTAAACACATGCCTTCTGAACTGAATTCATCACACTTGAAAACCAGTTTAAATCACACGACCAAAACAACTAGCTTGCCCTTCAATGCTTCCTTTCGGGCTATGCTACATCGAAAACCTATTATGCATCGATCTAAAGGGGTTATATCAGGGAAATAGTTTAGTACAGATGCATTTCCCTTATCCCCTACGTCGTTAAAGCCCTACTCCTACAACAATCTATCTTAGATCTGCACTACCTTGACGATGCAACAGAAGGATCAATTAACTTAATCTTTAGTTCTATCTCCCCCGACTCAACTGCACAGAGCCTCAACCAAACACTCTGCACCACTTCACCGTTTATGCAACTAATTGAGCTTTCGCGAGCAAGACAATTTTCGGTATCAGGAACAACCTTCCTTAAAACTGTCTCGCCTGAAGAAACCTTCACAAACTGCTTCAGTCTAGCAGCAGATGCAATTGGTTGGAGGTTGAGGTGAGCATGTCCCATCTTGTCATCTGCCTTGAAACGGTCTTTATCAAACACTTCCTGCAATAAGAGCAAGAACGTAACTAATCATATGCTATAGAAATCTCAAGTTCTAATCACGACGTTACCAATTAGCATCTTAAGCTACTGCACCAGTTATAAATCACCAATTTAATCCCAGAGAAAATTTCGTGCCTGGGATGACACTATCAATTTTACTGACTGCAAATAGTTCCATCTTGACAAGAAGAAAAGTCATCAACTATTGTCTCCCAAATCCACGGTTTTTTTCCCCTCAGCGACAAAACTAAAGGAAAATCAAGTAAGCCTCTTTAAAACACCAAGTGATTGTGTAAAGATTTCCGCCTGTTGCAGCTTGAACTTGATATTTTGGGATCAATATTCTTTAGTCACATGAAACCAATTCGAAGTTTTACAAAGACCAGGAAGAAGCAACCAAATTGAATAGCTTGAAAGAACCTGTTCGCTTATGGTAAATTTTGCAAATCAAACACAATCAAGGTATTAGCAGCATAACTATATAATAATGCAAGAAACTCACCAAACTGAGAACTCCAACAGGTTCTCTAAGTAAGAAACTTAGCTCTTCGTTCCACACTGGATTAAGACAGCTATTGATAACCTTGGTCTTTGCTGTCTGATGCAGGAAGAAACTAGTCAGTAATGTAGCTTAATAGAGTCAACAAATTGATAAAACAAAACTCGAGAAGAAAATAGTTCAGTCAAGAAAACTAGGGTTACTCCAACCCAATTAAAGATCAGAGAGGAGAAACAAAATGGGAAAAGTACAAAAAGGGACTAGATCAACAGCAATGTAATGGCAAGGGATCCTATGACCATATCCATCTACTTGGTAAGATGTTAAATTCAGTTGACCCAGAAGGAAAAGCCACAAACTTTCTTTGTTTGAGATTTCAGAAGTTCATCACGTCAGCAAAATAGTGTCCCCTAAAGCAATCGATATCAGTGCATTTATGATCATCAAACACGGAACAACCACTTACTAGATAGAAACAAGACAAGAAAAAGGGAATTATAGAGCTTAGAATCACCTGATTTCCCAGCTTGACTACTACATAAGGATCACTAGTCTTGAAATCCCTGATAACCAATCTTTTCCCTTGCAAAACTGTAACTTTTAGCAATCCTAACTGCTCCCCCATAGCTTGGTTGTAAAAATTACAACAACTTAAAAAGAAAATACAACTACTGCAAAGCACAAAACAAAAGGAATCCGATTAATCCAATGAGAAGACAATCTCTAAAAGTTAAAAAGTTAAAAAATGAAGGATTGGAATCCAAAATCCAAACAAACTATGCATTTCAAGAAATTTAAAAAAAAAAAAAAAAAACTGAAAGAAAAACCCATGAAATCCAATAAATTAGAAAAAGACTAGAACTTTTTCCCAATTTTTTTATCTGGGTTACAGAAAGAAAGCTCTTTTCAAGCTTAACTGACTCAAAGAAAGAAACCCAGATAAAACTAACAATATTGAGACAGTTTCCAGTGGCAAAAAAGTTCAAAAAAGAAAATTGCATAAGCCTGAGCATGAAAATGATGTCCAGAGAGAAAGAGACAGAAGGGACCTCTGACCTCTGTTGAAAAGAGACAAAGAAACGCAGAAACAGCTTAGCCAGATATCTCAAAGGAGGAGAAATACAAAAGGTGAAGAAGAAGAAGATAAAAGCAGCAGCATTTGGTTTGGTTTGGTTTGGTGGGTTATTAAATTGGCTTTAACAGACTAACAAAACCCTACAAAACCAACCACTCAGAAATTATGACGCGAAACAACTAAACAAGGATAATCCTTTTCCTCTCTGCAATAACTGAAACTGAAGTGTTTAAACTCTATTTATAGAAACTGCAGCAAATGAAAGCAGACAGCAAGCTCATGCTTGTTCATATGTCGTGTTTTTGTTTCATTTTATAAATGTTTCAAAAAAACAACCTTAAAAACAAAAACAAAAAATTGTTTCGTAAAACAACTGTTCCCAGGTCAAACACATGTTTTTCTCCTTTTTTTTTTTTTTTCTTTTTTCTGCTGCTGATTTAATAATGGTGAGTGACCTGCCATTATTAGAGATGTCGATAAGGAGATAATTGCCCGGTTAAATAATAAATTTTCCTGCCCATGTGGGGTTTTTTTTTTTTTTTTTTTTTATGTTTTCAAACAACATCCATCTAGAGTAAATTGAAAAGGATGGATGAAAAAAAAAATTTATAAAATAAATTAATATTAATTTAAGCATTGTCAACCTTATTAAAAATAATAATAATAAATAATACCAATAAGTTTGTTAGTTTAGTGATAAATAAATTGGTTTCCAAACAAATTTTCTATTAATGTGTAAATTTAGAATTTTGGAATCATATTTGTTAGAAAAAGTTAAATTTTATGATTTTCGTTACGAACAGAATTAGTTTTATCTCTAATGTAAGATGGAGATACATGTCATCAATAAAGACGTAGAGAATGAGATAATTGCCTAGTTAAATAATAGATTTTCTTACCTATGTAAGGTTTTTTTAAAAAAAATGTTTTCAAACAACATCCATATAGAGTAAATTGTAAAAAGATGGATGAAAAAAAAGATTTATAGAATAAATTAATATTAATTTATGCGTTGTCAATATTTTCTGTCAATGTGTAGAGTTAGAATTTTAGAACGGCACTTATTAGGAGGAGTTAAATCTTATTATTTTTGCTTCGAATATGTTTAGTTTTATTTTTAAAATGAGATGAAGATACTTGAAAAAAACTAAATAATAATTTTTCAAACAAGAGGAACTAATTTATTTTTTTATCAAAACTAGAGGGACTAATTTATAATTTACTCCATCCGCGTTCGTCACGAGTGAAGATTTTGGGACTTGGGATTCATTGACTATGACCAATCCTTGTCTTCGAAGTACATTTTACTAGCTAGGTTGCAATTTGAGTCTTTGACCAGCCTTCTCTTAATCTTTCAAGCCTAATTTGTCAAAAGTACTCTTTTATTATCAATTCAGTCAAATTGGTCCTCATAGTTTTTATTTCAGCTATTATCTCAGATAATTCAATAGTTTTCTTCACCACTTGAGCCGTTATCGTCAATTTTCCTTTTAATCTAGTTAATATCATCTTTCACCTCTACCATCCCCATCAGTAGTATCTTTTTTTTATTGATAAATTGTATTAAATTGATTGAAATAAAAAATACAAAGACTTAATTGATCGAAGTAAGAATAGAAGGGCTTTTTTGATAAATGGGTCAAAAAAATGCAAATAATGTGTTTTGCCTTTATTTCATGAAAGATTCATTACACAATTTTTTTTGTATTTAAAATCTATATTTTTCAAAAAAAATTAATTCTTTTACCTTGATTAAGTTATTTTACTCATCGAAATTTATTATTTGAAACTTTTTTATATAACGCTATAACCCTATTTCATAAAATAAAAAATCTCAAAAAATAAAAATAAATTATTCGATCACTTATTAGTAATAGTATAACAAAAAAAAATATATATATATAAAAAATGGTTTTTTTTTTTTTTTTGGAACAGTGAAGGTTGAGATTGATATAATGATTGAATTTGAACAGGCCTTCACAAATAAATGACCAATCATGAAACTGGAAAGTGGACTCAAGCAGACACTTGAGATTCAAAAAGCAGAAAACAAAGCAAAGTGGGTCGCTCACATGCTTTGAATGGCCAAGAAAGAAGTACAAGCCAAGGTCAGACTTTTCTTTGAACGTCACAGACCAATTACTGCCCCCACAAATGAAAAAATCCAAGCTGTGGATGCCATTGGAGTCATAAAATCACCTGATATGTAGAAGAAATTCAAGCCACAGACAAAGCTTAACGTCCTGCTCTGATGCCGGCATATAGTCATTGGCATCTCTTTTAAACGCTTTCTAGTTTTAGCTAAGCTCCAAGTTGCATCGGCTTGTACTTATGTATAGTTTTAAATAACTATCATTATATTACTAACGTTATACCTTACATAACAATCATGAAATATCGATTTACAAACATACATAACAATTATGATATAACAATTTAAAGACATTTCGTTATTATTATTTTAATATTATAATAAACTACCATCCACAATAACGATTACGATCATTTAAGACATTTCGTTATTATTATCTTAATATTATAATAAACTACCATCCACAATAACGATTACGATCATTTTTTCAACCGTCTGTTATGGTTGTGCTTAACATAATGACACAACTCAAACTTCTGCACAACATTATTAGATGAAAGCCAACGCAATGCAGCTGTGTTTGATCACACATATCACAACAGGGGAAAAGGAAGGTGAGAAGAATAGATTGATACAAAATATGCAGTTAATTGATCACTTCCATGGGTGCCAAAATCAAAATAAATATCCTCCTGACATACAACACTATCCCCAGCTATAACTGTACAACTGACCCTATCAATTTACCAATCCAGGGGGTTAGAAAACATGCACTAGGACTACAAGCCATGAACAAAAGCCACCAACCTATCATCTATCATAGTCCTGGGAACTAACACTAACATTCCTACCTTAGCATGGGGAAGGCCTAGGGTTACTTTACATTCATCTGTGCAAAGGCAACCACTTGAGATATTTTATTAGTGTGTTTACATTGATAAATGACTTCCAACTTCTTTGAATCTGCACCAGCTACATCAACTAAACAGAGAGCGCGAAATCTAAAGCTTTGCAAACTTCCTGGAAATTGATCTACAGCCTAAAACGCTCAACTTCTTCGTCTTGATGCTGATTTCCCTACTTTATGCCTCCACTTGCTCTGCATTAAACAAGAGTGAACTTAGAATCTTTATATAGCACAACATCATAATGCATAAACTAAACAGGGGGTTAGAGGCAAGTACAAGAGGTTCATCGTCAGAGATTTCAGCATCTTCAGCATTGACAGGATCTGATGATTTACTATGGCGCTTCTTCGGCTTTCTGCTAGGTTTCCTGACATCTGCATCTTTATTTCCTTCAGAATCTGATTTGTCTTCATCAGCATCCACTCCCAAAGCTTCACTTGATTCATCCACTTCCTTCTCTTCTGAATGGGATTCCTCTCCGGCATCACCTTTTTTATCATCTTGTGGTATGCTTTCCATATCTTCGGAAACTTCAGCTTCAAAATTGGATTTCTCTTCTCCATCAGATTCCTCAGAATGATTTGATCTTTCCTCTGTGTCTTCCAAGTGTTTACCTTCAGAATTTGACACCACTTCCTTATCAGATTCCTCCACATCTGTCATGCCCTGGGACACCCTTTCAGCGTGATCCCCTTCAGAATCATCTGAAAGAGGAAGAAATGAATATGAAAAATCAGTAAGAAAAGCAATGAATTCTCTACATAACGGCAACACAAGATTAAGCATCAATAGTGTATATAACAAACAAAACCAGTTTGAAAAGTACGAAAAACCTTCACCTAATTTCAACTTATCTCCTTCAGATGCCATGGTGTGTTCAGGGCTTGATACATCAGAATCCACTTTGTCCTTTGGCTCTTTAAGTACACGTTTCAAGTTTTTGGTTGGAGTTCGTTTCTTTTTAACACTAGAAAAACAAAGATCAATCTATTTAATAGTGCTTGTATGAAAATAAAACACAAGCAGAAGACTACGTCAATGATTAAAAATTCCCAACTCACATTGTCACTGACTTCTTATTTAGACTTAAACTACTTGAGCTCCTATTTTTCCATGCAGGTGACCTGTACAACAGTTAAACGGAAAAAAGTTTTCATAAATCAAACAAGTAGAGAAACATACAAACATTGCACAATGGCATAACAAAACCAAGGTACCAGAAAACAGAACACCGAAGCAACCTTATGATGAATGACTGCTTTTTTCTTTTTCTTTTCTCTCTCTCTCTCTCTCTCTCTCTCTCTCTTTTTTTAGAATTTTAAATTTGAGAAGATGTTCTAAATTTTTCATTAGAAGGTAATACTTACATGGCCTTAGAAGGGGCGCGCTTAAAAGAATTTGACTTCTGAAATGGTGTAGAGGAAAAAGTAAGTCACTGCTGGTAGATTTTTTTGAAACAGAAGTAAAGTTGATTTAATAACTTAAGAAAAGAATGCTGAAGAGAATAGACTAGGACCTTTGTGCGCTTGGGGCCATTGTCAACGAGCTCCCAACGCTCTTTATCCAAACGGAGTACTTCTATGTCTCCATCATCATACAATATCTATATTGGGTCACCAAAATTATGCAAAAAAAGAGAAATAAATTAATTCAGTCAAGCAGTCCCAAAATATGAGGAAGAGGGGAGTGATGCACCATACCACATGTTTCCTTTTTAAAGGATCATAAGACTTGACAGTGCCTCCATAAAACCTGTCAATTTAGCAAGTAATGCATCAGCAATGTATCTTTCTAAATACCAGAACAACTTTTCCAAATTTAGTTTGAAGAGAAAAGAAGCCATTGGGGTTACATCAAGAAAAATTTTTAACTTTAATATATACCCGAACCCTAATTCTCCCCTTACTATATACATAATGATGTATCTGCATATAGAACGCCACCCAGGAAAAAATATAGCAGAGTGGAGTATGTTGACATGAAGTAGCAATAAGAGATGTTAAATACTCACTTCTTATCCATGGGCCACCATACTTTTATTCTGTAACCAATTATATCCTCGATATCAATGCCACTTTTCTTCGTTGTGCACTGCAAAGTAATAAATGTTGAGAGAAGGCATATATAATATGTTAGCAGGAAACTATCCATTTCTATGATGTGTGAACAAGAAACCGAGAAATATAAATTAAAAAAAAAATGTAGCGCAAACTCTTGCAAATACACACCAAGATAATTTTATTATAACATGTCAAAACAACTTAATTGGGTAAGGAAACGTTAGTATAGGAAAGAAGGTAGAGAGAAAAGTGGTGATTACATTCAGCAATTAATGGATTTTCGAGGATATTAGTAAATTCTAGGATTTTATTCAATATCCAATCAGCAGTCTAGAATCTAGATTAGCATCACCATGTTATGCAGAAGCTGTAAGACATAGATCAGTGCCATGCATAAACAACCATGTTTATCAAGGTGGCATGAGCAAAAGGGAGATAAAGATGCTGACCTTGGCCAACCCTGCTACACTTCTTCTTTTCCGCTTCTTCATAGAACTAGTCAAAGACTGGGGACTATTAGTTGTATTGATGCTATCAGTCTCCATCAGCACACCAGGTTTCTGTAGCAGAAGTAACAAGAAAGCAGATATGCGCAGAATTAATGACAACAAGTAATTACCATGTGCCTTTAAAAGTTTACTGACAAGGAGAAAAGCTTACCACCGGATTATCTTCATCAGATTCTCCAACTTCATTTTCCCTGCCATTGTCACCCAACTTAGAGCTTTTTCCCTTAAGCTTGGATGTGACCTTTTTCTTCTTTTGAACCACCAATTCAGATCCAGTGCTCTCAGCCTTGGACTTTTTCCCTTTCAAATCTGGGCTTGAATCATCCTCTGAAGCTCTTGAAGGAGTCTTTAAAGGACTTCGAGGCAATCTAGAAGCACTATGAGCAGATAATGATCTTCTGCGTTTAGGTACTGGCACAGGTGACACATCACTAATGTTTCCTTTTTTCACTTTTTGATGCTCTGATTCTGACTTTGTCTTCTCACTTAGATCTTGGTGTCCATTGCTTGACTCAAACTTATTAGAAGGTCCCAGATTATCCAAATTTATATCCCTGACCATCTTCAATATATCAACATCATTTTCAGCATCTTTCACTTTAGCTGATGAAGACTTGTTCTTTTTAGTTTGTCCACCTTTATTTCCCTTAGATTTTAATTGCTTTATCATTTTCCCGAGTGTCACTTCATTAGCTTCTCTTTCACTGTCATTTTGACCCTCATCCCTGGCAATATCTGAACTAGCCTGATATGACAAAAAGGACCACCATTAGTTGCTGAAAGATGCAAATGCCACCAAAGACTATCACTAAATATTTACTGCATAGCTGAAGAAACTTGTTCAGAAAAAAATGTTGAAAATACTAGTAAGCAGCAGAACTTACCGTTCCATCAGTTTCGAACTTAAGTGAGTCAAAGTGACTCAAGACACTTTCATCAGCCAACCATACTTTCCCTTCATTTGCCTATGAAAAAGCACACAGCAGCATTAATAGAGCTGATAAATGACTATCGATAGAGATGATACTAAACTAAATAATATCCAAGTCAAGTGTATAGGGTCACACTACGAAGGTGCACCAACAAAGTTTTCCAATATCAGCCATACATTCACTACAACAAGGTAAATAATATCTTCAAAGAGCGTACCAGAGCATCTTCGCCTGCTTTATATTCATATGTTTTGTACAGCATTGGAGGCAAAGAAACCGGTGAGCGTAAGCTTTGTAAATGATCCTCCTTTTGAGCTAAGCGCTTGATGATTGACAGCCCAAGTTCAGAGATAGCATGTGAATTCTGTAAATGTTAAAATTAACAAGCATAACATCAACATTTTACTTCCGTTAAACTTCAAGTTGATCTTTATGCTAACTTATAGGTTTTTTTTTTTTTTAAACCCGGTGATTATGAATAAAAAGAAACACTAAATACAAACTCAAAGGCATTTTTCCCCAACCTTTGACTTCTCACGATCGACGACATCTTCCGAGCAGTTGATACTCTGAAAGATGGAAACTATTAGAGAGTTAGTCTCTTTGTCTTTTTCATTGTCGCTCTCCTTCTCCTTCTCCTTCTCCTTCTCCTTATCCGTATCCGTATCCTTCTCTTTCTCCTTCTCCTTCTCCTTCTCCTTATCCTTCTCCTTCTGCTTGTTGGCACCAGCTTCCAACTTAACACCTTCATCTTTACGCACCAGCATAGAAAGGATCAAGTATAATTGCCTGAAAAGCAGGGTGGAACAAATGTTATTCCCTCTCCTTTTTCTGGATTTCTCAATAGAATCTCTATAGCCTTTATAATAAAACAACGTTGTATGAGATACCCTACAGAAAACACATCTAAGACAACAAAATGTGCAATTAGATGTACCGGTATATAGGTTCAAATGCTTGAACATCCTTGCACTCATTTACATTAGGACATGATTGATGAGCAAGAAAATTGACCAAATAGGGGAGAATGTATTCAGGATAAACTGCCAAGGGATTTGCATCAGTTTGCACAGAGATTTGTCGTGTCTTTGTTTGCTGGTGCATCTGAATGATATCAGCAAGATTCTGCTTCTCCTGCTATTCCAAGTGAAACACAAAAACAGACAACAAAACTTCAGAAATTTTACCAAGACAAAAAAACACAGTACCCATTAATTTAATCGTAGATAATATTGCTTAAAAAAATCAAGTCCAGTAGAGATACCTCTTCAAAATCAAGGGACTTGGATCCTGTGGTATTGAAGAAGAAAGCACAAGCATACTTTGCATCCAGAACTCGGTCCTTGATGTATTGGTGAACTTTAGTCAGAAATATTTTCCTAGCTTGAGGGAAAGCAATCTACAAGACCGAAAAGAAAGAAGAGAGGGAAAAGGAGGTGATTACAGACAGCAAAAATCATATAATTACAATAACCTGGAAATAAAAATGCACATGTTTTAGAGAACATTGAAAAAGATTCCACCTCTGGTGTCCTCAAAGTTAAGTGGAAGAGATCAACAGGTATCTTCTGATCCCAATGCTTTGACAAACGAAGAACTGCCTTCGCAGATGCAAGCCTCAAGTGGGCCTTATCAACTGAACTGTATGATGAAAAAATTGCATAAGAAATTGCAAATCTAATAAACTTAAGCAGGAACAGACAACAGTTCATAGATAAACTGAAAAAAAAAAAAAGGAAAAAAAAAAGGCAATAAACATAATTACCTTGATTCAATATCTTTCGATATCTCTCCAGAAAGAAGTATGTTTCTAAGGATTTCCAGAAGGTTGTCAATACCACGACGAAGTTGTACATCTTTAACTGGCAAGTAGCTCTTGACCAACGTCTTGATTCCATATATCTGCAGGCAATTTTTTAGTACAATGCAATCGTAAAGTTGTCAAGGTATAATATATATTCTAAAAATTTTCACGAAAAAAAGTCGGTGTACTCTATATTCAGACCATATTATCGAGTAAAATACTGATATTAAGACCATTATTTTTAATCTTCAAAGGGATGGCAAAGATAAGGAAAACTCCAACTACCTTCAACAAACAAAGTTCACTTCTGTCATCCCAGCATGCTTTTGCATTATCTTCTGATTTCTGCAGCATTGAAGCACACTCTGACAATAAGACTAATTATCAAGTCATGTCAAATCATTGCACAAGTTAGGGAGCTGCAAAAGCATACACTGCTGCATTCCAGAATTTTGCTCTTGATGAATTCTTCAATTTCATTTTCCCTAGTTTCAAAAACTGGCATTGCAGTCTGTGCTATGCATCCAAGAGATTGTAGCACAGCAGGCAAATGTCTCTTCTCGTCCAACATATCCACAAGTCTCTGTAAATTGAGAAAGGAATACCATGCTTTCTGAATTCTGGTATTAAATTAAATCTGGAGCATTCCCAAACTCTAATGATAACACATACTAACACAACAGAAAGACAAAAATGGAACCTTGTATAAAACAGAAAGGGACTTGAGCCCATCATCCTTTGTTATTGCTGCTAGGGCATGCACAGCATACTTGGCCTGACTTCGACTACCTTCTAAGCAAAGCCTCTCCAATATAAGGTCAATTGAACTGCAAGTAATAAGAAAAGTATAAGCATGTTCATACAAGGATCTGATTCTAGATGTCAATAATTTCATGCAGCGCACCTTGATGACTCCCCAAGTTGTTCTCGGATTGTACCACCAGCCTTTGCCAAAACATGCAAAGCACCTTCTTTTATTATTTCATTGTCATCTTTTAGAAAATTCATAAGCTCTTCCCCTGAACCACCAAGAAGCAATGGACTGAAGCGTGCAAGAATCTGCAAATTCATATTAAAAAAATATATATAAATGGCATTGATTTGTTCAAAGCAAAATAGTAAAACAATATGAGTCAAAAAATACAAAGAAAAAAAGAATAAAGAAAAATCAGATGAGATTGCTAAACAAGTTGAAGGCTTCGGAGTTGCAAATCCTACTACAGCTGCAATGGTTCATGCAAACATACTAGAGAAAAAGATTGTTGTTTATGGAATAATTATAACCAATGAGTGTGAATGAACAAATGCAATCAGAAAAACCAGCAATAGACAGAGAAGTCTGCAAGCATAGAGCACGTGGTTGATGAAAAACCCATCACCAATGAGGAGTATCATTGAAATGTTCTTACCACCAGTATATCCATACAAGATTTGGTAAGTTGCATATTTCCAGCAGAGTTATGTGTTTTGACATCCAAAAGAATTTCTTTCACATGCTCCTTGTTGAAAAGTAAGTAAGAACACTTCATGTAGAGACTGCTCAAAAAATCATACAGTCGGTGTTTCTCGCCAAGTATTTTAAGTAAATCATCCTGCAAGATAAAAGAATTTTTTTATTGAGGAAATTTTGCAGTGAAAAAAAAAGGAAAAGAGAAATGCAAATACAGCTTCATCAACCATTAACTAAGAATTGGTTAGAAGAGCAAGGCATCCTCAATTTAGTCAACTCGATAGGTCCTCCATGAATTGGACCACAGTTCATACACAAGCTCAGAAACCTTTTGCAGCCATTTATTATCATATCACTTACCCGACCAGTGCAAGCTTGACGGAAGCTAGTGTTTGGATCGAGTAGATTTGTTAAAATCTTCCAGATATTGGCATCTTTCAATTGATCAAGTATCTGATAATTCTCCTCGGCTTTGGCAGGCTCTGCAAAGGAGCGAGACATAATCCGAAAGCAGAACAGAACCTTTTTTTGGATCTCAGGGGCATCTCCATCCTGTATTTGAACGAGAACCAATTGCTGTGATTTTCATTTTCTTAATTCAATTCTCTTTCCCGAATATGAATAATTTAATCTCCAAAATTTACAAACCTGATGCATCTGCCTAAGCGATAGATACCTCTGCATCTCTTGCTGTAACCTGCAATCCAAGAGGAAATCCCCTGAAAATCAGTGTACAATCCATCAAATAAACACAGATTTCTGAAATTTCAGCTTGAGCTGCTTGCTGTCAAAATCTAGCATTCTCAATGTACCTTTGCTTCTGCTCCAGTATCTTCTCGAGAGCTTTCACCTCAACTTTGTCTAATACAGAGAAGACACTTACCCAATGTTTAATTCTATCTTTTACTCCAAACTCAGTTGGAAACAGAGAACCACAAAGAACAAATTCAATTGTATCTGATCTGCAGAACAGATTACTGTGTTAGAAACATGTTTACATAGATACTTGGTTGAGATGGAGATACTAAGAAAGCTTCATAACATTAGATAAAGTGGGGATTTTGCTGAAAAAGCAACTAAATTATTTACATTAGTGTAGACAAGCAGTCCAAGATTAACTGCAGCTCATGAAGACACCAAAGGAGGGACCTGACCTTCAATAGTGCAGATGAAGGGGAAAAGGGTTGATGGTGTGTGTGTGCGTGGACATATATATTATAAATGTACATCTATCCAGCTTAATACACAAGCCAAGAAGTCTTGCCTGAAATCTTTGTCATACAAACATCTCAAAATCCTTCCAGGAATCCAATCAAATTCACCAGGATTGACAGAACCATCAGAGGACTTTAGACAATAAACCCTGAATATATCAGCCAGTCTCTCCATAGTATATCTTTTAACAAGTTGCTGGAAATTCCAAACAAAAATAAACCCACACATCAGAACACTATACATACAACTAGTATATAGTTAAAAAATAATTTTGGAAACAGAGAAATAAATGAGAGGCATGACATACAGATTTGTCTCGAAGACGCTCTGCAACTTGTTTTATGGTTTCAACAGGGATGGAATTCAAGGCATGACATGCTACATCACAGATTACATTAACAACTTGCTTTCGAACATTCTCATCATAGTCCAACAGTCGGTCACAAAGGGCAGCTGCAAACATTGAACCAGGTCAAAGTCAACTAGGCATCATATATATAACCTTGTAAAGCCACTCAACAGACTTACAGATCATTTGAGCTGCCTCAGCTCGGAAAGGATTTGACAAAAGACAGCTTTTGACACGTTCAAGGACACACATCCGGACAGAAACTACTCTATCAGTCAATCTTTTCAAAAACTCTGAAAAAATCGGCTGAAATCCTTCTGTGATGGCAGAACCAGGCAAGGCAAATAGATCCCCAACCAAGCCCACTGCTTTTAAACGGGTGTCTAGCTGATCAGTCTGCATATGTTGAACCTCATGATTAAGAAATTGCTCACCAAATTTCTAAAAATTGTAAGCTTATACTAAATGAGTAATTACCAGCAGCTCTCCCGTGAGGTATGGAACGACTCCTGATAGGATCTGAGGAGCACAACAGTAAATATCATAGATAACTTCATGGTAGTCAATTTTACCATTGGTCAACCTGCTATCTCCTGACATTGATGATATGAGGAACTGCTTTATGCCAGCTTCAAGTTTCCCGGCACAATGCTCTATAACATTCAAGGCAAGTTTCCTCCCTGCCAACGAGATATCCTGGAATTACAAGTTTTACAGACTAAGTTCTCTCCAAAGCAATATGATCATACACTACCAAAGAGTAGAGATGCTTACACTTCTATTACGACCTAATACAGATAAGATAACAAGTAGAAGATCCTCTCTGACATCTTCACTTTCTTCTATGAGAAGAACCATTATTGTTTGCATTGAAGATAATACACTTTCTTGATGGTCATCACTGCATATGCAAAAATTTTTCAGATCAATATCTATTAAATCTGGTAAAAGAAATCCTTCAATTCAGGAAAAGAATCATGAAGGAAGAAAAAGGTTGGGCAAGGCCAGAAGAGGAGGGAGTCAATAGCCGATTCCATTAAGACATAAAGTCAACTGTATCGCTTGCACGACAAGAATCCAAGTAGTACTATAGTATCAATAAACAACCATGTCAAAGAATGGCAATGATTTTTAGAGTAACTATATAAGCGGATATAATGTGTCCCAGCTGTAAGAAAGGCAAGAGAGAGAAGTATTTGGACTTTCTACTAGAACCTTGTGCTACAAATTCATACAAGAAATCTATTTATCATTTACAGTTCATTGATTGTCTCAATGTGCACTCCTTTGATTGATGAAACACCCCTCCCCCTCCCAAAAATTACAAAATCAGAATAATGAAAAGGAATTATAAACTGCTAGTCTGTAATTTAGATGTTGCAGTGAACAGTGATCTAAAGTTGATAACCCACTAAAAGTACTTATTATATGTACATGAGAAAGGTGAAGTGCGAAAGAAGAGAATATGGCTTCAAAACTTCAGCAGCAAATACGAACCACCTTTTTGTGTCGATTAGAGGAGAATTTGAAGATTAAGAAGAGTCAGATAGAAGCCCTTATAAATGTAAACCCTTTATTCTGTCTCAGAAAACTTTAAAAAAAAACAAAAAACAAAAAAAAGGGGTACAAAACACACCTGGCAACAGTAAAAAATGTACTGAACATCTTATTCACCAGATCATTACATTCAAGATCCAGCATCACAACACATGATCTGTATTTGGCAAGAGTCTCCAAAATAACAACTCTCCTTCCAAATGATGGACCGCCAGTGTCACTTAACCCACCAAATGTGCCAACGATCAAGTAGAAAATATCCTGCACACATATATATATACACACACCATCAAGATTGGATTAAAATTTCAAACTTTTATGATTAGTAATAAGGTAGATCAACCAATTTCATTCATTAATTGAGCCAGTAAAGTATAGAAACCTTTAAAACATCATCACTGTAAGGAGCTTCAGGTGCAGTAATCCGGGTTATCTCGCAAATACAGGTTGCAACTAGAAGCTTAACATCCCTATCTTGATGCTTCAACAATTCTGGCTTTACGATTGCATCAAGAAAAGGCTGCATTGACTCTGACACTGAAGCCGGTGGTGATTGATCCATCTCAGAAAGACAAGCACCAGCTTGCTGCAGGTAAATCCGCATAGGAAATATTTTAAGCACATTACTATCCAAACAAGATCCCTAAGATTGTACATCTGGTGAATTTAGGAATAGAAAAACTCAACACTATTGCCTAAAACTCAAAATCATTAATAGATTTCCAACACAAACCAAGATCATCATTAATAGATTCCAAACCCAAATCAAGGTCAAATACTTTTAAAAAATTCTACTAATATACATTGCCTAATAGGTCAAAAGCAACAAGCACCAGCACAAATTCAGCACCTGATTCAGTTTCTTTTTCCCTTCATTTTTTATAGGCAAGAGAAGATCAGTATTAAGGTACCCTTCTTCAATAAGATATGCTCAAAAGCTTGCATCAAAGCCATAATTTTTAATCTCGTAAGATCCAACACAAACAATGTGAAAGTCAGAATGACAATTCTTGTATATTTGACATGTTAATCTGAGTAGCCCGTAAACTTTCACCCATCTAAACTTCACAAATCTACTGAGCTTCCAATTTCTTTGCCATCTTTTTCTGTTTCACTAAGCATCCACTTTCCTCAGCTAAGGCAGAAATTATGCCGTAGAAACCAAATCCTCAAGAGCTCAACATAATACACTTTAGGATCAGAAAAGGCAAATTTAACAAGTGACCAGGCGAAATTTTTCACGAGCTGCAAACCCTTTTAAAAAGGGTTGCGCTACTAACCCTAATTCAAACAAATTCCCTCAGCTATAGCCCTAGAAGGGTTGTGCTACTAACCCTAATTCAAACAAATTCCCTCAACTATAGCCCTGAACACACAACAATCCTCACTGAAACAATCCACTTTGCTCTAAAATTTCAAACTTGACAAGCCTGACCTAAAAAAGTTCCAACCTTTACGCCCTTCTTACAAAACAGTTTCCCATGCAACAAACCCTAATGCGAAAATTCAGCTTAAACCAACCAAAATTTACTTCTTTTCATTCCCTTCTAGGTTTTTCTCAGCAAACAAACAGAGTAATTTTTTGCTCAAATTCAAAAAAATGGGGTTACCTTTAACAGCTTAATAACACCATCTTTAGTAGAAGGAAGTGCTTCCAGCTTGGATCCCACCTCCTTTAACTTCTCTTCAAGCTTCTTTTCCTCTCCCATTATTTTTCACTCTTGAAAAGAAACGCTTTGTCGTTTTTGAATTCCCAAGATTCAATTTTTCAGACAAAACTAAACTACTGGTCTCTCTCTATCTCTCTTTCTCTCACATGTCGATAGGGTTAAGCTTTCGTGGTTTTTTCTGTGTTCAAAGCTTTCTTCTATTTTTTGGGGTTTCGATTTTGCGTAAGTTTTTCGAACAAGAAGGCGAAATGAACTCGAAATGTAAGTGAAATCACATAAATTTCTGCTACCTTATATAGATATCAACAAATCTAGTACTTCGCAGGTGAGTACGTGTGGATTTTCCTTTTCTTTCTTTTGCTGTGATGCCCCTTTACTTTATCTTATTTAACTATTTCTTTCCTTCTAATGACTGTATCGTTCCCGTTTGTGGATGGGCTGAAAATCAAGTGCCAGTCCTTCTACTTCTCACATTTGGTCAACTGAAACCCTACTTTAGGAATCAATTCCTCGATAGTAAAACCTAAGATCTCATTCACACGAGGTTTCAAGTTCAAAACTTTCGGAACATCCACTTGTGATCGTCCCAAGGTCGAAGCCTTGCTTTTCTAAACGTGTGAAGTTATGCATTTTAAGATTTAGGGTTAAGAATATGTCCATTAAAAATGAGTAAAATTTTTTATCACAAGAAAAAAGTAAAGAGACTACACATGATTTTTAGCATATATGCACATACAATGATGATGTAAATATCTTGAGAAATAATTAAAAATAAAGATATTGTCGTATATTGTGATTGTGGATTATCGTTTAGTGATTCATGCATGCAAAATCGATACGGATATCATACGTAATGCATATTTTAATATGTAATCTTAATATGAAATAAAGATTACGTGCTTAGAATGATTATTGCATATAGTATTATTTATAAATAAAAATTAAAATAGAAGGTCAAAAGATCTATTAAAGAGATAATATAATAAAAAAAATCATTTATGGAAATATTTTGATAAAGATTGGAGATAAAACAAAAACTATAGAATAAAAGGTAGCTAGTTTGTTCATTGATTTTGTCATTAATCTACATGTCAACTTCATAAATTTCTATTCTTTATGAACCAAAAACATACATATTTAATTTCTTGTCCTTTTAATGTGTGCATTGATTAAAGTATGTGAACAATAAATTAATTCTACACAAATATTGATTATTCTTCTCACCTTCTAAAAAAAATGAGAGATATTCGCAAAAAAAATAATAATAATAATAAAAGATATTCATCCCACAATCACAAACAAAATATACCACGAAAACCCTTAACATCCACTATTGACTAAATTGCATGATTCAAAAATGCTATTGAAGTGGAAAAAAAAATTATAAAATCAAGGGCTTGGTCGTGCCTTTTGCTTTTTATTGTTTTCTTTTGAGACAAACCTCAAATATACCCTCAAACTATGAAGGTAGTGTCAATTTTTACCTCAAATTAGGTTTATTTTTTAATTAAGAAATTTTGTTATGATTATTTAACGAAAAGGGTCACATTTTCTACAAAATGATGTTATTTCTTAGTAATAATAATAATATATAATTTGGATGATATGGAAAGCCTTGAAAATTGGATGAAGATCTTTGATTGATAATTTATAAAAATATAAGGATGTAATTGATATAAATAATTGTTTGGAGGTAAAATTAGGACCACTTATATGATTGGCCGATTGGGTGTATTTTTTAAGTTTGCTCCTTTTTTAAAAAAAAACAACCATGTGAAACATGTTTTTTAGTCGAGATTATGTAATTAATGAGATAAATGACTTTCTTATTCTCTAAGGAATAGAGTCTCGAAATTTTACTAGTCGGATTAAAATCTCGTTGAGTCGATTAAAGAACTAGCTAGACATAATGAAATAAAAAGCATAAAAATAGCAAAAAGAGGAGAAGAAATCTCCTTCGATTCTCCTTTAGGTCCTATTTATATATCAAAAGAGAAAAGAAGTAAAAATAACAATTGTAACTATTTTGTGAAAAAATTCTCAATTATCCCCTAGAAATCATTTTTGTCGATTTCCGCTTCTATTTTTGTTACCGAGATATAAACCAAATACATGTCGAATAAGAGTTATGTCTCTTCGGAAAAAGTTATAATGTTATTCCACAACTTTTAAATTCGCTAGGACATGCATCAAACAATGGTTCAAAACTTGAGTCATGTGCTCAAAATTACGACTATTTCAACCAATTCGTTCAAACTTAAGAATTCAACTTTGCGGCCAAATTCCTCCTTCGAACCGACCTAATATAGACTTAGGCCCTTGATAAAAAAAACTTAGATATGATCATGAACTCTTCCACGGACTTGAGCTTGCATCAATTGAAGGTTTGAAACTCTATATATTAAATAAAATCCATAAGCTGGTTTAAAACTCTAAATAGTATTCAAATTGGCTTTCTAGACCACACTATAAAACAATACTTGGAGGGCCAAACGAACTCTAATTTTGACCCGTTATACCATTTTAGAAATCTTGAAATGTCTTCTACAAAATCTCTAAAGACCACTTCTTTCAATCTAACGGTAAATCTACCGAAAACCTACAAAAGCTCGGAAGGTCTAAGTCAAATATGCTAGAATTTTATAACTTTAAGTATAATTATTCTTAGTTCTTAATTTATGTCATGTACATGAATATGAGCATTAAGTATTATAATAAGACATAAGTTATAGCAAATAAACTAAACGTAAAGAAAATAAAAATATAATATAATGCATCCATCAACTTCCTTGAACCTTGTCTATATGTCTACAAGTTTTGATTCCACAACTTCGAACTCAAACAACTCCAATATATCCTTCCAAAGACTTACTAATTGATTCAACTGGAGCCAATGTAGATGCTTCGGTGATAAATCACTCTATTCATCTCGTTTTCTTTAAAAAATTAGGGAATTTAACGATTTTCCTTGCGAAACCAACATTGTCCTTCCCATGGGAACTCCAACTAAAGTCTTGAACTTCCATACTATATCCCCCAATCTATATAGCCTTTTTTTTTTTAAGTCATGCATTTTAAGATTTAGGGTTCGGAATATATCCATTAAAAATGAGGAAAAAAATTTTATCAATGGAAAAAAGTACGGAGACTACAAGTGATTTTTAGTATATAGATATACAATGATAATGTAAATATCTTAAGAAATAATCGGACATAAAGATATTTTAGAGGGTTGTCGTATACTGTGATTCATGTATGCAAAATTGATATGGATATCGTACGTAATGCATATTTTAATATGAAATAAAGATTACGTGATTAGAACGATTGTTGACATATAACATTATTTATAAATAAAAACTAAAATAGAAGGTCAAAATATATATTGAAGAGATAATATAATAAAGAAAAAATTCATTCATGGAATATTTTGATAAAGATCGGAGATAAAATGAAAACTATAGAATAAAAGGCAGCCAATGAAAACGGGTTGAGTTTGTTTATTGATTTTATCATTAATCTGTGTGTCAACTTCATAAATTTCTATCATTTATGAACCAACAACGTACATATTTAATTTCTTGTCTTTTTAATTTGTGCATTGATTAAAGTATGTAAGCAATAAATTAATTCTAAACAAACATTGAGTTTTTTTTTTTTTTTTCCTTCTAAAACAGGTGAGAGCTAGTCACCGAAAAAAAAAAAAGAACTAAAATATATTCATTCAACAATCGAAACAAAATACTATATTTGAAAATATATTAACATCCATTATTGACCAAATTGCATGATTCAAAAATGCTATTGAGGTGGAAAATAAAAAATAAAAAATAAAAAATGATTGCGTGAATAAATATTTTGTTTTTTCTTTTCAATTTATGCATTTTATATCCATATTTTAATTTTAATTTCAGTAAAATTATATCCCCACCCTCTCCTGCTCTTTTTCAAAGCTTTGAAGTTCAAATTTCATACAGAGGAGGATTGGTTCCTTCGAAAAAAACCTCATGTTCTTGTTCTTGAGCAATTCAAAACGGAGGGTATAAGTGAAAATTAAATCAAAATAGAGGGGGTAAAAGCATCAAAGTGAGGTAAATGAACGAGGCTCCCGAGGGTATCGTTGCAAAAATCATAAAATCACCGTGGATTGCAGTGATGAATTGATGACGCACCCAAACTACCAAATTACCCTTGGATTTTCTTCAAAATAACAATAGTATGCTTTATTGTTTCTTTAAACAATATTACGAACAAATTCGGAGGCACCCAGAAAATTTTCTTCAATGATGCAATATTCAGACAGATTTAACTTCAGTTCAAGGAACACGTGACTTGTAAGAAAATGTTCACGAATAACAAATATAGGGTTGCAAAAGAAAGTCACTACATGGAAGAGTTCAGCATCCCCGTGAAAATTTTCTAACCTCAAGCTGATCACTGATCTCCGAAATGTTTACAGTTCCAATCTGTGAAAGAGAGACCATAATAATGTCAAGCATCCATAATTGGTACTTGCTTGCTGACCATACTAGTTTGAAAAATGACAAACTTGTTCCCTTGAATATAGGAGTCACTGCCAGCGGCCGTCGGGACTTCCGTAGTTTCCATATCCTGGACCTGTGTTGTTCTGAGGTGGAGAAGGTGGTTGTCTGGGTCTAGCATACTCTGCAAATATAACCCACCCATCCAGAAACTACAACACACAGAAATCAGAACGAGAAATTAAAATTAGACAATAACGAGAAAATAAGTTTCGCAATAATCATTATCGTCAACAACATTGTTATCAATATAGATAAAAACAGCCTTAAAGAACAAACTGATCATGCTTTATAAGCTACGTCAACAATTGGACAGTATTTTTTTCCTAAGCAATTGGAAGTCATTAAAAGAATACATCCACAATCTTCTCTCAAAGGACAGAAGTAAGGAGCCAGGTAAAACTCACCTTTCCATCCATGCCTTTTATTCCTTCTGCAGCATCTGCTAAGGTAGCATATCTGACAAAACCAAACCCCTTAGAATAACCTGATACCCTGTCAGTAACAACTCTAGCTGTACAAACCAAGAAAGACGGTGGTTAGTCATCCAAAAAAGAAATTTTCTCAGAACATTTACAAAAAAGAAGAGACTAACCGTGAACCACTTCACCAAATTTAGAAAAGGCCTCTTGTAGTCCCTCTGATGTCGTTCTTTTACTTAGCCCTGAAACCAAAATTATAGAAGCGTCAAATAAAACTCCTGACATATTAGGAAGTTGACTTGATGCTAAAATTACCTATGCTGAGTTTTCATAACCATTGAAAGACAAAGAAAGACAGATTTTTTTGGTTTATGAGATGAAAGGCAGGACTAAATTACTTTGATCAATGCCTGCAACAAAAAGACAAGACTAGCCATAAAACATCTCTAACTTCTCATGGATTTTTAACTCCCAAGCTCAACACAAATTATCATCATGAACAATTCCAGCATCCCTTCCAACTAAAATTAATATCCCGCACAAGAAGTATAGGATCACGAGCTACCATGAATCCAAAGAAACCCACAGATGCAAGTACATCACAATTCTCCACTACTTTCCAATAAATTCTAAAGCACGTGCCAACTCTTGAAATAAATCATCATTATTTTTCAAACGTATCCTAAACAAGCATAGATTTTTGAATCCATCAAATAATTCCCATCATCAATCGAGGTTAAATTACACAACACAACATGCATACTATCATATCATACACTAGTTTTCTCAAAAGTATCTAAATCCACGTTCCATAGGTTTTCAACAATTAAAATGCAAGTAACAGTTATACATTTTTATTTTGTAAACAGTTAGCTTATAACCAGCTAAAAAGCACACGCTTGATTTTGACCTTCCATCCATGTACGGGCTATTTTACATCACACAAAATTTGAAGCACTAATAAACAGAGACAAAAACCAAAAACACCTTCCCCCCACTATATAGGGTAGCAAATAAACATCCTATCAGTCTACTCACAAACACCATAATCAGAACTCATAACCAAATAAACAACACAAAAATCTAACTAAAGAATCTTAATTTAGGAAAAAAAATCAATCAGATCTCATAAAGTTTAAGTCTTTCCTTTCATTTCTTCCATTATATTAACAAAATCAACCCAGTAATAACCACAAGCAACAAGACTAACAGAACCCAGATGGGAATTGAAGTAGCTAAAAATGAAACGAAAGTAATTATAGGAAATAGAAACAAAGAGATACTTGCCAGATACAAAGAGATTGGTGTTGGGCTCAGCCTGTTCACGAGCAGGAGTTTGCTGCGTGGTCTGGGGAAAAGGAAAGGAGGATGAAGTGGAAGCTGTTGAAAACAGCCGCAGCAAAGCGCCACGGGGAGCTGCTGCAGCTGCCGCAGCTAAAGATGTCGTCGTTGCTCTCATGGCCATGATGGTTTGTTTGCTTGCTTTTTACGGGTTTTAGCTAAAGCCCCTCTATTTATTCAGAAAGACAGACCAAAGGAAATGAACAAATGAAAAGATAAGAGTTACAAAAATTACCGGCTTCGGTTTCCTCAGCACCTTGCAAATCTTCTTCAATAGTAATTGGTATCGATGAGTTTCTAAGCCAATCTGGAGCACATATGAGAGATGGCACTATGTTAGGAATTAAAGAACTCCTAAAGGCATCAAAATATCTTCATCAACTCTTTTTGAAACAAAAGAATGCTCAACAATCCTACACTTCTGCAATTACTAAAAACAAATAAAAATGAAAAAAACATCTGGCTAGGAACAGTTTGGGATTTTATTTTCCTTTCTTTCAATTAAAACATCAACAATTAAGAAAAGGAATTATAAATCTACGTACTCAACAGTACAGAGAGAGCTCATGGAGGACTCTTTTAATTGTTGTTTAATTTTTCTCCATCCTTCGTAATTCTATTTTTCAACGAAGGTAATCGAAGTGTAGAATTACTAAAGGTTAAAAATCTTCAAAGAAGTGCAATGCTGCAGAGAAAAAAAAACAGAGAAAAAAGAGTAGAAAAAACTAACCGTTGGGTGGTGCAGGAATAGTAGTCGGAGGAGGACTGACGGAGAGGTGGCGAGGTGGTTGGTGAGGACGGAGGAGGAAGAGTAGAGGAAAAGAGAGCAGTAGGTACGGCGGCTGAGGGTGAAAACCGACTTGGAAGATATAAAGAGAGTGTGGGAGGGTTAAGTGAGGAATTTTCTATAGTAAATTTTAAATTAGTCCCTCTAGTTTTAAGAAACGAATTAATCAATCCTCATATTTTTACAAACTAATTATTTAGTCTTTATGGTTTTAAATTTATTTATAACTTAATCTTTTTTTTTTTTTTGGTTTTTTCCATTTATTATATTTTTTACGTTAAAAAAATTAAAAGAAACAAAACATGAAAAAATTGATAAAAAAAGGACATTTTGTGAAATAAGTTAGTGTTAAATTGAGTGGACCAACCCTAGTAAAAAAGATTAAATAATAGTTTTTGAAATAAAAAAGAATTAATTTATGATTTATTCGATTTTTTTTTGTTTTTCAAATATATATAAAAAATGGTTTTCGGTTTAAATTGAATTTCAAAAATTGAACCAAACCAAAATAATTTCGATTTTTCAATTTATTTTTTTTTGTTTTTATAATTTTGAATTCAAACCTAATTGGAATTGATCTTTTAACTCGATTCAATTTATTTTTTTTTAAAAAAAAAATCCAATAGTGATCGCTTCTAAACATGTTTTTTGTTGGTGGGAGTGACACGGCATGAGCAGTAGTAGAATGGACAGTGTCATAAATGATGAAAAAGACACAAACAAAGGTGAGACAAACCTTTTAAAGAAAAAAATGATGAACCAAGTCTCCCCATGTAACTAAAAGTTGATAATTCATAAATAAGCAATCATTAATTTATGAATTATAATTTGATTTTTATGATCGGTATTTTTAAAAATTTATTCTTAGAATACGTAAAAGTTTGCATTTGAGAGTTTTTCTTAGCCACGATAAGGGAGAGATTAGTCTCAAAATATTCAAAAGCTGATCTGAAAATACACTTGCTATCGAATCTAAAAAAAATAATTTTATATCTTAATATGATTGAATATGATTAACTTAAAAATTAACGGAAGAACTCGATTAAGACAAATAAACAAACATAGGTGAATGAATTTAAGATTAAAAAAAAAAATGGAACACGAGTAAAAATGCAAGAAAAAAATAGAAAAACTTCTAGCAACTATTAATCTATTATTTCTACAATGGTTGAGATATTTCGAAACTAAGTGACACACCATAATTAAATCTTCCCCTCAAAACAACACCTCATAAGTAATGGTGAGTCTATTTTTGCATTATTATGGGCATAGACAACATCAAATGCCTGGGTAATAATGAAGATCGTTAACATAAAATTTGAGTGATTTTTCAAAACAAAAGATTTTAAAATCTTAATTTTAATAATATGGTGTTCTTAATCTTGTTTGATAAACTTAAGTACTTTATGTCATGTAAGTATTAGTTCCTTTTGTTTCAAAAACTAATTAAGCATTAGTCCCTTTCGTTTCAAAAACTAACTATTTAGTTTTCGTGTTTTAAATCTACTTATAATTTAGTATATTTTTTTATTTTAATTTATTTTGATTTTTTTTTAAGAAATAGAAAAAGAAAAAATACGAAAAGATTAGGGAGAAACAAAAACATTTTTTGGAATAAAAATAATATTAGATTAAGCATTATTGACCTTGATTAAAATACTAAATAATAATTTTTTAAACGTAAGAGATTAATTAATTCATTTCTTAAAACCAAAGGGACTAATTTATAATTTACTCTCAGTACCATTGATTTTTATTTATATACTTGATTTTTATTCCCTTTTTTTTTCCCTTATCACCACCATGGATAACAGGGATATATATATATATATATATAGTATAACGATTTCTTGTAAAAATTAGAAGTTGGGATGTCAATGTATGTGGTAAAAAAAACATTATCTTATTTTTGATAAATAAGTTTGGAACCATTTGATTATTGAAAACAAGATTTCAAAGTATCTAGTTTAAAAAAAAAATCCACAAAAATCGACAATAATAAATAATTCACATGTATTTAACTTCAACAAAATATGCATTCATTATGTCTTTCATTATAACCACAAAGTGATAGTCCGTTGGTAAGCAAATGATGACTTGTATGTCATATTCATGATTCGATTTTTGTAACCAGCACTTCGAGAATTTATCTTTAGAATATCCAAAATCATATATTAGGGAATGCCTATTGGCCACATTCAAAAAATGATTAATCTCGAGGTATACAAAAACTCATCCGAGGACATCCTTATTATTGAATAAAAAAAAAAAAAATCATTTTCAGAATTTATCTTTAGGATATTTAAAACCTATGTTGGGGAATGATCATTGGCCATGTTCAGAAAATGATTAATCTCAAGGTATACAAAAATTCATCCCAGGAAATCCTTATTATTGAATTAAAAAAAAAATGCATTCGTTATGTCTCTCTTAAACCTAAATAAAAAAAAACGTAATTTATTGTAAAAATAACAAATGCATATGTTTTTTTTAGAGATTATCTATCTTTTTAAGTATATTTGTTTTAAAACTTATATATTCAAAATTTTTAAAAGATATTCACTCAGGATTGTCTATTTTTTATTTATATCTGCTTGAAAATATTTATTTCATGAAAATTATAACTGATGTGATGTATTTTACTAGAATATCTATAATTAAAATTCATAAAATTACTCATATGAAATAATACGACATCGTTCGCCCATCGCCTCTCGAAGCTGCCTTGATTAAAAATTGAAGCAAACCCTAAACCCTCTCCTCCTCTTTCTACTCCGCTTCAATGGAGGAAGAGAAACAAACCGAACAAAATGACCAAAACACCCTCGAGAACCAACCCAATTCACAGCCCACTCCACTCTCCAAAAACGCACAAAAGAAACTACTGAAGCAACAAAAATGGGAAGCAAAGAAAGCAGAGAAGAAAGCACAAGTGAAGGAGCAAAAAAAGAAAGAAGCAGAGAGGAAGAGAAAGGAATGGGAAGCGACACTATCAAGCTGTGCAAGTGAAGAAGAAAGGCTGAAGCTTATAGAGTCACGGAGAGAGTTAAGGAAAGAGAGAATGGGGAAGAGGGCAGAAGAGAAAGAAGAGAAGGTGCAGAGGCTTAGTAAAGCTAAAGAATTTGGTCAGAATATTGTGATTGACCTTGAGTTTGCTGATCTTATGACTGACAGTGAGATTCATAGTCTTGTTCAACAGGTTAGTTTTTGTGTTAAAGTTTGGAACTTTTTGTTTTGAATAATGGGTTCAAGCTTTATAATGTTTGTGTTGGATTGGTTTTTGAGTAGGAATTGGTGTCAATAGTTGTTGGATTGAGTTTTTCGGTTAAATGATGGTGACCCATCTTGAGAAATGATTGAATTCTTATGTGGGTTCAATGCTTCTTTGTGGAAATGGAGTTGTGATTACATTGTTAAGAACTTTAATGTAATGCGTGAAATGGCGTCAGTCAATTTGTTTTAAGGATGGTTTAGATTCATTTTGAGTAAGAAGTGATGCTGACAGTTTAGTTGAATTTGGTTGGCTGAATTATGACGGCCGATTTAGAGAAGTGAGCGAATTTCTATAATTTCAAGAATTGCATCAACCTTGTAATCTGGTCAGTGTATTGTAGACACCTGACAAGTAAATTTATGGCATTTTAACAAAGTTCTGATGTTCAGAATTTTAGCTACAAGTTATTGTGCAGCTAAAAAATTTATTTTGAAGAGATTGCATCGTTGATTAAGAAAAATTTATTTTGAAGAGATTGCATCGTTGATTAAGTGATTTGGTATTAATAGGTTAGAGAATGGGCAGTTTTTATAGGATTTTTTTAAAATATTCAAGCTTACGCTTTTCAATGACCGACTAGATCCTTGCTATTTAAATTGGCAGATTATGTATTGTTACGCTGTGAATGGAAGATGTACGTCCCCTGCTCACCTCTGGTTGACTGGTTGCAGAGGGGAAATGGAGAACCAATTGCAAAGGCTCCCAGGATTTGATAAATGGATTATTGAGAAGGAAAGTCAATCGTATATCGAAGCATTGCAGGATCAAAAGGAAAATTTGGTGTATCTTACAGCAGATTCTGAAACAGTGCTAGATGAACTTGATATGAAGAAAATATATATTGTTGGCGGGTTGGTAGATCGGAATCGGTGGAAAGGCATAACCATGAAGAAAGCAAACGAGCAAGGAATCCAAACAGCAAAACTTCCTATAGGCAGTTACTTGAAGATGTCAAGTTCTCAGGTATGATTGGTCTTGGTCTTGGTCTTGGCATTTGCTTTTTCATCTTTCAAGACTTGAAATGTTGACCATATTGTAGATTTTATTTCTTTTGTGCTTATTTCTTTTTCTTTTTAGTGTCACTTGTGCACTGAAATCACATTGATTGTAGAACATGTATTAGATGCAAATTGGGACTGGGAATGCAGTACTACACCGTTGCACACAGAGAGGGCTAGGTTTAAACTTTTATGCGGTGAGTTTTACTCTTTGTTGTCCAATGTCTGGCACTGGTGCCCAAGAGTGTTGGACGGGTTCTCATTCTCTGAGGAAAATGGGCTAGGTTCAAACGATTATGAGGCGACTGCTATACGCAAAGAGTGTAGTACAGGGTCTCAATCTGTGGAGTTGTGCACAAAGCACTGCTCTTTCTTGCCCATTGCTCCCAGGGATGGAATTAAGATGATTTATGGAAATTTTCATTATAGTGGACATTTTGCAATAAAAGAAAGTTTGTTTACACTTTATTGTGATTCGAAATTGATGCTGTTGTGGCTGAAGTAACTCAACCCATCCGATCCATTATTTGGCTTCAATGCGGGATAGGGGATTTTTCCCCATCTCGTGTCTTGTTGATTCCCTCTGAAACAATCAACCCCAAGCCCTCAAAATCGATGGTCTTTATCTGCTGACTCATTGCTTTTTCATTTATTCGAGTGTAGGTGCTTACTGTAAACCAAGTGGTGGAGATCCTGCTCAAGTTTGTGGAAACAAAAGATTGGAAAACTTCTTTCTTTCAAGTAATTCCTCAAAGGAAAAGAGGCGAAACTGATTCAGAAGAACTCCAAGGAGTAGATGGAGAAGAGCTGATAGACGAAGATGACCCATCTGAGAAGAAAAAGCAATGCATTGAAGTTTCACCTCTAAGGAAAAGACGTGAAACTGATTCAGAAGAACTCCAAGGAGTAGAGAGAGAAGAGTTGTTAGACGAAGATGACCCATCTGAGAAGAAAAAGCAATGCATTGAAGTTCCTTCTACACAGCAGAACTAACTTGAATTATTCCCTTTTCAAACTTTATAGGCATTCATTATCGTCAAAAGACATTGTCAGAAGACTGATCTTGTTTTTGCAACTGAAAATATCAATTCATCTCTTTAGTGAGAGGTTTACTTTTCCATTGGCATTGCTACTGTATGGCATTTTCCATCTTTTGTTGGTTGATAGCTTTCTGAAGAATGAAGATACGCATTCAGTTTGATCCCTTATTTTGCCACTCGCTTCCTCTGTAGTTTTGTACACCCGAATCACGCCATGCACAAGCTCCTTGATTTTTTACCCTGGGCAAACTACAGTAGTGCGTGGGGAGCTGCTTAGGCTTTGAATAATCAAAACGAGGTAACTATATTTAAAGACACGTACAAAACCATCTGAGCATCTGGCTTCCATAGCATAGTGGTAGTGCGTTCGCTTCGTAAGCGAAAGGTCGCGAGTTCGATGCTCGCTGGGAGCTTTACTATTCAAATCCGGGCAAGGTCTAAGTGTTAATTGTATAAGTTAGTATCTTTATTTTTTAAAACGACTTAAATAGTTCCTCCAGTTTCAAAAACTAATTAATTAGTTTTTTTTTTTAAATCTACTAAAATTTTAGTTTTTTTTTATTCGTTTTTAATTTATTTTGATTTTTAAGAAATAGAAAAAAAGTATTTTGTGAAATAAAATAATATTAAATTAAATAAAATCAACACTAATCAAATAATCAAATAATTAGTTTTTAAAATAAAAAAGACTTAATTAATTCATTTTTCGAAACAAAAAGACTAATTTATAATTTACTGCAGGACCTATACACTCCTCTCTCTATTTTTCTTATTAAAAAAAAGCTTGTCTTAAATTTAATAACAATAATAGTGCTACATGACACCAGTGGTGTCGGAGAAAAAGTCAATATAATTTTATAACGGTAGTATTTTTTTGGAGGAATACAAGAAATGATACTTTATTTTAATAGGTATTATGTCATTTAACATTTTCATTTTTCAAATTTACCCCTAAACTCTTTCTATTTTTGAAAATGGTGTACTGTAACCATGGTGTCATCAATCATTTTTCAATTTTTAAAGTTTGATATCATTTTTTTTTGGAAAATATTGATAAAATATATTTGAAAACGGTGTTTATTAATGAACATTTTAACCTTTTTTCTTGGAATTACCAAATCATAAATACCATTAATTGAACATGGTGTTTATTAATGCAAATTTTGAATTAAAAGTTCAAGATCCATAAATACATCATTTTTTGTTTTTGGAATGACTAAATCATAAATATCATTGAAAATGGTGAGTGTTTATACGTTGGTTGCCCTTTCATCTTCTCTGTAAATTCCAAAGATTATCATATCATTTTTGTGGAATTACAAAATAATTAATATCATTGAAATTTGAACTTGATTAGGTCATAGTAATTATGATATTGGAATGAAAATTGCAATATATAAAGCAAAAAAAAAAAAAAATCCAACACACAACAGATTATATATAAAAACAGAAATTAAGCACTTAATTAGGAATTGAAATATTCAAATTAGATGGTCTTAATTAACTAGGGTTTTATGAAGCACCAAAGACACCACCTAAACAGAATTATGAACTAGAAATTCTACCATTACATAGAAATTAAACTTCCAAACACTAACCTCTCTAGCTACCTTACCTTCCCTTCCCTCTCTTCCACCATTTCTTCACCAAACAAGTAATTAGCCTTACAATATTGTGGTTAGTGTAGCATTAATCTCTTCCTCATCAATCTCTCATTTATGCTGAGCAAATGCCTCAACATTAGCCAACGCAGCAGCATGGGACGAGGAACTTGGACTGGAATTGGCATCCCTCATGTTCATGTATCCTATCGGAGCCCCACCGAAGAAGCCATGATGATGGTGGCTCAAATGAAATGCCGGCGCTGCATAAGCACCAACGGCAGCCATAGTCCCATACTGATCAACATTATTGTTGTTAATATTCCTAGCCTTCACCAATGGCTCACCTCTTATCGACCCACGATCGCCCTCGAGCTCACGGTATCGGTGAAGATAGATGGTCAGAGGTTCGATGTAGTCATCAAACCCTAGCTTGCTCATTGCGTAGAGCACATCCTCAGCTGTTATAGTCTTGCGTTGCTCGCGCTGGCAACGTTCGTTGGCTTCGCTAGTGATGAAGCTAATGTACTCAGATACACATTCTTGGATTGTTTCCTTGGCATCATCAGAGATTTTCGCATGCGGGGGAGAATCTTGCGCATGATCCTGATAACATTGGCTATCGGCATGAACCTGTCTTGCTCCCTCACAGTACATTCATTCATGTCATCAGTAGTTGCATGAATGTTGTTGCTGCTGTTGTTGTTGGTGGTGGTGGTGGTGGTGGTGGGGTGGTGGTGGATCTCAGCAGCTAGCCTCATGTTGATCTCTGATGATAGAAAAGACAAGACATTTGTATTGATTTTTTGTTATTAACTTCCAATTCGTTTTGCAACAAAATCAATGGCTAGATAAAGAATTCCGTCAGGCTTATAAGGCCATGATCCCATTTGAAAAGACGAACTAGCTCCATGGCTCAAAACTTTCTATACTACAAGTTTAATTTGCAGACATAACATGCCAAGAAAAGATTATACAACTCAACATTGCATTCAAACATGGAAAGTCCAGTCGCTCAAGTTCTTGCATGCAAGACAAAAGTAACTCCTATTCTTTTCCATACATAAAAAACACTTGTCGTTTGATTGGTGGGCTTTCCGATTCAACCATGCCAGAAAAAAACAAGAGAGTTTACTGTCGAGATTAAAGCGGACAGAGAAAAAAAGGAAGTAGGCGTTTTTGAATCCTGAGAAAGAATGCATGTATGCCACTTGTTTCATGCGTTGCATGGATGATGCATGCCACTTGTACATAAAGCTGTGCGTTTACCATTACTAATTATTTCATCATCATGAGAGTTCCTTAAAGATACCTTGACCATGGCCATTACTCTCTAGTTTATTTTAACGGACATTCAAGATCAATACGCACACAGACGCATGGATATCAAAGCCATTGAGAGATCGATAGAGTTTGAATGTCAGTATGATAAATCAATAACTAGTGTGAAAAAAAGAAAGAAAAGACATAACCATTTTGATTATCTGTATGTTTTTTTTATAAAGAAACAGAGATTTTTTGAAAAGAGATGATTCATCGACAAATCAAAGCATGCATAGAATGAATGAAGAACGCAGCAGCATATATATCTTCTTGCTTAGAGGAGAAAAGAAACTGAAAAATACATAGTATCTGTTTGCATGCAAGATCGAAGATGATGCATATGAACAGTAAATAAATTATATCCAATATCTCTGTTGCATTTTAAAATAGGGTTTCTTGTAGCCCTACAACTTGTCTTCTTGAATGATAAAAACTTACCTGAGCTTGTGCTGGGGAGCTTGCGGTAGCCATGAAAGCCTCTACGGTCCATTTCTCAGTGGACAGTAACCCTTTTTTTTTTTTTTTTTTGAAAAGAAAGAGAAGGGCAAGTGTCAATATTTATAGAGCCAAAAAGTGGAACCACTTGGCAAAGGGGCGATGCACACGAAGCATATGAAGCTATATATATATATATAATTTACTTGGACCAGACAGAGAGGAACAGGCTTTTAGTCTGGGAATAGCAGAACAGAACATTGGTATTCGACAACAACAGACCAGAAAAGCAGGCACGCTAGCTTGGATATTAATGTTGCTGTTCAATATTGTTCAACTCTTCAACGCTTGCATTTCAGCCATTGGGCTATTCAATGATCATGCAAAGTGGGTGGGTTCCTTTGCTTGGAACTCAACCCTAACACAGTTCAATATTGTGACCCATATGGTTAGAGTTGATCAGAAATCGTAGGGACTTGACATTTGTTCTTACTAGTATTGACATTGATTGTGGGGGGAAAGAAAGAAAAAACCCTAATTATCTAAGCAATTGCTGTTAATTTCTTTGTTTACCTTAATAGTATTGGTCTAAGATTAGAATTCAAATACATCCTCATTTTCTTACAATTATTAGTCTAAGCAACTTGTTTTTTTTTACGAAGTTTTGGCTACAATATATATATACAGATATATATATATATCCATAATTTGCAAGAAAATAAAGAAAATCCATCAGCTGCATGAACAATATATCTAGTTGTTACATTATCAATAATTTGTTGGTCCAATAATAAACAAGCTGGTCTTCAAATGAATTTTTTTATCAATGTGTAAATTTCGAATTCTTGAATCGTACTTATTATCGGACCAATATTTTGTTAATACGTAAAATTCAAATTCTTGAGTTGTGTTTTTTGAGAGGGGTTAAATTTTGTTAATTTCATTCTAAACACGATTAGTTCTATATACATTCAATGTGAAATGGAAATACATGGAGAAAACTATATAAATATATAAAATACATTTAATTAGAAATCTAATACACATTAAATTAATCATTCCATTCAAAAGTATATATACTAATACCTAGTAACCCACAAATGAAAAAAAAAAAAAATTAAAGAAAACCTATCACTTGCATAAACAATATCTAGTATACTTAACCAGAAATTATCATTAACTCACAAAATTATGATGTTCTTTTTTGTTTATAGTGCATATAAAAAAACCACTTAAAAAAAAAAAAAACCCTGCGTACACACTTCAAATTAATTATACCAAATTAGTCTCCACACATTTTACATATACTAAAAAAAACCAAAAATAAATAAATAAATTAATTAAATTGATATCTTGATCTTCAAGTAGAGGCTTCGTGGAGGAATTGAAGAACGACCACTAAAATCACTAGAATAAGAAGAATTGAAGGCAGTCCCAGAGGGCCAAATATCCCTTATGGAGCAAACAAGATAATTGCAGCAACCATGAAAAGAAACCGCTGTTGAACATGCTCCCCACCCGTAATCTTCATCCATTATGCAATTTGTTAATAATGTTTGTGTCAAAATTTAGAAAAAAAAATTGACCAAAATTAATATATATATAAAGTGGAGATTTTGCAGAAGAAGAAGAAGTTTTATGGGTAATATATAGAGTTGTATGGTGGCTCATGGTGCAATGGTTGGCTAATTTTCCATGATTTTTATTTTTTATTTTTGGCTAAAGGACACAGATGAGAGTAAATTATAAATTAGTCCCTCTAGTTTTTCAAAATGAATTGAATAGTTTCTCTATTTTCAGAAATTTATTAATTAGTTTCTTCATAATTAATTTAATACTATTTTGTTTCAAAAAATGTCTTATTTTCTCATCTAATTTTCATATTATCTATTTATTTTCTTCTTTTATTTCTTGAAATAATAAATAAATAAATTTATAAAACAAAAAGATCAAGTTATAAATAGATTTATGGGTGTAAACATGAAGAGGAAAAAAGATAAGTATATCTTGATGGAAGGATACAATGTTGACTAATTTTGCATGACATTTTTTTTTTTTTTTGTCATCTAAGGATACACGAGATTACCAAAGAGAGGTGACTTGAGTGGAAAAAATTTTAATCGCTTAAATAAATAGTTTGGATTCGAATTATTACATATGTAAAAAACTCTTTGGTTAGTTATCCCGATCTTGTGTGCCTATAGGACAACCATGTATTAGTCTAGAAAATTGGGTCTGAGGCATCCTAAAAGATCCAATCAGACACAAGAGAGTAAATTATAAATTAATCCCTCTAGTTTTTCAAAATGAATTAAATAATTTCTTTTTAAAAAAAATTTATTAATTAATTTCTTCATAGTTAATTTAATACTATTTTATTTTAAAACATGTATTATTTTCTCATCAATCTTTCATATTTTTTTCTTATTTTTCCTTTCTTCTATGTATTGAAATAAAAAATAAATTACTTAAAAACATAAGTTACAAATAGATTTAAAAATATAAGAAATAATCCATTAGTTATTGAAAATAAAGTTACTATTTAATTATTTTTGAAAAGGTAAGCGATTAGGGGACTTGAGCCAAATAGAAAAATCAATTATAATATTAAATCAATTATAACTTAAACCTTTTTATTTTTTAATTTATTTAATAAATATATAAAAAAAGATAAAATATGAAAAGATTGGTAAGGGAAATTTTTTTTTCAAAAAAAAACTATTTAATTCATTTTGCAAGATTAGAATGTGATCTGCTCTATTTTACAGAGAGACTGCAGCCCAACTACCATTTATGACCAAAATAATAAAGCAATTTTTTGTTTTGGTCCTAAATGTTTAGATGAGATTGATACTTAGTCCTTTAACTACTACACAGAAGAAGCCAAAACCGAAAAAAGAAATGGAAGTTATTTGCCTCCACTGCTTTGATTTCCATTATCCCTCTCGCCTGACCCACTACATCCAGCGAGGTATTCCACTCAAAACTTTTCTTCTCAAGAAATATTTGTTTCTCTTCATCTTTCTCGATTCAGTACCATACTGAACTACTGCCATGGCATCATTTAGATTATCACCAACTTCCTTAGACTCATTTTACTCAAACAAGTCAAATTTCTCTATAAATCCACTTCATTTCCCTGGTAATTCTACGCTTTTTTCCGTTTCTAGTTGTATTCATTTGATCACTTCTTTGAGTAGATTTAGTGCTGTTAAAGTGTCTAGAATCCAAACTGAATTGTCTGAAGAGGACCCTTTTTTATCAACTGTAGATGGTTTGGTTGATGAGAATGAGCAAAAGGACCTAGATTTTAAACATGAGAGGAAAATTAAGTATATGGGTGGTAAGAAAGGGACTAAAAGGGAAGTGTGTTTTAAGTTTAGTTATAAAAGGAATGGTGGGAGACTGGAAAGGGAGGACCTTTTTGTGTATGATGGTGAATTGGATGTTAATTACTCTGTTGTTGGGTCTAGTACGAGCTTAGAGCAATGTAATGAGGTTTTGAAAGGGCTCGAGAAGCGTAGCAGTGATGGTAAAACTTTGAGGTTTTTTGAGTGGATGAGGAGTAATGGGAAGCTTGAAAAGAATGTTAGTGCTTACAATGTTGTTTTTCGAGTGTTGGGTAGGAGGGAAGATTGGGATACTGCTGAGAGGATGATTAGGGAAATGAGTGAGGGTTTTGGTTCCGAGCTGGATTGTCGAGTTTTTAACACGCTTATTTACTCGTGTTCTAAACGGGGGAATGTGGAGTTGAGTGGGAAATGGTTTAGGATGATGTTGGAACTTGGAGTTCAGCCAAATGTTGCTACTTTTGGTATGGTCATGGGGCTTTACCAAAAGGGTTGGAATGTCGATGAGGCAGAATTTGCTTTTGCCCAAATGAGGATTTTTGGAGTAATATGTCAGTCTGCATACTCGGCAATGATCACTATTTATACCCGCTTAAGTTTGTATGATAAAGCAGAAGAGGTTATTGGTTTGATGAGAGACGATAAGGTGGTGTTAAATTTGGAAAATTGGTTGGTTTTGCTTAATGCTTATAGTCAGCAAGGGAAGTTAGAGAAGGCCGAGCAGGTGTTGGTTTCAATGCAAGAAGCCAAGTTTTGCCCTAATATTGTTGCATACAATATATTGATTACTGGTCATGGAAAGGCATCCAAAATGGTTGCTGCTCAAAGGCTGTTCTTAGGCTTAAAAAATGCTGGATTAGAGCCTGATGAAACAACCTACCGTTCCATGATTGAAGGTTGGGGGCGAGTTGGCAATTATAAGGAGGCAGATTGGTACTATAAGGAGCTCAAGCGGTTGGGATTCAAGCCTAGCTCATCCAACTTGTACACGCTGATAAATTTGCAAGCTGAGCATGGGGATGAAGAGGGTGCTTGCAGAACTCTTGATGATATGCTGAAAATGGGGTGCCAGTATTCGTCAATCCTTGGATCTCTTTTGAAAGCATATGAGAAGGTCGGAAGGATTGATAAAATCCCTCTTCTTTTGAAAGATTCGTTCTATCATCATGTTACGGTTAACCAGAATTCATGCTCCATTCTTGTCATTGCTTATGTAAAAAACCTGTTGGTTGATGAGGCTATAAAAGTGTTAGAGGACAAAAAGTGGAATGATCCGGTTTTTGAGGATAACCTGTATCATTTGTTAATTTGCTCGTCCAAGGAGTTGGGCCATCTTGAGAGTGCTGTTAAGATATACACTTTGATGCCCAAATCTGATGATAGGCCAAATTTGCACATCTCTTGCACCATGATTGACATTTACACTATTATGGGTCAATTTAATGAGGGGGAAAAACTTTATCTGAAGTTAAAATCTTCTGGAATTGCTTTAGATGTGATCGCTTTCAGCATTGTTGTAAGAATGTATGTCAAAGCTGGATCTTTGAGAGATGCTTGCTCTGTTCTAGAAACAATTGAGAAGGAAAAGGACATAGTTCCGGACATTTATCTGTTCCGGGACATGCTTCGCATTTACCAACAGTGTGGAATGCTGGATAAGTTAAATGATCTGTATTGGAGAATTATGAAGAGCAGAATTGTTTGGGATCAGGAGTTGTATAATTGCCTCATAAACTGCTGTGCTCGTGCTCTGCCAGTTGATGAACTTTCCAGACTTTTCAATGAGATGCTTCAACGTGGTTTTGATCCTAATACTATTACCTTCAACGTCATGCTTGATGTTTATGCCAAGGCCAAGCTTTTCAATAAAGCTAGGGAATTGTTCATGATGGCTAGAAAACGAGGATTCGTTGATGTAATCTCTTACAACACCATTATAGCTGCTTATGGACACAATAGAGACTTCAATAATATGGCATCAACCTTACACTGTATGCAATTTGATGGCTTTTCGGTTTCGTTGGAAGCCTACAACTGTGCGTTGGATGCCTATGGGAAAGAAGGTCAGATGGAGAGTTTTAGAAGTGTCTTGCTGAGAATGAAGGAATCAAGTTGTACTGCTGACCATTATACGTACAACATTATGATGAATATCTATGGAGAGCAAGGATGGATCGATGAAGTTGCAGCTGTGCTGACAGAACTGAGAGAATGCGGATTGGGACCTGATTTGTGTAGCTATAACACACTGATAAAGGCATATGGAATTGCTGGAATGGTTGAAGATGCTGTGGGTTTGGTCAGGGAAATGAGGCAAAATGGGTTAGAACCTGATAAGAAAACCTACACCAATCTGATCACTGCATTGCAGAAGAATGATAAATACTTGGAGGCTGTTAAATGGTCCTTGTGGATGAAGCAGACGGGACTATGAAGCACACACAAATGAAGTATATATTGTTTCCCCCTTTCAACAATCTCTTCATCAATGACTCTCCATAGTCAGAAAGGTCCTGAGCCTGGATCCTAGTTGATACAACTGTCGTTTTGTCACTCAAGGTAAGATATTATATTCATGTCTACTGTCTACGTACCGCTACTTCCTCTTCTTCCGAAACTAGCTTCTTGATATATGAGACAAGTGGCTCTAATCTCCCTCTGCCCACTTTATTCATGTCTACTGTTTTTTGACCAAAGACATAGAAATGGATGCCTACCAGTAGTTGAATGGATTTCATGCGGTTGTTACTGGTTACCATCCTTTCAGCTGTTTCAGTTGGACATGGATTGGGATTATTTCAATTAGATAATTGAAGCAAACCAGAAACAATGGTGGAAAGGTTTTTTTTTACTGTCACCGCTTATGGTCACATATATGTTGCCTCCTTTTTGTGCAGATTTCCTGTTTCTTATAGCTACCACTAAACTTCTTTCCTTCCCTTAAAGATGGAGATTTTACTGATTCTTTCAGACTGTAATCAAGTATTTTGATTTCTTCCTTGATCAGGTCAAATACTTAGCTGATAATCTTTTGTTCTACTACAGAGTCTCAAGATTCTGGACAGTTGGGTGAAACTGGCTCTATTATAAATTAATAGACAGATGGTGTAAAAGGTGGACAATCCTTGCCTGTCTTGCTCTCAGAAGATGGCTATGCAGAAGTGAAAAGGCCAGTTGATGGATCAATATCAAGAACTCAAATCATGATGTGGATATCACACAGTCAAGGAAGTCACTGCATCAACTATTTATGCTTTGAGAATTTATCAGTCTCGTGCATTCTTTCTACCGAAGTAATGAAATTGAGTTTGATAGAAGTGTTTGCATTTCGAAGTTCAATTGGTTTCTCTTCTGCAAACCGAACTGAGTTATATATACACAAATTCTTCCTACGAAAGGGGCAACAGGAGATAAAATGTGCCTATAAGAAAATGTCTTATGTGTCGATAAGTAATCTATATCTCGGCCGATTTCCATGTCAGAAAATAGAGTTGTTCTTCCTGTATTGGTACAAGTACAAGACTGATTTTGCAAGAGCCATGTCATTTCAGACCCATTATTACAAGCTGTTTACCAGGTTGATGCATAGCATGGTTTTTACTTGTATATAGTTCCTCTTTTTGTTCCATTTGTCATAATTACTGTCATTAACGTTGATAAATGATAAGGGTTAGAGTTACACGCACGCATCATCCAGCAAATAACTGGTTTCTCTACAGCTTAGTTCTTGCCTGTGCCTTAAAAAAGTTTTTTGGTGTCAGATTAGTAAGTTTTTGTTTTGATGTGTAAATTCTCTCTTCTCTCTCTCTCTCTCTTTTCATTATATTTTGTGCACATTTTCGTTTCTTCAGCCAATAGTCAAGACTTATTTAAGGCTTTGATCTCTTCATGTAACCAGCGATAGCGGTTCTGGTTTAAAACAGGTGCAAAATCCTTAACTTTTATCGTCTCTGAACATAGCATGGAAGATTTTTTTGCCCTGAAGATCAAAACACAACCTTGTTCAGCAGAAAGAATCTCCCTGGAAGTTAAAGAAATCACAGTACTCATAGAATAAGGATTTGAAAAAGGAAAATGAAACGAGGAACCAAATGACCATAAATGCACTCTTTTCAATCAATGTAGTTGGAAGAACAATTGGTACAATGATTCATAGCAGCAAAGAACTATTCAATGAATTGAAGTTCTACTCGTAAGTTAATACAGATAGATAAATAAAACATTTTGAAGCTTTCAACCTTTGCCATTTCTCAGATCAACAAAACCATTATTGTATAAGATGAACATCGATCCACTGGATATTGCATCCTTTTCCATCTCCTGCTGTTTCCAAACCTTCTTTCTCTACTCTTCATCATCTCTACCAACTGTTTATGCTTCTTTCTCAACTTATCAAAGAGCCTATAATCTCTACCATCGCAGTAACTCTTGATACCAGAATCAATGAAACATAATATAAAACCATTTATTGAAGAACAAAAAAAAAGCACGCTAATCACCCTTACATTCAACAAGACACATTGCCTACTTTCCTACTTCGAAAAATAAACTGGGATCTTGATCTTCATTTAGAGGCTTCATGGAGGAAGTAAAGAACGGCCACCAAAATCACTGGAAAAAGAAGAAACACCAAAGCAGAAGGCGGTTCCAAAGAACCCATCCCCAATGGAGCAAACAAGATAATAGCAGCAACCACCAAGAGAGCCACTGTCGAACAAGTTCCCCATCCATAATCTTCATCCATCATGCAACAGATTACTGTGTAAATTAAGTGGAGATTTTTGAAGAAGAAGAAGAAGTAGTTTTGTGGGTGTAATCATGAAGAGAAAGAAAAAAAAAGCAGAAGTATATGGTAATTTATAGAGTTGCATGGTGGCTCTTGGTGGAAGGGTGCAACTTTTGGCCAGTTTGCAAAGTTTCCATGTATTTTTCTGTCTAAAGGACACATATGGGAAGTAAATTATAAATTAGTCCTTTTAGTTTTTCAAAATGAATTGAATAGTTCCTCTTGTTTTAAAAACTAATTAATTAGGTTTTTTTTTTTACTCGTATTGATCATGATTAATTTAATATTACTTTATTTAAAAAAAATATCTTCTTTTCTTATCAATTTTTTCATAATTTTTACTTTTTTTTCTTTCTTCTATTTATTAAATTAAACAAAATAAATTGAAAAGAAATGAAACGGATTTAAGTTTAAAAACATAAGAACTAACCAATTAGTTATTGAAAATAGAGGTACCATTTAATTCTTTTTGGAAAAATGGAGGAACTAATTTTTAATTACACACAATTACTTCTTTTTTTTTTTTTTTTTTGAATCCTTAACGTGTTCTAGGCCTAAAAAATCAAACTAATCTATCGTTTTTCTCTATCAAGCCTATAAAAGAGTACAGTTACCGAAAAAGTTTTTTACGTATATAAAAACTCGAACTCTGAGACTATTTATTTAAACGATTAAAGTATATTTCACTTAAGTCAACCTTTTGGGTTAATGGGATTTCGGCTAATAATTTTGCTTTCTGTGTATAACTGGTGTTTTGTCACTCAAGGTGAGATATTATATTCATGTCTACGGTCTACTGTTGGAGCTGGCGTTTTGCTTTCTTCCTCGATCAGGTCAATTACTAGGCTGATAATCTTTTACTCTACTACAGAGTCTCAAGATTCTGAACAATTGGGTCAAACTGGCTCAAGGCTAAATTAATAGACAGATGCTGTAAACGGTGGACAATCCTTGTCTGTCTTGCTTGCTCTCAGAAGATGGTCATGCAGAAGCTAAAAGGCCAGTTGATAAATCAACGTCAAGAGCTCAAATCTTGATGTGGATATCAAACAGTCAAGGAAATCACTGCTTCAACAATTTCTGCTTTGAGAATTTATCAGTCTCGAGCGTTCTTTCTGCCGAAGTAACGAAATTCTGTTGGATAGAAGCGTTTGCATTTCTAAGTTCAACTGGTTTTGCTTCTGCAAACCAAACTGACTTATATATGAACAAATTCTTCCTACGAAAGGGGCAACAGAAAGTAAAATGTGGCTATAAGAAAGTATCATGTATCAGTAATTATTTTTTTTATCTCTGCCCATTTGCACGTCAGAAAACAGAGTTGTTCTTCCTGTATTGGTACAAGTACAAGACACCATGATTTTGCAAGTCATGTCATTTCAGACTAAATATCACAAGCTTAATACCAGTTTGATGCATAGCATGGTTTCTTTTGTTGGATTCCCAGTTATCTCTGGCTCAAGAGCCCAGACTAATCTCTCGTTGTTTGGTCAGACACGTAAGGTGAGCACAGCTACCTAAAGATTTTTTTACGTACATAAGAATCCGAAACGAAGATCACTTGTTTAAATGACTAGAGCCGTTTTCGCTCAAGCAAACCCTCTTTGGCATTTTATTCCATTTGTCGTAATTACTGTCATTAATGTTGATAAATGATAAGGGTTAGAGTTACAAGCACACATTATCCTATAAGGATAACTGATGCATCATATACAGCTGAGTCCTTGACTGTGCCTCAAATGGTACATTTTTGTTGGTCAGAATATAACCGAAGCGTGAATTGAATGTGAGATCTGTAACCCTCTCGTATTTGTATAACCAGACTTGTGCCTCTCTTTTTCTTGTGTGTCGTGGGCATGACTAATGGTCCAAGAATCTTTTCTCTGTTTCTCATGGCCTTACTGATATTATCGTCCATATTGGTATTTCCATATTATATGCAGCCAGAACCACCTGAGACATTTATATTTCTCTTTTCACTCATTCCTCTCCTCACCCTCTTACATTCCTTTGTCCTTGCACTCTGTGTGTGGTGATGCTGGTTTGCCATGGCATTCTAGCATTTGATGAGATTTCTTGATGCATAAGGAAGGAAAGGACACATTCTGTGACAAGTTTTCGGTGATTTTTGTTTTGATGTGTTAATTCTCTCACTCCTTTTTTTTCAATATGTTTTGTGCACATTTTCTTTTATTCAGTTTTTCAATATGTTTTGTGCACATTTTCTTTTATTCAGTTAGAAGACATACTACAGTTTTAAATAATGACCGTTACGTTATATAACATCTTTTATATAACAGTTTTGAAACATTCTGTTACCGTTATTTTTGTATTATAGTAAACAATGATCCACGATAACGACCACGATCATTTTTTTCTACCGACCACAATTTAAAACTATTTAGGCTAATATAGGGTTTGATCTCTTCATATGACCAGCAATATGAAGATAGAATGCCCTTCCGGTTCTGGTTTAAAACAGGAGCAAAATCCAGTAAGTTTATCATCTCTGAATATAGCATGGAAGATCTGTTGCCCTGAATATCAAAACACAACCATGTTCAGCAGAAAGAATCTCCCTGAAAGCTAAAGAAATCACAGTACTCAGAATAAGGATTTGAAAAAGGAAAAATGAAACAAGGAACCAAATAGCTAAATTGCACCATTTTCTATCAATGTAGTTGGAAGATTAATTGGTACAATCATAACAGTCCAGAAGTTAAATGAAGTTCTACTCTAAGTTAATACAGATGCATAAACGAACCAGAAATCACATCAAGGTAAGATTTGAGAAATGTAAATTTCAGGGTCCCTCGTCATTTTTTATGATGTTGCTGGGTCACAACCAAAGACTTCAAACAGTTTGAACTTTTCAACCGTTTCCCAGTGCACAGTTAGTTTGGTTGTCTGTGTTGGTAGAGCCATTTCCCAGATTAACAAAGCCATCATTGTATAAGCTGTCCAATTCTTGAAAATAAGGGCTTGTTGTAATATTTTCCAACGGCTTCTTCGCCGCACTTCCCACTGACTTTTTGAAGTGCTTGTTGATGTTTTCCCATTTCTCTTTACACTTCTTTGCAGTACGGTTGTAGCCCATATTGAACATTCCACTGGATATTGCATCCCAAATATTACTCCCTTTGGAGCCTGTAACTCGTGACTGTTGTTCCCAAGCAGTTCGAAGCGTTATAAGTGCTTGCACCTCATCTTCCGGCCATCTTCTATTACTCTGGTCGCACTTAAAATGATTTTGAATGGGAGCATTCCCCACATCATTTTCTATGCGTGAGATTGTCTTTAATGGTTGAGGGACCTCGAAAACATGACCCGTCACGTTCTGGATGAAGGAAATGAGAGCTAGGTTACGAGACGTCTCTTGAGCCCTAGCCTCATTATCCCTTTGCATCCTTTCCATCTCCTGCTGCTTCCAAGCTTCTTCTCTTATAATCCTCTCCCTTTCTCTATTCTCCATCACCTCTACCAACTGTTTATGCATCTGCTCCTGCTTCTCCATCACTCTAACCACCAAACTCTGCAAAAACTTCTTAATCTTTTTCTTCGATTTCCTCTTTCTCTTCCGACCAACAGATTCTCCCACACCGACTGACGAATCATCACTATTTCCATCGCTCGAAGATAAGCTGAAAGCAAAGGAAACCACATTAACTAGGTTTTTAAATAACACATTTGTCAATCTACACTGCTGCTACATCCACATGATCCGAGGTGGGTTCGGCTTACCGTCTTGATTCAAGCTGTCCCTCAACTTATCAAACAGCCTATAATTTCTACCATGTCGGTACAACAGAGATATCATCCTAATCACCATTGCATACAACAAGACACATTGCCCACTTTTTTCCTACCTTAATTAGAGAGGTCAAACTGTCTCAATGTACTGCATTACATACTTAGCAAATCTACCTTAAAATTACCAAACACTTTTCTTAATTTCTTAACAAACGAAGTCAATTTAAATAAAATTATAAAGGCTTGAACAAGTTATTACTTCCACAAAGTACAATTCAAAAAAAAGAAAAAGGAACAACCTTTGCAGAAAAGGGGAAAAAAAAAAAAAGAGCATAGACCAGACAAAAAAAAAAAAAAGAAAAGAAAAAGAAAAAGAATACAGCATATAACAAATCTCTTAAAAAAATAAAAGAAAATTAAAAATTAATTAACAAACAATAATAAATAAATAAAATCTAAACTTACCTAAACTCATCTTCAATAAAAGCTTCACCTGAACCCGACCCGACTCTGCCACCACCATTAACAGCCACGTCACTCGCCTCTCCACCAACCAAACCCCTTAGCTTCTCTCCCCCGTCCTCCCCAGAACTCGATGGAACCCGGCCAGTCCCTCTAATCGGACGGAGCTTCTGCGGAAGCAAGCTGACAACATCACTCGACCCAACAACCGCCGCCACCGAAGTGGCCGCCGTTGCTGAAGTGGAGATGTTAAAGTTTCCGATGGGTGGGAATGGAGCTACCTGAAGAGGAAAGTCGTTAGGGTTTTGTATTTGCCGGTCACCGGCGATTAATAAATCCATTTTTTTTACTGCTAATTAAAAAAAAAGGCTGCGTTTCAGGGATGGAGAAGGTGAAATGTGAGGCTTTTAGGAGTAGTAAAAGATAAAATAAAAGAAGTACGGTAAAAAAAAAATGGAGGGATTTCTGAATTTATATATTTGGCCCTTATTTTTGTAAATTTACAAAGTTTGTCCCTTAGGGTTGTTGGGCCATAAATTGGTGGATAATAAACATTTGGATGAATGTCCTTTTCTTTTGGATGGGCCTAATCAATATTGGTCATATGATTTTATTTTCTTTTTTTTTTGGATAAACCTCAAATTTGTCTCAAATGAAATGATTCTATTGTGGACTGAGTTTCAAACCTTTTGATTGTATCCATTTTATTTACAATATATTATTGTGAAATAAAATTATCCTAACTTGTATTCTCTATTTGTAATAGTTAACAAATTTATTAAATTCACAAGTGATTTTGCATTTGTATATTCTCTTTTCATTTAGTCTTCAAAAGAGATCTTAATTTGATTAAGAACGTAATTTTAGTTTTTCGTTAAATTAATATTTTTTTCTTGCGTTTTTTTATGATTTATTTTTCTCGTTGGCCTTTTTTTCTTCAACCGAAAAAAAGAAAAAAGAAAGAAGACAATTTGAGAACAAAAATCACTAATCTAATAGAAAATTGATAAAAGAACCAAGAACCAAGTTATCGAGGAAGTTAAAATGTAAAAAAAAATAATTGAATTATTTTTGAAAAAAAAAACTAATTAATTCATTTCTCTAATGGAGAGGGACCGATTTATAATTTACTCAACGTATTTGCTTCCATGCATACTTTCTCCATGTTATTGTACGTAGGCCATAGCTTTGATAACGGCCCATTCTCATCTGTAAGCCCAGTAACGGCCGTACTGGTTTGGTTGGTTCAGGTTTGAGAATGAGTCTCTTTCTAAACAATATTTCTTTTTCTTTTTCTTTTTAATTTCATTTTTTTATGAATTCTAAGCAATATCTTAGTTTGCCCTCTTCTAATTTTCCTAAACAATAACATCCATATATCTTTTTTTCCATAATTAGAATAATTTTATTTATGAAAAATATACTATTCATGCATGATTTAAAGATTCATAGATTGGTCAAAAAAAATAAAAATCTTATTATATCTAATTCTAATTTCTAAATATTATAATATGCCATTCGAAATTTTATATTGATATTATAAAATTAATTTTCATGAAAAAGCATAGATAAAAAATCTAAATCCGATCGAAAGTGTATATTAATTAATTTCCATGTATAATTTGTCCAAGGATATTTTATTTAAAAAACCAAAATAATGCATGATATAATAAAAGATAAACTATTTTTTGGGTAGGCTACAATGTAGTTTTGTTGAAATAAAATTAAGTAAATTATAGATTAATCCCTCTAGTTTCAATAAATAAAATTTTTATTTAAAAATTAATTATTTAATTCCTTAATCACCACATTAATTTAATATTACTTTATTTTTTTAAAAAAATTCTTTGCTCATCAATCTTTTAATAATATCTTTTTATTTTTTTATTTTTTCTATTTTTAAAACAAAAAAAAAATTAAAAAAGAACATAAAAGGGATAAAAAAGATTAAATAACTAATTTTCTTAAAAGAGAGATCAACTAGTTCGTTTCTTAAAACTAGAGGGATTAATTTATAATTTACTCATATAAAACCAATAGAGGTCGAGTCTCGTTCAAACTATGAAATATTCAATTATTCATAACCTTTCTTCAAGCACTTGATGTTTCGGTACAAATACCCAAAAGAAAATCAAAATCAAAGTCTTAAGGCCCCTTAACCCACGATATGAATCTTGTAAAAGTGAAGGAAAAAGCCCATCTTTTTTCCCTTTTATGTTAAACTCTCCCATGTTGTTCCTCTTACTATAAATTAACTATGATCAGATGCCTCTCCACACATTCATTCCTCTCTTCAACAATCATTTTTCCTCTTGGAAGAACCACCGTACTACTTTCAAAAGGTAAAAAGTTGTAATCTTTATTGTTTTTTGTTGTCCAAACCTGTGTAAATGTTTCTTTTCTTGAATTTTAATTACTGGGTTTTACTTAGTTTTGATTTTTGTTTGTTGTAGTGTGTAAAGATTATCCCTTTTTACATTTGCGCAACTGGGTTAGAGCTAGAATTCCTCTTTGTACAAGGACAGTGTCAGCTTTCATGAGTTCAAAATCTGGAATGGAGCAAGTATTGGTTGAGAATGAAGTGCAACAGGTTCAGTTGCTTGATTCAGTCAATGATGACCATGGAGGTGTCATTGTGGAATTGAGTGAGACTATGGATTTAAATGTGTTTGCTTCAATGCTTAAAGCATCAATTGCTTCATGGAGAAGCCAGGTATTCATTGGTTTAATCAATTTTGATGTGTTTTGTGAAAGTTTCTTGTTGATAAATATTTCAGCATCAATGTCTTGTTATTGATTCTGAATTTGGAGTTCTTTGGGTGGGGGGTTTCTTTTCTGTTCTGGCTTGTTGTAACTAATTGTACAGCAAGTATTTGGGAGATTTGGGATCATCAAATGAATCCCCAAGTTTGCGTTTTTGACATATTAATGTCAATTTAGAATTCATCTAACTAGAGTCATCAAGTTCTTTGCTGTGAAACTAAGCTTGTTTCTGTAAAATTGGATTAATTTCAATTCAAAATATGTGCTATAAGGCATATGCTCTTTGAAACTTCAAGAATGCACTGCATGAGCAATTGAAGCCTGTTTTCTGTGTATATTAGATGTATATCTGTCTACTCCTTTTTCTGGTTTTAATGGTTAATGCACTCAAACATGTTGTGCAGGGTAAGAGGGGAGTCTGGATCAAAGTACCTATTGAACTGGTCAATCTTGTAGATGCTGCTGTCAAGGTGACTTGTCTGTCTTTATAAATTGCAGTCATGAGCTCATGATGCTCTAAAAAGTGCTCATATCAGATAAAATAAGAGGTATTGCTAGTCTTGGTTATTGTCAATTAACCTCCAATTTGCTATTTACTGTGCAGGAAGGGTTCTGGTTCCACCATGCAGAGCCAAAATACTTAATGCTTGCCTTCTGGATCCCTGAAGGTGCTCATACTCTTCCAGCGAATGCCTCTCATCGAGTGGGTGTCGGTGCATTTGTCATGAACAAAAAGAGAGAGGTATATTCCCATATCTACTTTTCTGGATAACTTGATGCAGTGAAGTTAAGGGGGTTTGCAATGGAAGTGCGCTTTGTGTGGATGTGATCTAAGGCTCTTTTGCTTCTTGCTAAGGCCTAAAACTTTGCATATGGGTGGCCTTAACTCATAGCTATAGCTACCTGTGCTGCTGCTCTGTTGGAAACATAGGGTAGTAGTATCATAAGAAATCCTGTTTCTTCATCAGAAGCATGCTTGGGGAGTTGGAAGCACCACTAAGTTGGATAGATTTCATTTCCTGCATTTGCTTCATCTTTTATTTTTCAGACCTTTGCTTTCTCTAGTTCTTACGATCTAGGTTCTGATGCTAGAATAGTTGTGAAATGATTATTTACTTACTCATTTGAAGAGAATACAGTATAGTTGATACTCTGTGGGGTCTTTGAATGTTGTTTTCTCAATATATAATTGCAAAATTCATTCCCAGGTGCTTGTGGTTCAAGAGAAAAGTGGCATATTTCGAGGATCGGGTGTGTGGAAGTTCCCTACTGGAGTTGTGGATGAGGTAGGTTCGTGATTTTAATTTTTTTCCATCATATATATAAAAGTGTTTTGTGTGTTCAACACTAAAGAACTTTCTATTCTCCAGGGAGAAGACATATGTGCAGCTGCAATGAGAGAAGTCAAAGAAGAGACAGCGGTAAGTCATTGTTGCACGCTCAAGTGAAATGAGTTGCACATTTATCAAGAATATGGGTGAGGCATATTTTTTCCTAATATAATCTAAAAATTTTCCTTGTTTCTTTTTGTCTTGACAGATTGATACAGAATTTGTGGAAGTACTAGCATTCAGGTATGAAGTTTATTAGAACATCAATCACCATCTGCTTCCAAACGACATCATTGCATTCTATCACAATATATTTTGCTACTACATGTCTGTACTAAATCTTCGAACTTGGCTAACTTCTCCCTTGGTTCTATGGGCTTGTGCCGTGGCTTGTGTGAGCATGTATTATCAATTTTTATTCATAGTGATGGTTATTTAACTTGAGAAAGGAAACGATGTGTTTTTCATGTGACAAAACAAACCCCTTTGAAAAGAGTATTTTGGCCTGAACATATCTCTGAAAGCGGCATTAGATTGGAGAATAAATAACGTTTTGGCTCTTTGCTTCCAAAGTTTGTTGTTTAGATGGACCTAGTCTCTTTCTGAAATGTACTTCTTTTCTCTTCATGCAACTTACAGGCAAAGCCACAAGTCATTCTTTGAGAAATCAGATTTATTCTTTGTATGCATGTTGCAACCCCTCTCCTTTGACATCGAGAAGCAGGAATCAGAAATAGAGGATGCCCAGGTAATTTTTTATAGAGAAATTTTATAATACAAAGGCGTTGCCTCTCAAGTTAACTGAAGATTCTGTATCGCTTCAATGCACATCCCCTTTCTGCTGAACTATGCAAATGTCTGTAGCTGAATATATTCTAGATTGATATATATCAGGATGCTTGAACAGTCTCAGTACCAGCTTCTCTAGCTAGAAACCCTCACATTAATTCTTGTGATTTGCAGTGGATGCCATGGGATGAATATGTAGCACAGCCTTTCGTCCAAAATCACGAACTTATGAAGCACTTAGTAGACATATGCGAAGCAAAAGAAGACGGGACCTATGTCGGGTTTTCTCCGGTGCCCATTACATCAAAATTTAGAGATCAAAAAGGTTATCTGTACCTGAATGATCGAGATCTGAAAGGGAGTAAGGTCTGAAGGTCAGTCACAGCCCTCAGAATTTTACTAAGAAACAGCATGACCTGAATGCCTCTCACAACCCACAGAAACATACCAAGGAAAAGATTTAATTTCTGTAATTTCATTAATTATTATAACAAACAGTCAATGTTGTAATTGTCATTCATTCTTTAAAAAAGAAAAATAATCCAGTTGTATTAGCGCATTATTTGATCTATTAGGTGTACAATGCTGCTCTACGCAATTAATTAATAAAATCATTATTTCATCACTGTAAACATCATTTTTCTTTCTGGAATTTGAACAACGATGAGAAGAAGTTAAATTTTCCTGCAATGCCATGTTAGGTGTAAAAGTAAGAAAATATTGCAATCTGCAGGGGCATGAGTTGTGTTTGTCTTGGTTATACACAAGGTATCCATCATTTTGGAGCCACTCGCTATCATAATGCCAAACTTTTGGGCTACATTAGCCACTGCCATGCTTAAGAGTCCCAAACTTTTTGTGTGATCAAGAAGGCTATGTTGGCGAATGAAATATATATATATATATATATTTTCTTATAGTTTGGCAGGATGGTATACAGAGAATGCCCGGTGGCTGTGGTGAGGCTATGAGAAAATGCAAACTTATACGGAAAACAAAAAGAAGAAAAGATTCAAAGTGGCTCATGCAGGTTTCGAACCTGCAACCTTAGCGTTATTAGCACGACGCTCTAACCAACTGAGCTAATAGGCCAGATGCTGAAGCTTTCAGCTTTTATTAATTTAATCTTTAATACATCTTTAAAAGAGAACAAAAGTGCAAATCGGGAATGAAAATTGTTAGCGTACATCTCTCTCACACACGCACACACACACACACAGTGGCTGTAGAGTACGTTCATAAAATTTACTGATTAAATTAATTTCATACCCCTTGAATTAATGTAAATTCTGAGTTGACTAGGAAAGAAAAAATGGATAAGTATGGGGATAAAAGTAGTTGAATAATTCCGTATTAAAGCAGTCAAATTTGAAAGGACACAATTGACAAAGGACCGGGTGGTTTGGCTCTTTCTCTTCCTCTCATAAATTGTGGATTACGCACAAATAGAAAATTTTATTTGTTTGCATATTTATATATATCCATTCATAGAACAAAAGCATTCAAAATTGAATCCTACCAAAATAAATTGTATATCATTATACATTTACAATTATAATCAATACTGTTAAGTAACGAATCAAGCAAGAAAAATAAAATATAAAGACAGAAACAATGACACAATACAAAAATTTAGACAATTATGCTTTTCCTTCGCTGTCATAAAAGCTCTTATTAGAGTTTTATCAAATGACGATTATAAATATAAAAGATGTTGTCCCTATTTATAGGATAGACAACTAGAGTTATAATAATAATAATAATAATAAAACATTATGAACCTATACAATAAGTCTAAGATTATGTACATTTTTCGAAAGCTCTACGTAACGTATTAAATTACAGAGTACATTCATGTTAGTCTTCATAATTTAAAAAATACGAAATACAATATTTCTAACTTTCTTTTTTGTTTTTGATTTTGAGAATTAAGAGATCAACAATTACGAATTTTCAGAAAAGTGTAAAAAAATAATTTTAATTTTAATTAATTCTTACTTAGATATAAATGCAATAAACTTAAAAATCATTGTGGGATGGGTGGTCAGCCAATATACTTCCATTTTTACCAAAAAAAAAAAAAAAAACTTATACTGTTTATATTCAACACATCCCAATCTCTTTATTTCACAAAGTGGAGAGCATCAAACCTATATCTAATTATTGAAAAAAAAAAAAAAAAAGGAAAGGAAAGAAATTACAGACATCATGGGCATGCATCATCAACCATTATCATTACCAGTACTATTAACATACTCAGAAAGCTAAAAAAAAAAGGAAAAAAGGAGGAAAAAGTGCTTAAAACAAGACCTAATAACCCTAGCTAGCTAATTAATTACTACTACCTTGGCCTACCAGAAGAAGCTCCACTACCAGAACCATACATGTTGCCATGATGATGGGGATGGTGATGATGATGTCCCATCATCATCATACTCGACTGCATCCCACCATACATATCTCCCCCACTTCCACCAAACCCACCCCCAGAGTTTCCACTATTTACAACACTACCATCAGCTGCAGCACCTTCTCTTTGATCACCATGCCTAACCACTCCCATGGCAGCAGTCTTCTCTCCTTCCATCTCTCTAAACTTCTGCAAATAAATCTTCAGAGGCTCCACATAATCTTCGAAACCTAAAGTTGTCATGGCCCACAGAAGATCATCGCCATTGATTGTCTTCCTCTTCTCTCTTTGACACTTATCTGATGCCTCTCCTGTGATGAAGCTGATGAACTCGGACACGCACTCTTGCACAGTCTCCTTAGCATCCTTCGAAATCTTTGCATTAGCTGGTAAAGCTTTCTTCATGATCCTGCTAACGTTGGCTATAGGCAACAGCCTGTCTTGCTCTCTTGGTGAACTCTCACTGTAGTTTGTGTTGCTGTTGTTTTGCCCTCCAGACTCATTGTCTGAATCCGCCATGAAAGACCAGCTGCTAGCTAAAGATACCTAAATATTCTTGGGTTTGGCTTTCTTTTATGTATAACAATATCAATATTTTTTTAAAAAAGAAATTAGGGTTTAGAATTTGAACTGAATATACACAGAAGAGAAAAGGCTAACTAGGGTTTGAAAATCATAAGGAATTTTGGAAAGGTGGATTAGAAGGAGAAGATGTTTGCTTGGTTGAAGAGAACGGTAAGTTGGAGCTTAGTTTTATTTATTTATTTATATTATATTATAAATAAATATTTATTGTTATTAGTTTTGTTAGATTATATTTTGTGGGATTGATGGTTTTGGACCGTACATTTATTGATAAGTTTCTTACAGTTGGATGCTTGATTGACCATTAGATCGATCTGGAAATTGAGGGATTGTAAAGTTGACTTGTTGTTTGAGTAAATTATAAATTAGTCCCTTTAGTTTTTAGAAACGAATTGATTACTCTTCATTTAGTTTTTTTATTCATTTTATCCTTTTTTATTAAAAAAAGAAAAGAAAAATAGAAAAAATGAATCCATATTATGAAAATATTAAAAAAAATTTAAATAAAATAATATCAAATTAATCATAGTTAATATTGGTCAAATGATTAAACAATTAGTTTTTTAATAAAAAAGATCAATTTATTAGTTTCTCAAAACTAGAGGGATTAATTTGTAATTTACTTTTTGTTTTCTGTGTAGTTGTCCACGTGTACAAGCAGTCTTGCATGACTCAACGATCGATAACGGGGTTCAACATATATATATTTTTTATTGGTAAGGCAACAAATTTAATATTATGAGAAATTTAATTAATAGTAAACTTGAATTAAAATATCATACTTTATGTTAAGAAGTAGTGATGAACTATAGATATTTTATTCACATTACAATAACTTTATATATATATATATATATATATATATATATATATATATATATATATATAATGCAATCATAGAATTCAAATAGTAATTAAGAAGATAATTTATTTGGAGATTAAAGATTGAAATGAAATAGAAGTCCTGATTATTTAAAAAGTCTTGGAAAACGGTATTCTTTCGTCTTTTAACTCTCCAAGTCAATTTAATTATAGAGATGGATTCAACTATTATTATTAATTTGTTTAAAAATAATTGTAACGTCATCTTTAATCTAATTTTATGTTTAAAATCAATTTTTTTTTCACTTATATTCTTAGGAAAAAAAAAAGCTCTATAGCCAACTTTTTAGCTAAGTCTAATTAATCTCTACAAGTCTAATGATTTTTCAGCTTGGTTGTAATTTTTTTTCCTTTATCTAATTGTCGATTTCATATATATATATATATATATAGACACACACAAATGGTTTGAGAAATTGTCCTTCCATTTCAAACTTGAAGCTTCCCTATGGACCATAATCCATAATGTCAACTACATAAAGCAATAAATGGAGAAAAGAAATCGCATGATTGGACTTAATTAATTAATAAATGTAGATAATTAAGTACCTTTGCTTACTTTTCAAGCTAATACATATAAGTCTTCACTCCACATTAACTTTTAGGGTTTCGATATGGTTAGGCATAAGATGTTACAAGTAACATCATAGTGGTTGGATGTTTTTAAATGATCGCATGCCACTATTACATTAGAATAGAAAAGGGTTTCTTTTTTTCTTTTTATATTTTCTTGTTGGGTTTTTTTTTTCACATTTGAATTTTTATTTTTCAATTTTTGTTTATTGAGAGACTTTATTCTTTTTTAGCTTGATTAAAATTTTTTATTTTTTAGAATTTCTTACTTCAGACCTTCTATTATAACGTCATTAATCAATAATTGACACATAGTCGAGATTTTTTATTTTACAATGACATGCATTAATAACTCGATTGATAACGTTATAACAAAAAATCTGAAATAAAAAATCTAAAAAATAGAGAGTCCGAAACAAAAAAAATCTAAAGAAATAAAGGGTTTTAATCAAATTTTTTTAAAAAAAGAATAGAAGTTTTCAATAAAAAAAATTGAAAGAGTACAAGATATATTCATACGTAGAGTAAACTCTTTTTGTTTGTTTATTATTATTATTATTTTGAAAAAAAATAGAGCTGAACAGCAAGCATAAACTTGAACATTTTGAAAACATTATATATATATATATAATTGAAGATGGAAAGATGAAAAATGACAATTAAGAGACAAAACACATCACCCCAAAATTAAAGATGCCGCACCATCAATATTAACAATATTACTATTTATTACTCCCTCCGTCTCATATTGTTAGTGTCTTTTGACTTTTTACACAGTTTAAAAGATATTATTATGACACATCAGTTTTTTTTTAATCCTTATTTTCCTAAAATATCCTTTTATCCTATCAAATTTGAGTTTAAAATTATTTAAAAAGATATAGAGATCCTTAAACCCTTCAAAAATCAAGGCACCAAATTAAAATATTTATTCTTTTTAAATTTAAGTTAAAAAAAATTAAAAACATCTAAATATCATTAAAATTTTAAGTTAAAAAGTTAGTTTCAAAATCAAGATGTCAAATCAAGATTTTCATCCCTTCTATTTAAGTTAGAAAATTTTAGAAAGATTTAGAGATCAATAGGCCTTCCTAAATTTCTCATGAAATTTTATGCCAAAAAACTAGTTGCAAAATCAAGGCATCAAATCAAAAATTTTGCTTCTTCCAAATTTAATTTGAATTTTTTTTTTTTTTTGTAAAAAAAGATCTAAAGATCATTAAGGAATCCTAAATTTTCTATAAAATAAATAGTTTTCATGTAAAAAAAAAATTTTCTTTTGAATTTTTTTTATATCAAAAAAATTCATCTACACAAAAGAAAAGTTTAAAGAATATTAATTTTTTAGTTGGTAAAAAAATAAAAAATGGAAGAAAATTAAGAATTGATTAAGGGTATTTTAAGAAAGTATGGTATTTAAGGTTTTGACCGAACAATTATTTTGTGATAGATATAAATAAAAAATGAGAAAATCTGATCTTTGGGACAGAGAAACTACCATTTATTTGATGAGAGAAAATCGTTCCAATGGTAGCAGTCATCTTTTGGATCACCATACTCATTAAAATAACGTAGACAAGGATTAGTTTCATTTATATGCCAATTAACTTGACCTTGCAACACCGTATCTCTAGAGTCTACATAAAATTCGAACCAGTTGAGCTTCAAAGCATTTTTCCATGTAAAGCTGCAATAAAACAGTGTGGTGCTCCAAAAATTATGACAGAAATGGAAGGTGTAGTTTTCATTGCCTTTGGAAGGGAGGATGTGCACACCAAGATCATCATCCTTTGATTTGCAATGAAGCTTGAGATCAAAGCCTGAAACCAAATCATTAGTGATCGTAACATATGTTTTTATACTTTGACAAGCATCACTCAAGGTTATTATGGATAATAATGGAAGCAATGTTAGAAGCATGAAGCAAAAAAATATCTTCATTTTAGATGGTTTTGTTCTTTTGGAAGTACAATTGTCCCTCTTATTTATAAGTGGCCAGGGAGGTGTTTTTATTGCCAGATTTTTTTGATGCTATAATTTTGGGTTATTGCTCAAGCAAATTGAAAGCATTTAAGGTAAAAAAAATCATAAAAAATGTAGAGCATGCATGTTTCATTAATTTGGAACAAAAATGATACTATCTAATTATTCTCCATTTGTTGTACTTGAAAAGGATATATATATATATATAAGATGAGGATGATGATTTTTTCATGGTGGTAAAATTAATTGGGTGTAACAAGATTTAATTAATTTTAATTTGCTCAAAGCTTAAGGAAATAAAATTCAATATTGTGTAAATTATAAATTAGTCTCTCTAGTTTTGGGAAATAAGTTAATTAATATTTCTTGGTTTAAAAACTAATTATTTAGTCATTTGAGCAAGTATTGATTTCACTTAATTTAATATTATTTTATTCAAAAATATCTTTTTTTCTCTCATCAATCTTGCCATAATATCTATTTTTTAAATAAAAAACAAAAAATAAATAGAAAATAGTATAAAATGGACAAAAAGAACTAAATAATTAATTGTTGAAACATGGGATACTCATTTCTTTTCTCTCAAAACTAGAAGAACTAATTTATAATTTTTCATACAATATTGGAGTTTTTTCCATTCAAAATGAATTATTTTGGAAAGCTCATTTAGGGAACTAGGATGCTGCCAAATAGGTAATATTATAATGAAAAAATGCCATTTTTTTTATTATCATAATTAATTTATTGCAATCCTCTCCTCTCCTCTCGAAACCCTAATTAAATCTCTAATCTTTTATTTGATTCCACTTCCACTATCCACACTCAAATTAATTAATCACACAACCCAAAAAATGGACAGATTTACCCTACAATCTATAACTTCCTTTCAAGTGTCAATTTTCTCTCGCTCTAATTAATTTCCATGGCAAGAGATTTTACCTTGGAGAAATTAAAAGGTTGTTTGCCATTGTCAACCATCACTTTGCTATGGTCAAGGTATCTTTGAAAATGTAACCAAAACAATTAGTGAGAAGAGAAGTGAATTATAAAAACATTACAATCAATCAATCAATCAGTCTCTCTCTATATATATATTTATAAATAGTGGATATTTTCGAGTCATTTTACATTCAACGGAAAGGTCAAACAAGAGATATTTTTCAAGTCAATTTTACAATTAACAAATATCTTCAAGATAGATTTACAATTCATCAACGAGTGAATATTTTCAAGATAGATTTACAATTAATAAGTCGAAACTAAGTCTATTATTTCTTAGGTAGGTCAACGGCAAAATACACTTAGTTTTTAATCGATCGTCGGATAGTTTTTTATAGACCAAATCACCTCAAATTTAGTATCATTAAAAAATAATTATGACTAATTATTTATAAATAATGAAAATAAAAATTTAATTTTAGTCGAATTAAATAAATTTTTTACTACTAGACCGCATCTTTTCGTACATAAGAATCTCTATTAACTGCATAAATATCAAACCATTTGACTTTATGTCCCATTTAAAGCTGCAATAAAAAAGATATTTTACTAAAAATAACATTGCAAAGTTAGCAGTATTTTGACACCAGGATCATTGTTCTAGGATTTGCAATGAACAATCAGCAGACTATCAATGTTGTTAATGATACTAATTTCTCTACGATCGTGAATGAAAAGAATGCTAATAATATTACTAGCATAAATTGTCTAATATTGAAAGAAATCATGTTTCCCAAATACATTTTTGTTTTTTTTTCCTTGTTCTATTTGTTTTGGAGTGCACATGTTGAATTTATTTATAGGCCTAACTAATTTAATAAATTTTCTTAAATAATAATCTGAATATTTGAATCTAAAAAATCAAGAAAAAGAACAAACTTACTTAACCACCAAATTAATTCATTATATTTCTTAAGATTTAGGGATAATTATTAGAAAAACCTTATAAAAAAATCTTTTATCTAAAAAACCAACAAATTAATTTTTAAATCTCCTAAACTCAAAATAATATTTTTCTTACTAATAACACCCAATAATCAACACTAGTGTTAACTATTGGTTATTTTGATAAGAAAAATATTGCTTTAGGCTTATGAGATTTAAAAATATTATTGTGTATTTGGGAGATTTAAAAATAAAATAGTTGATTTTTTATATAGAAGATTTTTTAGAAGGTATTCTAGTAATTATCCTTAGTTTAAGTAAAATCATTCTCTTTTAAGATGTGTATTTCTATTATGGATGATCATGTTTTATTTAATTAATGTACCAAAATATGTTATATATTCATCTTGTAATTTAATTTAATTGTTCGATAAAAAATATATTGATTTTTGATTAATTAAAAAAATAGTATTACCAATGATGTTTTTTTTCTCTATCAATATATTAGGATTTAAGAATCACTAATGTTCATTATCATAAATATTCTTATTTTTCTTATTTGAATGATAACCCTTTGATTAAATTACAAGAGAATAACAAGAATCCCATTTCATCAATATTAATTAGTTAAATTGCATCGATTGCTATAGTTATTAGATAGTAAAATTAATCTTGTATTTAATGAAACAAACAAGTAGATAAAAAAAAAAAAAACTCTAACATAAGGAATTTTTTAGTATAATAAAAAAATATTTGTCAAATGTTAGTGTTAACTAAAACTCAAAGAACCTCAAAAACTTTTTGTTTTCTTTTGAATGCAATAAAAAAGAACTTGACTTGATCATGAAATAAAATTATAAATATCAAACTCATTAAAGACTATGAAATGAGTTTGTTATTAGATAAAAAATATATAAAAAAAACTCTAAAAAAATTTTCTATCTAAAAAATCCATCAATTTATTTTTTAAATCTCTGAAACTTAAAAATAAATAAATAATCTTACCAAAAACTCAACGAGTTAACTAGTGTTAAGTTGGAGGTTAACTATTGGGTGTTTTAGTGAGAAAAATATTATTTTATATTTGAGAGATTTAAAAATAAATTAATGGGTTGTTTGGATATAAGATTTTTTTAAAGGATTTTTCTGGTAATTATTCATAAGATTTATTCTAAGTGCTTAAAACACATAGTGGAATAGAATGTGTAAAATTAAGGTAACCTGGACCGAGTGTGGTGTAAAAAACAAAACACAACATACATAATTCAACGGTTCATTATTTATAAAGTTTAGCTAGGAAATGTCAAATGATTATAAATAAATTAAAAAAATCATATTTTTATGAGAAGAAACCTCTACAATATTAAAAAGGAACTAACAAAATGGAATAAAACAAAACATTTATTTTATTTCCATTAACATACATATATATGTAGCACATAAATTCATAACAAATTGAAAAAATACAAATTGATATTGAGCAATAAAGCTATGATTATTCCAAGTACGAATAAATTATAAATTAATCCATCTCGTTTGGAGAAAGAAATCAATTAATCATTTTATTTATAAAAAATAATTATTTAATCTTTTTAACACTACGAACTAATTTAATATATTTTTATTTTATAAAAATGTTTTTTTCCATCAACTTTTTCCTATTTTTCCCTATATTTTTTTCTCTATTTATTAAAATAAAAAATCAAAATTAATTAAAAAATAACAAAAAAGACTAAAAAATTAATTTTTAAAATAAAAAAATAATTTATTTATTTATCAAAACTAGAGGGATTGATTTATAATTGACTCTTCCAAGTGCATAAAGTGCATGATAACTTGGGCCTTAACGTCGTATGTCAAACAAAACCATAATAGGTAAATGTTGGGCTTGCCTCCATGCATGGGCCAGATGCCTTTATAGACCAAGTACGCTTACAACAATACATAGAATCCCTTCCATCTGCATAAATATCGATCCATTTGAGTGAATCTTTCCATGCAAAGCTACAATAAACAATGTTTTTTTTTTTTTTTTTTCAAAGAGATCATTGCAAAAGTCGAATGAGAAGTTACCTTTAGTATTTGTTTCAACGTTTAGTAGTCTAAAATTTGTTATATAATAGAATGATTAACATAAATATTATTGGATAGTACAAAAAAATTAGGTGTATTTAACTCTAACCCTAATACATTTCATCACTAATGAAAAACTGCTAAAAAATATTGAATAGTTGCCTTTTTTTTTTTTTTTGCATATTTAGTGATAAATAGATTAATTTGGTGTATATTTTTAGATTAATAACAAGATTCTTTACCATTTTTAAGGCTATGTGTATTGTGTATTGGTAACTATGATCTTATATATATATATATCTTAAAAGATAAAAATTGTAGGATTTGTGTGTTTGCCAACTATTTGGTTACAATACATGGATTCATCTAACGCAACCATCATATTATGTTTGCCTTAAAAAATATGGAATAAGTTTGGCAATCTAATCTTGACCTCAATTTCTTTAATGAGACCAATTAAAAGAAATTGCTTGACAAACATTACAATTCACCACATCCTTGGAGAGGATAATTGCATGGCTGATCATTTAGCTAAATAAAGAGTTTATCGTATAACCCATCATATTATTTTTGTTTTCAGAATTTGAATCTAAAACTCTCATTTCCATCGAGAAATTAAATAAATTAAACGACATCTAAATTATCATTTCTTTTTCTAAAACTAAGCAAAATCAACATCGATCATCATTCTATGCATGAATGTATAATTCATGTAATATTTTTTAATTTTTATCATTGTTAATCTTATATAATTTCTTTTAGGATTTGAATCTAAAACTGTCATTTCTATCGAGAAGTTAAATAAACTATACAAGGCCTAAATTATTAGTTCCTCTTCTTAAACTAGGTAAAATCAATTTCATCCTTCTACATCTTGATGCATAATCCATGCATGGAGAAATTATTTGCACAAAATTAAAAGTTATTGTGCTAAATTTGTAAGAAGATTTTGTATTGATAGATGGATGGAGATTACGTGCATATTCAACCCAAAGAAATTAAAGGAATGTAATGTTTTTCCATTGTTTCAATAACTTTGGACGAGGGAAGGGAGATGGATGATGTAGATGGGAATAGTTGGGGCAGGCAAGAAATTCGAGAGAGACAGAGAGTTACTTTGTGTTTTTCCTGCCAAAGTTACAAAACCTATTAGACGTGTCTATAGCTCTATGGTTAAAGATTTGGTAAACGGCTTTTCTTTTTTCTTTTTTCCTTTTTTGTGATTAATTAATTATTAATCTTTAACTTATAGAGAAGAATAAGTAGATGACAAAAGTAGGTAACCAACCACCATTTAACGTTCCTTCCAACTTCGGCCATTGCACACTAGGTTAAACCATGGTAAGACCAACATGCCCTTATATTTCCTTTTAACTTCCAGCTTGTTTTTTTTTTTTTTCCCTCATTTTCTTTTGGGTTTCAAGAGTCAACTTCTTTAATTAGTTAAGCAAACATGGCCACCAAAAAGACATAAATGATAAAGGAATGGATCTATCTATCTATTTAGTGTGAAAATTATCGATCATCCTCTAGATAATGTTAATGGTTAAGTAATTATATTTTTATTAGTCCGTGAATTATGAAACATAACTACCATGATTAATAACTAGTGAATCCTTTTTTCTACCAAAAATAATAATAATCATAGTTATGTACTCAGAACCGATCAATATAGATTTTACTATTAATGTATGAAAAATGATCTCAAAATATATATCCGAATCAATAATAAAAAAAAATTGACATATCTCATTATTATCATCATCGTTATTATTATTTTGACGTTCTATTTTAATAGATTTGCTTTGTTAGCTTTTGAAAAAAATTGAAATTTATATATGATTGATCTTGTTAATTAATATTAATTTCTAAAGAAGAAAAGAAAATTAGATTTATACCAAGTTGGGTATATGGTAATTTGATTCATAGATATTTGAGTAGAGAAATTTGTTGACCGTCCAAGTCAACTCATGAAGGGCAAAATTGTAGTAAGAAAGCATTTCAAGGGCAGATGAACCCAAGATCCCCTTATAAAACCAAAAGTGGATCCTCACCTTACTTTCTATTCATGTCATCTTAGCTTACGAAAATAAGTAAGAAAATTTTGCAGCAAGCACAAAGAAGATCAGCTACTTTAGCGGCTGCAACAATCTTGTGATGATCATGAACTTCATTTCCACCATCTTCATCATCTTCAGTACCATCACCTTTCAAGCATCAATGGCAAAAGCAGACAACCCATTACAAGAGTTTTCAAGTAGAGAAGAGTTGGTGCAATTGGCTGGTTATGGAGAGGAAAGGCTATCAACCGTGCTAGTCACAGGCACAGTTCTTTGTGAGGCTTGTTTGCATGGTGAAACTCAACTTCATGCATGGCCAATACCAGGTTTTCTCACGTTTCTTGATTCCCCTTTCGCCTTGCTTTAATTAATTTCTTGTTTCCATGCATGCCCACATATAACTATTAATCTCGTTTCAACTTTGAACACAAATCATTACAGAATCTGGGCATGAATACATCGATGTGATCATCTATAAGTTATTTTGTCTAGAGATGATGAGTTTCTCCAGCTCTTTACCTCATGTACTTGTCTGTTTCTTTCAGCTTTCCTTTTCTGCTATAATTTTCATGCTTCATCGAGTTACACCCTTTAACAATTTTGGAGCTGACTATTGCCCCCTCTACAATTTTTGGACCTTTCTTTTAATTACTTGTAGCATTAATTATTGATTACTAGATTTGCATAAGGTTTCGGTTCTGTATTAGGGTTTCTTGTTAACCTTGCATTTAGTTTTTGACTAATGATCATTAATAGTTTGAGATGTCGCTAGCTTTCAGCCTTTCATGGGTAGCAATAACATAGTTTTCAGACAAATTAACTTGTCACGAAAGGAAAGAAAACAGCTAGAATTAGGGAATATGTCATGGTTTATATAGGTGAAGAGTCACCATGGCTGCGTTAAGGTCAGCTGCAAAATGAAGCAAATTACAAAGACGTTACTATCAAAATACAGCTCTTTTTTTTTTTTTCCACTTTATTATCACTTCCTATTTTCTAGCTTATTTATTAATTTCTACCCTTTTTTTTCCTAGCAATTCTCGTGTAAGAGAATTGTTAATCTTTGAAGCGTTTACTATGGAATTTAATTTTTCTTTTTTTGCAAATTAAGCAAACATTTTTTTTTTAATTTTTATATATTTTTCTATGTATCTTCTTCTTGGCCCAGTGGAAGCAAAGTTAAAATCCACCAACCTTGAATACTATGATCCAAACCACTTAGCTGCTGTCACCTCAGCCAAGGCCCAAGTGATTAGGATGTGTTAATCATTTTAATTAAAGATTAATGAGGAAGATAGTGTTATAGAGAGATGGAGAAGCCCTCATAAAACAGCAACATCTCACCATAAATTGCGTTAGAGAATGCATTTCAGAATTTATTTTGACAATTAAGCAATAACTAATAATTGACTAATTTCCACTTAAATGAATTGCAAGATCATTCCACCTAAATAATTATCATCATTTCAAATAATCATAGTGTTGTAATACTTGTAGGTGCTCTGGTGAAGGTCGAATGCCACACAGGTGGGAAGCGGAGCAGGACAAGTTCTGCACAAGCAATGACAGATGAATATGGAGATTTTCTAATCGACCTACCTTCCCACCTCCATGGAATCCCAAACTTGGAAAGAATATGTTCAGTTAAGGTTGTAAGATTGCCACAGAACCCGGTATGCACACCAGCTCATGCCAGGAAACAGAAGGCTCTGGAATTATCATCGTTTGGGAACGGCATCCGTAATTACAGTGCCGGGGAGGTAAAATTTCTTCAAGTAACATCTAAATCTTTACAAGCATGCACCAAGAGAGGAAGCAGCGATAAGCAAATTGCGTGGTAGATAACCGGTTTATGAGAAGATTGGAATACAAGAACAAGGCTCACTTAGATGGCGCTGCAGTCACAGCATTGAGCAACAAGGTTCAATTCCTTTCTTTCTACCAGTTGTAAAATACATGTGAGAGTGGCAAGTAGCAACTATATATCACCAATATAAATAATGATATCTTGTAATATAAAAAGTTTGGAGTGATTGTAATCATATAAACAAGATTTTGTGCTAGAAATTTTCCTTGCTGCAATGGAAAAGTACGGTATCAGTTATAAGAGAAACGAGGGTACAGTTTTTACAGATTTGGCAATATTGATTCAAAAAAACAAACAAGCATCATTTTTTTTTCTGCCAAAGATTAAAAACCACACGAACAGTTGACACATTGTCTAAGAGCACCATACCTTCAGGAAATCCTTAAATTGACTAGTACTACTCAGGATTTACATTTTTCTGCTCACCTCCAGAAACTATATATTTTGCAACATCAGCGCAACAGGTAAGTTTATCGGCTTTCTCTTCAGGGATTTCAATGGAAAATTCTTCCTCAAAAGCCATGACAAGTTCAACCCTGTCTAAACTGTCCAGGCACAAATCTTTTTGGAAATCAGCTGTTTCAGTAACCTGTTCAGAGGTCAAAAGAAATCAACATTACTCTTTCGACCTGTGTCCATAGCAACAGACAGAGTGATTGCTAGTTGAAATTAAGTAAAAAGCCTCTTTTTCTGATGTAAAGTATCACCTAACTATCAGGTTAATAGTACATGTAAATTTAATCAAATGTAGAGGACAGGTAAGACTTCCATTTGAAAGCAATAAAAAAAATGGACAAGAAACATAAAAAACAAAGAAATTACTGGGGAGCCGTCAAGTAGTTACCTTAGTGGCATCAAGTTTATCAAACTTCTTAACCAGTCTAATTACTCGATCCATGATTTGATCAGGGCTGGTGCCTGCTGATGTACACATCTTCCAACGAAACTGCTTGAGCACATTTCCTCTCTGAGCAAACGATAACTGTTCAGCAGAACACCTCAGCCTCATATGGCTCAAGATGGAATTTCTTACGCTTTGCATTTCAAGACAAGCTGAATTCAACATAAGTCTTTCAAATCAAAATGTGCAAATCAAATCACATAAAGGGAATGCCATCTGCCAATACAACACATATGCATGCGAATGACGCAGAACCACAATCAAATTTCAAGAACACACTTGTATAATCAATAGGGAAGCGTTCTTTCAACAAACCAGAACTGCAGATAGCATCCTGGCTAGCAGGAGCTACATTTTGATCAATTATAAGTAAACCAGTAACATGTCTAGAGTGAAAAGAAGGCACTAAGGTCTGAATGTACAAATAAATACAAGCATCCACAATTTAAAAGAAACCCCAGAAAATTTTTTGAACTTTCATTGATTGTTCCTCATAATCCATTACTTTGACTACTAGCAAGATTAAAAAATCATATAGCTCCAAAGCACGCAGCTCTTACGGAAGGGAAACCTTGGCATTGTAGCTAAAAAATGAACAGGAAAAAGACCCACAAAAGCAAAATCTGTAAAATCATTCAAAGTTTACAACTTTCAGAAGAAGACATTATTCATAGGTAAATGCATGGCATCATATTCAAAATTGACTATGAAACCACAGTGGAAAGTAACACAAGAACCAATCTCATGCAAACATGATTCCTACATATATTGATTCACACACTTTCCTAGTTTTTTTCCTTTTGTCAAATCTAAGGTTAAAAAAACAATAACGTCAAAGCAACAAATCCTGACAAAATAAGCTATCAAGTACCAAGATTCAGGTAAAAGACATGGCTCATGAAAAAAAAAAAGAAAAAAGACAGACACTTTAACGAATAACAAGAACATAGTAACTAACAGAAATGTTAAAAGGGACACAAAACAAAGCAGAAACTGCTTACTCACGAGATTTTGTGTCCGTGGGTACTGGTTTTTGAGTTAAAATAATCGTTGTTCAGGTGTTTGGTTTATTTCCGCAACGAAGCCTCCCTGATGGATGAAAGCAACGGTCTTGTCAATTTTAATTTTCGTTTCGTGGGGGGTCGTGCTCTTATGGATGGACAGAGCGCTGAACGAGGTGAACCAAACGAAGTCGTTTCGTCAGTAAATTGGTTCACGCTGCTTTTTTTTTTTAATTAATGCTTGAAAAATCCTCTATTCTTGATTTCGTCCTTCAAAGTTATATATATATATATATATATATATATATATATATATATATTTGGTCTTAATCTCATCTTTCAAAACAATTTATTATTATTATTATTATTATTATTATTATTATGTCATTCTATTAATGCTTTGAGCTATTATCTTATTGTTAGGTTTTACGAAATTCTAACACGTGTCAAATAATTTTTTAATTATTAAATAGAAATAAATGAATTTTGAAAAAAAAACATCATTTCCATTTGTTTATAGTTTTTTTTTCATCAATTTTTTTTTCAAAATTTATTTATTTAGGACAAAAGAAAGAGAATCGGAGGGGGGTTTCTATTGAGATAGTTCGTTTTTTGAGGTTTTTTAATATTTTCTTTTCTTTTTCAAAATTTATTTATTCCATTCGGTGATAAAAAAAATTATTTGACAACCTTGTGAATCTAAAGATAAGATTTAATGCAATTGGTTAAAAACATTGACATAATAATGACGAAAACTAAATATTGAAAGATGAGATTAAGACAAAAAAGAATAAATGGACCTTTTAAAAGTGAAATCAATAATAAAGGAATCCAACAAGCATTAACTTATTTTCTTTCTAATGTTGGATTTTTGTATGTTGAAACTAAGTTTATCTTATCAAATTATATAATTCATAAAAAAAATCTACTTATTATATAACTTGATTTGAGATATAGACCCTAATGATTAAAAGGAGAACATAGCCACTAGACCTTCATGGTAAGTCCCTCAAGATTTGCTAGTTTTTATTTTATTATTTTTTGTTATGTTATTATATTAAATTATAAATTAGTCTTTCTGATTTCAAAAAGTAAATTAATTATTCTTTTCTCGTCGATATGGAAATTTTTCTATTTCTTAAAATAAAAAAAATCAAAAAGAGTAAAAATGACTAAATTATAAGAAAATTTAAAACATGAAGACTAAATAATTAATTTTGAAACAAAAGAAACTAATTTATTTATTTTTCGAAAGGAGAGGGACTAATTTATAATTTACTCTACATTATTACTACTTATTACTTTTTTATTGTTGCCATTGCTATTTTTCTGAGTAAATTATAAATTAATCCCTCTTTTTTGAGAAACAAATTAATTAATCCTTCTAGTTTTAAAAACTAATGATTTAATTCTTTTTGTTATTTTTCAATTTATTTTGATTTTTTTAATAAACAGAAAAAGAATAAAAATGAGTAAAATATGAAAAGCCTAAAGAGAAAAAAAGACATTTTATAAAATGAAAAAATATTAAATTAATTTTGGTCAACATTGGTTAAAAAAATTAAATAGTTATTTTTTAAAACTAGAGGGACTAATTAATTATTTCTTAAAATAAGAAGGACTAATTTATACTTTACTCCTGTTTTCCTTGGGAAAATATGATTATGGGGTTGAAAACAAAAGAGCACATTGTGATAAGCAGTACAATTTATAGGGGTGTTCACTATTCGGTTAAAACCGAAATATCGAACCGTACCAAATCGAATTAAAAATTTCGGTTCGGTTTTTTTTTAAAAAAAAATTTTAAAAATCGAAACCGAAAACTGAAATTATTTCGGTTCGGTTCGGTTTTTTTTTCAAATTCGGTGAAAACCGAATTAGTTTTTTTTTTTTTAAACACATACCCAAACTCTTTTTTTTTTTTTTAATCAAAGAGGCACCTATGGGTTTAACTAAAAGAACAATAGCTTTAATGATTTTTTTCTACTTAAAATAGAAATATTTTTCATTAATTATTTATTGAAATAAAAAATAATTGATTATAATATATTGACTCACAAAAAAATAAAAAAAGACTATGATAAAGAAATTCTTTATAAAAACACAAATTTATGTATTGGTAAATCCTAAAACCCCATGAAAAAAAAATTGTCTCCTTGTATTAAAATTGGCACAAACATAAATTAAAAATTGGATTTTTCATATTATATATTCAGCAATAAAATATGCACAAAATAAATAGATTAAAGAAAAAAATATGAAAAATTAATAAAAAATCAATTATAACGTGATTGAAAAAATAATGAGAAGCCCAACTAATTTAGTTTATAATATAAATAGAAACATATTTATTATAGAATAATAATAATAATCATACATAATTTTCTTATAAAATCAAGTGTGAAATATGCAATCTTTGATTATGCAAGTTTGATATTTTTTAAAAGCAAAATAATTCGATTTTTAGAAGATAAAAAAAAATAATAAAAAATAAAAAAATCGGTTTTTAACCGAAAACGAAAAAACCGAACATTAATTTTGTTCAATTTCGATTTTTATTTTAGCCAATTTGATTAACCAAAAAAAAAAAAACACCAAAACCGAACCAAAAACCGAATGATCATCTCTAACAATTTCACTAGAGAAATCATGCAATTTTGGGGTGGAAAGTGGAAAGGAGTCAAAGGACAGTTTTTTTTTCCTCTCTCTCTCTCTCTCTATGACAGATACAATTTCCCTAAAGAATAATGAATCTTACTTATTAAAATAAAATATACTTTAAATTACAATTTTAGTTTTTTTTTTTTTGAGAAAAAATACGAGACATACCCTTTTGGTAGTCTCGACATTACAGAGTAAATTATAAATTAGTCCCTCTCGCTTCTAGAAACAAGTTAATTAGTCAATCTTGTTTCAAAAACTAATTTTTTATTCATTTTTTAATTTATTTTAATTGTTTTTTTTAATAAATAGAAAATAAATAAAAATATGAAAATATTGATAAGAAAAGAAGACATATTATAAGATAAAAAATGTTAAATAAATCAAGATCAATGCTGATTAAAAGAACTAACAATTAATTTTTGAAATCATATGAGTTAATTAATTCGTTTCTCGAAACAAAGGAGACTAATTTATAATTTACTCTAACATTGCCCTATTTCTATTCTATTACGAGAAAGTGACAATTAGAGTTGAGGAGTAAAATTTGACTATTTGGTTGGAGATAAATTTGCAAGACTAATAGTTTTGATTTTGCATTACCTCACATTAATTTGCACTTCTTTTTATTGATTTAATTTTCTATTTTTATAATGAATAAATAACAACATAATGTGAATTAAAATTTTTATTCTATTTTAATTAATTGCGATCGATCTAACTTAAAAAGGTTTAGATTTAATTTACGTTAATATAAATACGGACTCGAAAATATCCTACTATCTATAAATATTAAAAAAAAAAAAAACCGAATTGTGGTATCACTAGTTGCATTTATGTCTAAAATTCATTTAACCTACATCTAAAGATCGTAGACTTGAAAAAAAAAAAAAATCGAATTGAAAATCTTACCTTCTTAGTAACTTGACTTGAACCGTGATATCACTAGTTGCAATTGTGTTCAAAATTTATGAATTAAAAGTTTTACTTTATTTTAATTAATTGTGGTGGATCTAACTTAAAGAATTGTAAATTTAATATCTGTTAATGTAAATATTGAATTGAAATTATCTCACTATATATAAATATTAAAAAAAAAGAAAAAAAAACTAATCGTGGTATCACTAGTTGCATTTATTTTCAAAATTTATTTATCCTACACCAAAAGATTGTAGACATGAAGAAAAAAAAAACTCGAATTAAAAGTCTTACCTTCTTTGCATTTATGTTCAAAATTTATAAATTAAACATTTTATTTTATTTTAACTCATCGTGGTGGACCTGGCTTAAAAAGTTATAAATTTAATATCCGATAATATAAATACTAAATTAAAAATATCTCGTTATTCATAAATATTAAAATAAAAAATAGAAATTGGGGTCACTTTGTTGCATTTATATTCAAAATTTATTTTAACCTACATCAAAAGACGGTAGACATAGAAAAAAAAAAACTCCAATTAAAAGTTTTTAACTTGACTCGAATAATAAGTTAGCTTGTTATCTATATCATCATTTCGAGTTCAAACGCATGAGAATGAGAAAAAAGAAACTTTTTTTGTGATGAAAGAGTTTAGATATTGATATAATATCAACATTATATTCGAAAAGAAATTAATTTCTCTACTAGAAACCCTAAATTTAAGTAAAAAATCCTCATTTCTTGAATTATTTTTCCTTGATTTAATAAAATTTTATAAAAAATAATTATTGTATTAATTCCAAATCTCAACGTACCATAACCACTTCATATATTTATTACAATACCAAACAATATCTCAAAAAAATTAGCAAATTCTTTTCTTTTTTTTTTAGAAAAATATTGATGGCAATAATTTAAAGGAAAAAGACTTTGTCAAATGATGACGTGCCCACCATCCCTTACACCTTCAAATACCAAACAAGAAAAACAAACTACATTAGATTCGATACATTCATCACATCACTCTTTGGCCCACCACCACCATCACCACCACTTCCATCTCTTCCTTCCTCGACCACCACCACCATTCTCTTTCTCTCTCTCCTTTCACTTCAACCCATTTTCCCAGCTCACAGGAGAAACCACTCTCCTTTTTACTTTTCCAAATCCCCCTTCTTTGTTCCCTTCTTCTCCTTCTTCTTCTTCTTCCTCTCCTATAAAAACCACACTCCTCAGGAACTTGACACAAAAATAATAAAGGTACAAACTTTGTTCAATTTTGGCATCTGGGTCTAGCCCAAAACTGAATCTTTTTGGCTTTTTATTAATTTATTCATGTATGGTTGGTGGGTTTTAATAAAGTTTCAACCTTTATACAATCCAATCAGTAATAAACAACAGCAACAACATTAATAAAGATCATTAATTTGTAAGTTAATAAGAGTTATTAATAAATGGGGAATGTGAATGGAAGAGAAGAAGAAGAAGGTGCAATTACTCCATCAAGTGGTGGTGGCGGTGCTGGTGGGAGCGGTGAAGAAGAAAGCAATAACAGTAGTGAGGTTATGGTTGCATCAGATGAGTCACATGTTAATTATCCTCCTCCTCCTCCTGAAATGATGGGTCACTCACCTCCTCACAGCCCTAGAGCGACGCACTCACCTCTTATGTTCACTCCTCAGGTTTGTTTTTATGTTTTTTCTGTTTTTGGTTGATTTTGTTTGTTATTATCATGTGGGTTCTATGAATGAATCATCTTAATTGTCTAGAATTTGCGTGTTTTGGAAGGTGATTCTGGCTTTGAAGGTTACAAATTGTTTGAGAATTTGATTGGTTTTATTAGTTTTTGAGGATTTTTTTAGATGATTCTAGATTGGTATCACATTATCTTTGTTGTGAGATTCTGTTAGATGATGGAGAATTTGTTAGTTGTTTAGAAAGTCTTGATTTGGGTGCATTTTGTGTGGGAATCAGAAGAAAGGAAGTTGCTTTACGTACTTTTAATGTGTTAAAAAGATGTGTATAGCATTAGCCATAGGGTTCTTTGCTGTGAGATTCTACTTGGGAGTGGACATGATTAGTGGTTTCTAATATGGTGACATGTTGCTTGTGCTGTCAATATGGAACAAAGTGTGCATTTTGATTTGATGTAAATAGGGAGTGAGCTGTTAGTTTTAACTTGCCAAGATCAAGGGTTGTCATGAAGTAAACTTTGTTGAAACCTGGTGATATCCATTACTTGGTAGTCGATTTAATACTTAGTACTATCTTCATGTAACATGCTCCACTTCATGCGCCAGAAATTATTTTCATTTATCCAAGTTACGTGCCTTTTGTTTATTCTGGTGTGTGCTTCCATCTACAATCCTATTTTTTATCTTTTCATTGCTCGTCTTTCTTTGTCAGGTCCCGGTGGTTCCGTTGCAAAGACCTGATGAGATTCAAATTCCAAGCCACTCATGGATGCAATCTTTAGGGTATGAAGAAATGAGTAACGAGCAAGGAATTCCAACAATGATTACGTGGAGCTATGGTGGCAAGGAAGTAGCTGTCGAGGGATCCTGGGATGACTGGAAAACAAGGTTCTTGAAATTCAGTGCTTTAGATTTTCCCCATCTTTTTTATAACAGCTTCAAGAGCCACTTCTGGTTGTCTAATATAGCCCGTTTACATTGTTGATCAGAATTCCCTTGCAAAGATCTGGAAAAGACTTCACTATAATGAAAGTTCTGCCATCCGGTGTTTACCAATACAGGTTTATTGTTGATGGACTGTGGAGGTATTCCCCTGACTTGCCCTGGGCCAAAGATGATGCTGGCAATGCTTACAATACTTTGGATTTGCAGGTAATATCTTCATCCCTTCCCTTTGGTATTTCAGCAGAACTTTCATCTCAATCCAATAAATTAAAGGGGAGACCAGTAAAAATTTTCGCTTTTCAATTAATCCATTGTGTCTATATGGAAACTGTTACTTCACTTTTCCTTTTCTTGTCTGATAATTAGTGCATAACTAGTCCCTAAAAGCTAAAAGTTTCTCTGTCACTAAGCAAGTGGTACCAACTCTGTTCAAAGGTCCAAGAATCACATATCTACTACTGGCAATATAAGGAGAAAGAATTTGACTTTATATTTATCCCCATCTTAAATTTGGTAGAGATGCTATACTTCCAGGTCTATGAATTTATTGGTCTCAAACTAACATATTTCAGAGTGTGCGACTGTTTCTGCGACACCATTGGAAGGTATATATGAAGCTCCTCCGTGAATATATTCACATGGAGCAGACTTGCTGCCATTCTATTTCTTTGGGATAAGATAACGAGCTTAACAATGTGTGAAATATGAACAGGAATTCACGAATAAAGTTGATTGATTTAAACATAATCCTATAGTCACTTAGCTAGTGAAATCTGTTTACGGTTTAAAACAAAGAGTAAAAATAAAATAAAAAAATATAATTAGGTATCTAAACAGCTCATGGTTTGCATTTTAAACATTAGATACCTTACTTATTATTGCCACCTTTTTTTTATCCTCCTGCCTTCTATGGCACTTCTAGTGTTGTGTTCTCTTGGTGTCATTGTGAATGCATAAAGAGAAACCATCTTTAATGTGATTTTGGGTTATCCTTGTGTGTAACTGGCTCATACTGTCAGTTTTATTCCTGTCTATTTTTGGGAGTATCATAACTGATAGAAAATAAGGATAATATTTAGTTCAAATTTCTTACTGTAAACAACCTTTGGACTTGCCAAAATTGCATTCGTACAGATTATACTCGCTGTTTGAGTTTTCTTTCACTGAAGAATTAAAGCAGTTTATTCTCAGAATTGGGTGGTGTAATGTCATTGCAACACCTCCTGTCTTACAGGTTTAACGATCAGTTCTTGTAAATAGGGTATGCTGTGTTGTTATATTTTATAAGGATAGATGTATCACACCTAAACAGCATATTGGCTTTTGCATAATGGCAAAGGCATCATTTTCACATAGCTTAGGACCTTCTGTTTCACGATTCTGAATTGTTGCTCTCTCTCTGACTTCTAGGATAAAACGACATTTAAATATTGCTTATCTGACTAGCTTGCTTCTTTCTTTTTTTTTTTTTTTTTTTTTTTAAAGCCTTGTGCATCTCCTTTTATTTTGTGTCTTGGAATTAGAATATGAAATATGTTGAATTCGGGTTTCCTTTTCTCTAGAGGCCGATGCATGACTAAGGGAAAGAAGGGAACCAGCATGTGTAATGGTGATTGCTTAAACACCTATTTACTAAATTATGCTTTTACAGTCTTTGTGGAAGTCAAAGCTTAAAAGCAGTTTCGTCCTTCATACATCATGATATAGTTAAGTGTGTCTGTACATTGATTTTTTAAAACGCATGCTTATGCATATAAATCTTTCTATTTCATTTTATCATCTTGTTCTGTAAGCATAGCTCTCCGTTTGTGATATTCTTGGAAAGAGTCATTTGATCATAGTTCCATGACTGAGAGTATACTGGAAAATAAAAATAGCTACTCGATGATGGCATGATGGGTATTTTCTGATAGTTGGTATTGCCAATTAATGTTTTGCAGGACTTTGTTCCAGAAGACCTTAAAAGTATATCTGGTTTTGAAGCCCCTCAGTCCCCAGAGTCAAGCTACAGCAATTTGCAACTCGGTAGCGAGGATTTTGCGAAGGAGCCACCCATGGTTCCTCCACACTTACAAATGACACTGCTCAATATGCCTTCATCCTACATGGAGATTCCTCCTCCTTCATCAAGACCTCAACATGTTGTGCTTAATCATCTCTATATGCAGAAGGGGAGGAGTGGGCCTGCTGTGGTGGCACTTGGTTCAACGCATAGATTCTCAGCCAAGTATGTGACTGTGGTGCTTTACAAGTCTTTGCAGAGGTAATAATTTATCGGATCCGTGTGGGATTTGTAGTCCTACCATCCCTAAAATCTAGTTTAATATATGCTTGTCAAGTAAGCTCAGGAAGAAGTCACTTCTGGCATTAAAAAAGATTGTATTTTACAGAATACAAATGCTTGATAACCATTGTTAGTCAATTTAGGTACTTGTTTTTAATACACTAGTTGTTCTCTGCAATCATATGGGGAAAAGAAGTGCTGCTAATTATTCTCTTGCATAGGCTCATCTAATGCTTTCACCTCATTCGGCAGAATCCTCAATTGATTTAAGTGGATTGCGAACTTCCTTATACTCTTTTATTTTTATTTTTTTTTCCGGAGAAGAAAATTGCTACACATGTTCAAGAGATAATCTTGATTGCGTAATCGGGGGAGGTTCGTCTTGAGTTTCTTACACACGTTCACCCTTCCAATGTCGGTTGTAGCAAGGACTTTGGATGTTGATGGAGGTGGTTTTCAGGATAAGTAGGAAGTTTCTCATGGTTACTTGATCTCCCAGTCTGACAAGATCTAGATTTAGATCCCATAGGAATGCATGTGTTGAAGTTTAGTCGTAAAGCATGGTTGCAGTTGAATACTGGATGAATCTTAGCCCTTTGTTTCACAGACGAAAATTTATAAGCTTCATGAATTCGATTGCAAAACAAGAAGATGTTCTTTAAATGCATGCATATGTTCTGGTTTTTTTACGTCATTCAAAGTAAAACGACTAAGTCATTACTTTCCTGAAATGCCATGACAGACCAATTCATAACCGAAGAGCAGATGGATTCGGTTTCTTCTTAGGTTTGCAAGCAAAGTAGAATGACAGAGCAGTCAACAAAACATGTTTTGAGATTCTAGAGGATTGATCTGATGGATAAGAGGTTTTACTCTTTCGGTTTTCTGAGTTTAAATCTTATTCCCAACATTTAGGGATGTTTGCTACGAAAAAATTTAATCTTAATTGATACGAAAGTGATTCTAAGATATGTTTTGTTACGTGACCACGTGCCCATTAATAAAAACAATGCTAAGCAAAGCAGGAAGTGGTGAAAAGAAATAAATCTATTTCAACATGTTTTATATATATATATATGTGTGTGCGCGCACGCAAGCGCGTGTGTGCGTGTGCGTGTATTTATATGTAATGAGATATTTGGGATTAAATTTTGCATTAATTCAAATTAAATTTACTATTTTTAAAACTACATTAGTATTGGATTAATACGCCTAACCTTTTTGACCTAAATGAGCTTAAAAGGCAGATTAATTCTCTTAAATTCAGACATGGACTATTGACTATTGAGGATATTACAAAAATGTTGGTACGGAATAATTGGTAGTTAAGTTTTATAGAAAAAACTATAATTTGAGCGTTTAATTTTTTTTATTTGAGTGTCGAATCGATAAATCTTTTTATCCGAGTGCTTAAGTTTTGATTTTTAATTTTTTTCTATTTGAGTGACTACAATGGTTGAGACTTGAAAAATAATGATGTGTTTTGAACGAGTGTGACACACCGTTGCAAAAAAAAAAAGGATCCACTTGGATTATTAATTTTAAAAAAATTGAGTGTCTAACTTTTGATTATTTTTCTATTTGAATGCTCAGTATTTGATTTTTTTTTTTTTTTTAGTTCTCTTAGTCATCTAAGAAAATAGTGACATAATCGAGACGACCGACATACAACAATCTTTAATTGACATATGACAAAAAAAAGGATTCCACTAAGATTTATTAAGAAAAAAATTATATAACTTTCATAAAAGAAAACAATTAGCAAGAATTAAAAAAAAAATCAAAATCAATTAGTGTTAGCAAAATAAACTCGAATTGATGATTCAAGGTCAAAATTCTTGAATTGGACAAAAAAAATGTTTAGATGATGATATCTTAGAAGTACTTTTTAAGAAATTGATAAGCAAACTTGCCAAGTTCATTCAGCTCACAGTAGTTTGTTTTAATTTTTTAAATTATTGTCAACTATTATTTTATAAAAAACATATTATTTTTTCTTGATAAATCCAAGTAGGATTGACTTTTGTCACGTGTCGATTAAAAACTACCTGTATATAAATAGATCCCGACCAAATAAATATCTTTAATCTCAAAAGATTAAAGAAACTCAAATAGAAACAAAATCAATTGGAACTCAAACAGAAAAATAATACAAATTTAAGTACTCAAATTATAATTTTTTTCTTAAATAATCTAAGCAAGACTCTTTTTTTTGTAACGTGGCAATTCATCGTGGACACATTAATATTTTCAAATCTCAGGTAGCTCTCTGCATTAAAAAAAAAAAAAAAGAAAATTAAAACTTTAACTGATATAGAAAGATTTATGGCTGAACGTGGAAAAAAAAGGACGCTAAATCACAGTTTTTTCAAGTCCCAAAGGAGCACCTCATCCTAGGATCATGGTACATTCCAGTTAGTACGGAAGCGCTTATGTGTTTGAAATGACAACCATATGTCGGAAATGACAGCAAAAAGTAGGTTTCTTTTTCTGTTTAGCATTCTAAGGTCATCATCACTCAAAATTCGGAAAGTTTGGCAAACCACAAAAGCAAAACTAACATTTCCGAATTCTTCGAGCTTTTCTCTCCTTCGATTGTCAAGGAAGTTGGATATAAATCTTAATCATTTTTTTTAAAGAACAAATGTTAGTTGTCGAAATTGTCAAGAACAATAATATTTTCTCTCTGTCTCTGCGCCGTCTCTTTGATAGGCCGATGAAACAAAGAAACTGAAGAAGGCCTATTGAAAGAGACTGTAGAGCTAGAACCCCAAGGAATCGTTAAGCTTCTTGGTTTTGATCTTTCACCATGGGTGACATTTCCTTGGAACAGATTAAAAATGAGAGTATTGATCTTGTAAGGATTTCTGATCAAGATTTCTCTTTGTATGTTGCTTCTCATGTAGGTTGATGAGACCTATTGACAAATTTTGTGTTTGTTTTTTTGTGTTTATGCAGGAGAAAATTCCCATTGAAGAAGTGTTTGAAAAGCTAAAATGTACAAAAGAGGGTTTGAGCACAGCAGAAGGTGAGGAGAGGCTTAAGATCTTTGGCCCCAACAAGCTTGAGGAGAAAAAGAGAGCAAACTCCTCAAGTTCTTAGGGTTCATGTGGAATCCTTTATCATGGGTCATGGAGATAGCTGCCATTATGGCCATTGTCTTGGCTAATGGAGGAGGCAAGCCACCAGATTGGCAAGACTTTGTTGGTATCGTTGTATTGCTTTTCATCAACTCCACCATCAGCTTCATCGAAGAAAACAATGCCGGTAATGCCGCTGCTGCTTTGATGGCTGGTCTTGCCCCTAAAACCAAGGTAAATTCTGTCCATCTTTGGTTCGTGCTTGTTGCTTCCATTAGCAGCTCGTGTAACATATAAATGTGAGTCGCTTCTATAATCAATCTTGCAGGTTTTGAGGGATGGAAAATGGAGTGAGCAAGATGCAGCAATTTTGGTACCAGGAGATATGATTAGCATCAAGTTGGGAGATATTATCCCAGCGGATGCTCGTCTGATGGAAGGTGATCCTCTCAAGATCGATCAGTCTGCCTTGACTGGCGAGTCCCTTCCGGTCACAAGGCATCCAGGCAGTGAGGTTTTCTCAGGATCAACCTGCAAGCAAGGTGAGATTGAGGCTGTTGTTATCGCAACCGGTGTTCATACCTTCTTTGGTAAGGCAGCTCACCTTGTCGACAACACCAACAACGTCGGTCATTTCCAAATGGTATCGCTTGCTTTTACCTCATTAAAGAGAATCCAAATTGATCACACAGAGATGTTTTTCTTATCTCTTTTTTTGTGTGCAATCTATTTATCAGGTGTTGACAGCTATTGGTAACTTCTGTATCTGCTCAATTGCTATTGGTATGCTGATTGAGATCATAGTGATGTACCCAATCCAACACAGGAAGTACAGAGACGGCATTGACAACCTCTTGGTGCTTCTCATCGGAGGTATTCCTATCGCCATGCCCACGGTTCTGTCGGTGACTATGGCTATTGGGTCTCACCGCCTATCACAGCAAGGTGCAATCACCAAGAGGATGACTGCCATTGAAGAAATGGCTGGAATGGATGTCTTGTGCAGTGACAAGACTGGCACTCTCACCCTTAACAAGCTTACTGTAGACAAGAATCTCATTGAGGTCAGTGGTTTTAGGCTCTTAGCCGAGTCATACAATCTTCAGAAGGCTTATCTTACATGATTTCAGAAGGCTTATCTTTGGTACTTTCTGCATTGGTAACTGCAGGTGTTCGTGAAGGACATGGACAAGGACACCCTTATATTACATGCTGCCAGGGCTTCTAGAACTGAGAACCAGGATGCCATTGATGCTTCAATTGTTGGGATGTTGGGAGATCCCACAGAGGTATGCAAATCAATCCTTTTTCTTTTTCTCGCTCTTTTTTTTTTTGTGAACTTCTGGTTCTTGTCAAGCCGCTTTCTTTAAATTTATTTGGAGTCATTGAAATGGGAAATTTATTTTGCTTCTTTCTGAGCTTCGTAGGCAAGATCAGGAATCACTGAGGTGCATTTCTTGCCCTTCAACCCCGTGGAAAAGCGCACTGCGATCACTTACATTGACAGCAATGGTGACTGGCATAGAAGCAGCAAGGGAGCTCCTGAGCAGGTATGCATTGTTTTAACTCTTTATCGAAAACCTAGCCCTTGTATTGTGAGTACTAACTTTCCATTTGTATACCAGATTATTGAGCTCTGTGATCTCAAGGGGGAGACAAAGAGAGAGGCTCACGAAATCATTGCTAACTTTGCCGACCGTGGCCTTCGTTCCCTCGGAGTTGCTCGTCAGGTAGATTAATCCCACAATTCGCTTGCTACTTATTTCATATGATTCCTTGGAATATAGCAAGCGAAGTGAACTTTTAACTCCAACATGTCTGGATGAAATGAACAATATTTTTCCTGTTTACAGACAATTCCGGAGAAGAACAAGGACAGTGCAGGAGCACCATGGGAGTTTGTGGGTCTCTTGCCTCTTTTTGACCCTCCAAGGCACGATAGTGCTGAGACGATCCGCCGAGCCCTTGACCTTGGTGTCAATGTTAAGATGATCACTGGGGACCAACTTGCTATTGGCAAAGAGACTGGCCGCAGACTTGGCATGGGTACCAACATGTATCCTTCATCATCCCTCCTTGGTGATAGCAAAGATGAGTCAATTGCTTCCATTCCAGTTGATGAGCTCATTGAGAAAGCTGATGGATTTGCAGGAGTCTTCCCTGGTAATGGATTTTTATTTTGCCTTGACAGGTACAGCAAAGATATTGTGTTTGAATACTCTTTAGGAGATTTAACTAATGTGAGCTTTGGATATGCAGAGCACAAGTATGAGATTGTTAGGAAGCTTCAGGAAAGGAAACACATTTGTGGCATGACAGGCGACGGTGTTAATGATGCCCCGGCATTGAAGAAGGCAGACATTGGTATTGCGGTGGCAGATGCAACTGATGCTGCCAGGAGTGCCTCAGACATTGTTTTGACAGAACCAGGATTGAGTGTGATTATCAGTGCTGTATTGACAAGCAGAGCCATCTTCCAGAGGATGAAGAACTACACAATCTATGCTGTTTCAATCACGATTCGTATCGTGTTGGGATTCTTGCTCGTTGCACTTATCTGGAAGTTTGACTTCTCACCATTCATGGTCCTCATTATTGCCATCCTCAATGATGGAACCATTATGACCATCTCCAAGGATAGAGTCAAGCCATCTCCTGTGCCTGACTCCTGGAAGCTCAAGGAAATTTTTGCCACAGGCATTGTCCTTGGAACCTACATGGCAATCATGACTGTGCTGTTCTTCTGGCTTGTTCATGACACTGACTTCTTCCCCGTAAGTGAATCGGTACTCCAAATGATGAAGCACATGTTTTGTTAAGTTGAACAAATACTAAAATTTTAATTTTTGCAGGATAAGTTCGGCGTGAGGTCGATCAGAGGTAAACCGGATGAGCTTACAGCAGCTCTTTACCTTCAAGTGAGCATCATCAGTCAAGCACTCATCTTTGTGACCAGGTCAAGGAGCTGGTCCTTTGTCGAACGCCCTGGTCTCTTGCTTGTTGGTGCCTTCCTCGCAGCGCAATTGGTCAGTACTTCTGATCCAATTTCCTCTTCTATTCCCAACTATTATTTATCCAGTACCATGATCACTGTGGGAAGCTCTAACTTGATACTTCTCCATGAAGGTGGCAACTATCATTGCCGCATATGCAAACTGGGGATTTGCAAGAATCCAAGGCATTGGCTGGGGATGGGCAGGAATAATCTGGCTTTTCAGCATTATCACCTACATCCCTCTTGACATCCTCAAGTTCATCATCCGCTATGCATTGAGCGGGAGGGCTTGGGATAACCTGCTAGAACACAAGGTTCTTAAAACTCTTTACAAAATCCCAATTTCTATTTCATCTCACCAACCTTTTTCTGATTGCATTACCTTTGTGCTTGTTTTAAAAATCATCACAGACTGCTTTCACCACCAAGAAGGATTATGGAAAGGGTGAGAGGGAGGCTCAATGGGCTACTGCTCAGCGTACCCTTCACGGTCTCCAGTCACCAGAAACCATGAACAATGACAAGGCCAGCTACAGGGAGTTGAATGAGCTCGCTGAGCAGGCGAAGAGACGCGCCGAAGTAGCAAGGTTAGTCCTTAGCCTCTTTAAACTTAGCCACCTGAAAGATAGAGGTTTGCTAAGCATATGAACTCGTGTTAATGTTGCAGGCTGAGAGAGCTTCACACATTGAAGGGCCATGTTGAGTCAGTTGTGAAGATGAAGGGGCTTGATATTGAGACCATCCAACAGCACTACACAGTCTGAAGACACTAAAGGGTTTCTACCGAGAATCATATGCAAGACAGAGACAGAGTTGAAAGAAACACAGAACATGAGAATGACCTGAAGCTGCCTTTTCTATGTACTAATAATTTATTTATTTAGTATTATTGTAATAATTTTTGGCTTAAATTTTAGGAGGAATATCCAAAAGGGTGAGATTTTATAGTTTTTTTTTTTTTTTTCCAATTACAGAAAACTAGTGAAGAATTGGCACTTGGAATGTAGGAGTGAAGGGGGGGCTCATGTTTTATATGTGTCCTATAGCTAGGGCTAGCAGCTTTTGCCTCTTTCACTGTATATTTTTCCTCATTCCAGTAATCAAAATAAGCTTAATCTATTGCTTTTAGATTTTGACAGAAGTATAAAACATTAAATTCTTTAGTATTCGACACTGTATCAAGATCAGGGAATAGGAGGCAAAAGGAGAATGCAAAGATTTTATTGCCAACTGGAAAATTTCCTATATCACAAAAACATAATCATTCTCTGCTACATATGATAAGTAACAAACATCTCACTCACTCACACCAAATTTCCCCGGACAATCACAGAACCATTAAAGGAAGAACATGGTTGGAGCTTTGTAGGGATCGGTATGAATTCATTGCTGAGTTGAGAGAAAAAATTACTGCTAACGGCTGTATGCTGAGAACAGTAACGTTCACTATGAAGGCATAAAGAGGAATATCATAACCTGTGGAAAGAAGCATGTACAAGCTTGCAAAATAAAAATGGATACTTGATAGTTCTCTATCATAGCTCCCAATTTCTTCTCCATCTCTAAAAAACTACACTAAACCAGCTTTAACTTTACCTTAAATGGCTGCATAGCTATTTAAAAGACTGGACATCCTTTAACCACAATCCCCGGTGCAGTTGGACATGTAGCCAAAGGGCAGTGATCAAGTTCTGTACCCCACCATTTCAATTCTATGCCATTGTTCTGCAAAGCAAGAAACAATAAAACACCCATGAAAGCTGTCCCAGCGTCCAATGCTGCAGACAGAACGTAATTATACTTCTGCCACCAGCGCTTGCGATAACGGAAGACAAAGTAGTTGAAGATAGTTCCAGTGACAAGCCAGCTTGCAATGTTGGTAGGAGTTGCAGGTGGCATTCCGGCGAAACCGTAAGATATAACTGGTATATTTATCAACGCAATCCATTTCTTTTCAGGGAACATTTTGCTCAGTATCCAAAAAGGCACTGGCAAGAAAGCTCCAATGAGGAACAGCCATACCAAGTTCCTGTAGAGGCCACCCGGTCCAAAGAGCCTTTTTGGTCCAATGAGGCCCCAGATTACAGAAGCATCAAAAGTGACTCGGTACTTAGGACAGGTCCAAGGACTATCACTATCAAGTGAATCAACATCACAAATATTTTCGATGTTCTCCAGCATCCACCATGCAACTGCAAGATTGACTGTACCAGCAACTAAAGTTCCCACTAGCTGAGGAAAACACCAAATACATATATAGTTAATACTTCACGCTATTAAAACAAAAAAAATTCAAGTGTTCAAATGTACAAGTTTCTGCAATGCAATACCTGAGCTACATACATGCACCGTGGTGGGATTTTCATGTAGTGTCCAAGTTTAAGGTCGGATAAGAAAGAAAGAGCATGAACCGTGCTGATTCGTCCATAAATCTTAAAAAGCAGATTTGCAATTGGTTTTCCTGGCAGAACATATCCAATCATGAACTGTGCTATTATGTCATAGCCAGGTTGCTGCAATGTAAACACAGCATTATGAGGTCAAAAAAACCATCACATATACCCATCAAAAGCAAAGTTTACCATGTCCAAGAGGGCATAGAAGAAAAGACACAAAAATTAAACAATTGGCAATACCTGATTGGTAGTTGCTTGAATAACACCAATAGGAAGAGTAACAAGCCAAGCCAGGGCAAAGGCAAAGAGCATACCCCACCATGGCAGCTGCACAGTTTCTTTCCAAATGAAAGACATCATCAACGAGAGGACAACACTTCCCACCAAGAGAATATAGAACCACCACTCAGGCACATCTTTGTAAGCTTTCATCAATTTTGCATGAACATCCAATTTCGCATTCTGCATTACTCTTCTACTTTGCTTCCAAATATCCCTGGACAATGGAAACCATACAATGTCACTCATTAAGATCCTGTAATAAGAGCACCTACGCTTCGCAAGGAAATCTATGATAGGAACCTGGCTACCTTCCGTTAAACAGCGCGACATGGGTGAGGGTTGCTGTGAACCTTGCAAATCCTGATCCAATTGACATGGCAAATAGCGGGCTAAGATAGAGCTTGCTATAACTATCATAAGCAGGAATGTTAAGTTGAAAATCAGGGGTCAAGATCTTTGTAGTGTCATATTTTTGCCCACTAGAAGTGAAGAGCTGATTAGAAAATATGGGGAACTTCCGAGCATCAAAAGTGTTATACTTCCAATAACAAACAGGGAGTATTATGTAGATGAACATGATAAAGCCAATCCCAACATTGACAATGGAAGACCAGGGAGCTACAAGGGGGCTGCCATGGTAAGCTGAAATCCCAGCCCAATCAAGAGTGAAAGCACCGACGCCAAGACCATGGTAACCTGACCCTACTTGTTGAGCTGTGATGCTGCGAGGCCATGCCCAGCAGACCCATGAGAAAAATGTCAAGATTGGGAACAAGTAACCAGGGACTGCATAATAGAGAAAGCTTGCTGTAAAGGCAATGAGGAAGAATTGCATCCTAGTCAGGCCTTTACTTTTCGGATCCTTTTCATGCAGTGCTCTGCAGAGACAAAATTGTTATCATATGACAACATCATTGCCAGAAATTAACTAGCATAGACTACTTCTGCTTCAGGAATATGATCCTATGCAAATTCATGACAATAACAAATCAAGACGGCATTTCATTATCCGGCAACGACAATTCAATGTGTCCCTTATAGAATATTACACTTATAAAGCTAGAACAGCTACAGAACAGATTCTCAACCAGTGAACATGCACTTGTAATCACATACCAGCAATCTAATGGTATGAAACTAGAATTATTAACAAGATGAGAATTTTGTAATGTCCAATTTCAGCCTCTATCTTTTACTTTGTTTAAAATATTCTGTCGCATTTCAGTAATCAAATTTGAACCACATGCAGTCTTTGGATATGTTGAAGAATGGATCAATTTCGCCACCCTTTTAAAAAATTTAGTTCTCCAAAAAGAGAATAAAATTTCTACTTTAATTTTCAACCCAGAAGTAAAAACTTAACAAACTAAATTAACATGTGAGATTTTCTGCATTTTCTCATCAACCAAACAGATCTTTTAGAAAAAGTAGGGCCAAGAGGAAAACACAGACCTGAACAGAGAAACCTGAGCAAGGTTTGAAGGCCACCACATCTCAACAGGATCAACCAAGTATCTCCTAAGCATCCCAGCCCATCCATATCCCAGTACCTGCAAATCAAGACCCGAAAACACAAAAAACAAGGAGGGAGAGAGAAGGAAATTAAGATTTTAAAAAACCAAACACTGTAAAATCTCAAACAAATAAGAAAACAGACAAAAAAAAAAAAAAGCACAAATTCCCTACAAAATGTAAATCAAAAGATGAACAAAGAACAAATAACAAAAAATAAGAGTCCAACATGCAAATAATCAAACCCAATTTTCAAAACATATTTTTTTCCTTAAAAAAAAAAAAAACTTTCCCTACTGTTTCACCCTACTGCTTCAGTTCCTCAAAATCAACCATACCTCTTGAGTCTTCACACAAAATCAGAAGCAAGCAACACCAAAAAATCTAAGACAGTACCATTTAGCAGCCCCCCACCCACCCAAGAAAAAAAAAATCCCATAAAGTAATGTTCTTTACCTGTGTAGTCAAGACTATGAGGAGCCCACAAAGAAAACTCAGGCTTTGCTTGTAATAAGCCTTCATAACAGTAATGGCGCCAATGGAGTAAGCATCACCACCACCAGTAGACACACCACAATTAGCAAAAATAGTAATAATCACATGTTCTTTCATATTGAAAGGCCCTGGATTCAGACTAAAACTCCACCCCAAAATACTATAATCTTTAGTAGGCAAAGTCTTAGCCATAAACCTGCCAATAGGCAACACAGCAATTTGCATAAGAATGGCAGAGATGGTGAGTGGCTGAGTACGGTAAGTGAAAAAAGTGTTCAAAAAGATAAGTATCGTGCATGAAGTTAAACCCAGAAACCATGCACGAAAAGTCATGACAGGAAGTGTTGGATCATCAGTTTCAGGCACAACTAAAGCCACTTCTTCAACAGGACATCTTTCATGATGCTCTGCTGATGAATCCACCCCTAATCCTAACCCATTTGTGTTTTTCTCATCCTTACTCTCCGTAGTTGCCATTCTTGCACAAGAAAGACACAGACAAAAGCACAAAGATCACTCCTTTTCTCTTCTGTAAGAAAAAAGTTAGGTACTTTGGCTGTCAGTCCGGTTGCAATTTATAGCAGAGAGAGTGAATATTTTTTAGGGACAATAATAGCCTTCAAAAATATGGTTTTTACCACTTTGGTAATAAAAAATAATTTTTTTTCATTTTCTGAGAATGGTAATAAAAATATTTGTGTCTTTTGGGTTGATACAGCATTGAAAGCTGACTTAATTATTGACTAATATAATGACTATAATATCCTTTTGGAATTTTTTATGCTGTTGATGTCACTAGCAGGAGCAGCCCATGAACAAGAATATATTATTAAATTTTTAATTACTTTAATAATATCTAAGTGATTTTTTAAAATATTATTATTGTAAAGTTTGTCTAGGGATGTTCATGAACTTTTAGACAATTTATATCACATCCTCAAGAGTGGGGTCTGGCCTTGTTTGGGTATTTGATTCTCTTGCATGTGAAAGACCCTTGTTTTTTTATCCCATTAAAACACAACCAAACAAACGTTCTTTGACCTCTATGATTAAAAAATGGAGTAAATTATAAATTAGTTCTTCTAGTTTTTTTAAAAACGAATCATTCTAATATTTTGTTTCAAAAACTAATTATTTAATCGATCGATCAGTATTAATTATATTTAATTTAATATTATTTAGTTCAAGAGCGTTTTTTATCTTTCTATAATATCTATTGATTTTTTCCTCTTCTATTTAAAAAAATAAAAAAATATGAAATGAACAAAAAGAATTAAATAATTAGTTTTTAAAACACAAAGTATTAATTAATTCAATTCGCAAAACTAGGAAGACTAATTTATAATTTACTCTTCAAAAAAATTCAGAATTTTTCAAAATAAAAAAACTATATTTATTTATTTATTGAACATTAAAAATATAAAAAAATTAGAAAAAATAAAAAATAACTTCGAAATGATTTCAAATTTTTTGAGAAGTTCCACGTAAATCTCACTGAATAATTTTTATTATAAAATTATTTATATGATTGTTATTTTTTGTAATAAATGATTTAAAAAAAAAACTAAAAGATGGACTAAATCTAGAAAAAAAATAAAAAATTTAAAGATCCTCAAAACCAATAAAAAAATTAAAGGATTTAACTTCAAATGATTTAAAGTTCAGAGTAGTTAGACCTTTTTAGTTTTTTTCATCATTGATCTACGGACAATAATTTGCTTTCGAAATTTTGTTTCTTCATAGGGGAGGTTAATTGCACATTCAGCTTGAAGAAATAATAAATTTTGTTAATTTCCTTGGATGTCACATTCTTATTGTTGTTGTTGTCATTACTATTATTATTATTTTGTGATTGTAACATTCTTATTTATAATATCTCATGATATGATATTTGCAATTGAAATTATAAAAGTTGATTAGGTGAATGATTACGGAGCAACTTCCATTACAAAGTTTGTTTTCTTTGGGGAAGGGTAATTGCAGTTTAATTTTGAATAATAGTAAGTTTATTCATTTTCTTGGACCCTATAGCATTTTATATTGACATCGAAGAAAGCTACATCATCATCATTATTTTTTTCCTTTGATACAAAGAAAGTTTTTCAGTTTTAATTAAAAAAATCGAAGAGAACAGAGTTCAAATGTGGGGAAAAAATTGTTATTTTAATGAGTTTTCAATCTATTTTTCTAGTTAATTTTTTCGACTAAACCACCTAAAATTAATCACATGACTTGCACTTAATATATTTTCTTAACAAAAATACCCTCATATACAAATCAAATTACTTCACATATCCACTTTCAAAAAGTATTTTCATCAAAAAAATATTTCGTGTACAAGTCACGTGATTAATTTTTGATGGTTTAATAAAAAAATTAATCAAAAAATAAATTAAAATAACTGAAATATAATAAGATCGTTTTAAAATATATAAAAATAAAAAAATATTGTAAATATGAAATTATTTATTATAAAATTAAATCATAAATTAATTCTTTTAGTTTCGAGAAATGAATTAATTAATTTTTTTGCTTTAAAAATTAAGTATTATCTCTTAATCGGTATTAGTCACGCTTAATTTAATGTTATTTTATTGTGGATTTGAAATTGACTTTTTAGAAAAGCAAAGGGCTGAATTTGACTTGTAAACTAAACATTTAAGATCTTAGGATTAATGATGTAAACAAGAAAATTAAAAGGAAAATAATCCCTCCCCCCACAAAAAAGTTTTAACTATTTATGGGCAAAATTGTCAACTTAGAAAGAGATTAATTTAGTGCATGCTTAAAATTCCAGACAGAAGTAATCATCAGTGGCCACTTACTGTCATTAGCGAATGAATGGATAATATAAAATCTTACAAAATATTAATTAATCAGTTTTTTTTGAAACAAAGATTATTAATTAATCAGTTTTTTGAAACAAAAATTATATATATATATATTAATGGCTAATGCTTTTTTCCATGCCTGTGAAAATCACATGCTACAAACAACAAGACACACTCTTGTCTTGATCCGAGAAGTGCCAGCGTGGCACTCGCATGGAATTCTAGTGGGTCCCACATGGAAAGGTACTGCGTAGGATAGAATGGCTCCACTTTTTGCAATGAAATTTGCCACGCAAGACAAGAGCTTGTGTTCTGCTCGTGTTTTTTGATAGTTCCACGTGTCAGACATGCCTACGTTGGAAATGGAAATTTTTGCTTTTTTGTGATTATTAATAATAAATAACGCAAGTTGACTTTTATATATACCTTTGGAGAGAGAGAGAGAGAGAGAGGATGGAATTAAATGAATTGTCCAATGACTTAGAACTCAATAAGGGAAAAAGAAAAAAAGATGCTTAGAGGCCAAGTAAATTAAATTAGAGAGGTACATGGAAAATTAATTATTGCATATTTATTTATTTATTTTTTCTCTAGGATCTAATTATTTTCCTAACAAATTAAAAAAAGATTAAATTATAAATTAATCTCTCTTGTTTCGAGAAATAAATTAATTAATTTTTCTTGTTTCAAAAATTAATTATTTAATTCATTGATTGATGTTTATTGTATTTAATTTAATATTATTTTGTTTTTAATTTTTTTTATATATTCTCGTCAATTCTTTCTTTTTTTACTTATTTAAATAAAATTGAAAAAAGAGTTAAACTATAATGAAATCTAAAAATACAGAGATTAAATTACTCCTTTTTTAAAGAAAAAAACGAGTTAATTTATTTCTCTAAACTAGTGGGATTATTTTATATTTTACACAAGAAAAAAGGAGATATCTATTTCATTCCTTTTGAAATTTTATTTGGGATATGGTGGGATGAAGAGGTGGTAGATTTAACACCATTGGAGGTGAACCAAAGGCAAGAATACATCACTGTAGCTAGCTTGCAGATGGCGAAGTACAAACCGATCAAAATTGACTAGTGGAGGATATAGGGACCCATGGTTCCAATGGCGTTGACCCATGTCAGTTCTCCCTCACTCAAACTACTAGCTTGGGATTTAAGCCCGACACTTGGTCATTACTGTACCTGAAAGAATGTGCGAATTAACAAGTATCCAATCATGGGTATGGAAGCTCTGGTTTGGCGTCCGGTGGACAGTATGTTCATCTCTACCTTGGATCGTGCAGCTTCAATCTCACTTATTTGGTGGCAGGAAACGAATGAAGCAAGAAAATAAAATAAAGGGATAAAAATAATCAAATAATATAAAAATTTATGTAATTTGATAATTGTGCTTCTTACTCCATGGTTATATTAAGATTTTTTGTTAAAATTTTATCGATTATAAATTCGAGTAAAATTGTTTCTATTAATTTATAACGTGGACAAATAAAATTATAATAAAAAAGTTATACAAGCCTATACACTTAACTTAGTATTTTATAGATTTTTCAAGAGTTTTGCTCTAGAGCTTTAACAAGAAGTGCTACCCCTTAACCCATTAAGTTAATCGGCTAACAAGATCACTCGTATACGTAGCATTTTATACCACGAGTTCTTATTCATATTAATTTCTACAACTTAACAATTTGGATCTTAGGGGTTGAAGTTCTCTAACACACCTAGTTCATACACTAAATTTCTTGCTTGTATACATTCATGTGGATAATAATAGATCCATATAAAATAAATATATCTTTACTCTATCCGACTCGATAAATATTTATTAAAAGTATTCGATGTTTATTAAAATGGATAAAGATAAACAAAAATGCATAACTATTAATATAGCTTTTGAGTATAGAAACCCACTTTATACTTATTGTTTTTTTTAATATATATATATATATATATATGAAATGAGTATCCATTATATCTAATTCAATAAATATTTATTAAAAATATCTAATTGACATTAAAGCAAGTAAGGATAATTAAATAAAGATATATAATTGTTAATATAGTTTTTACATACATATAGTCACTTTATACCCACGATTTACTCAAAAAAATAAAAAATTAACATACGGAACAACTTGATCGTAAAAAATTTATAAAATAAAGACCAAAATATTTTTTTATGAAAATTTGAAGATCAAAAAACTTATATATAAAAGATCAAATTGCAAAAATATCTCAATTTTAAGAATCAAAATAACTTTTTTTAAAAAAACTATAAGAATTAAAATGAAATATTTTGATAAATTATTGTTAATAGATATGAGTTTAGAAGATAATTTTTTAATGGATATATACAATATAAGTTTTGAATGGATAAGATAAGAGATTATATATATACACGATTTTCTCGAGCTATAAGGAACTGCAAATACCATCTCCACTACGGACTAAGATGATAAGATCTCACCACTTCAAGATTACATGCATGCATCTTTAAATAATTCTTGAAATACTTTGATACTTTTCATTTACTATAACAATAAAATTTAATTTCTTCAATTAAATTATACAAGTAAACACTAAGTCCATACCCTCCATAATTTTGTTTATCTACTTCAAAGATCTCGAA